AAGATTTGCTTGCTCTCAAATGACTTTAAATACATATCTACGAAATGTGAAACAAAATATTTTGAATTACTTCTGCTTACTTACATGTTTGCAAAGCAAATGTGTAAAATGATTTATTGGTAAGAAATTTTAAGTACTTCATTTTCGGGAAAGTGACTAAACTTCAATCGAAAGGAATAAAATTGTAGCGTGGGAAAGAAAAGTCTGCCCCTAAGAATTTCACTCAATAAGAGTTTGCAAATTGTGCTCGTTGTTGCCTTTTTCCATTCAACTGAGCATGCAATTTACAGCAATTAAATTTATGAGCATCGAAAAAATTATGCTGTTGAAATCGAAGAAAGAAAAAAAGAAGAAGTCGCGTGAAAAACATCAATAACAATGTGAAGAAAATTAAAGCAGGAAAATTTGAGAGGCTGTGAGTCTCAAAACAAAACGAAGACAAAAATAAGCCGTGAAAGAAAAGCTGAGAAACGGTGTAAAAATATTTATACATTTTTAATTTTTTTGTTTCTTATTTTTCTTTCTTGTGTTTCTTTAACTACATCGAGTTTGAGTTGTGCCTGTGGGTTTATGTTCAAGATCAGGGTTGACTCAATACAAAAGCTTCGAAAATTTTTTGTATGATATTTTGTATTGTTAAATAACAAAGTCGAGATAATTTTTCATTCAATTCTGGCTCATCAGGCAACACGATCAATGGAAGAAAACTCATCATCTTTAAAGATGTGTTTAAAACGCATTATGGATATACATATAGATTTTTTTTCTTTTCTTCTCCCTCTCTCTCTCTCTCTCTGCTTTGTGTTATGTTCAAAGAAGAGAAAAAGAAATCTTGTTTCTTGATCTGTGAAAATCAGTTAAAAAGAATCTTTCAAACAGTCGATGTTATCCGCTTCAGACGGTATCGCGATGTTTAAATATGGAAAAATAAAATAAAAAAAAACCCTTTCGCAATAAACGATGGTTAATAAAAGAAGATGAAAAAGAACCGTAGCGTGATAATCAATAAATCGATTCAATTTTCCGATAAGAAATAATTTAATCAGTGTGAATGTTTTTGATTATTATTGGTCTAGTGAAGCATTTGATAGTGAGTCGATAAACGACAAGAGGAAGAGAGAGAGAGAAAGTTTGTTTGCTTAATTGCGACGATATCTTGTCGCGACTTATAATAAATTTATCGGTGAACAAGCCACAATTAAGCTATAACAACTATGTTGATTTGCTGACTTCTCTACTTTCGATGGAAGTGTAGAAATGATTTTAGTTTTTGGCACAACTTGCACACAGAACATTAAGGAAATATTTGTTTTTCTTCTTGCAACACAATACTTCTATTTATTTAAATATTACACTCGAACAAAGAAAGAAATAATATTAGACAGCTATTTAAAATAAACCAGAAACTCTTCTTCTTTTTTGACGATTTAGTTGTGACGACGAGTTCAAATAGCACGCACGTGTTTAGTTAATAAATGACGTGTTTTGGGTAACATCATTAATCGACGAAGCCATTTAAATGATTTTCGCAAGAATACTTATTTGCAGAAACTTGCTTTACGCCCCTGAAATTCCATCTTTCATCCATCAACAGAGCAGTGACTCTTTTCCATCAACAAGTCTTCGAAATACTTGAAATACAAAAAAAGCGATAAGAAGAAGAGAAAAAAAATCTTTCATGTTAATCTCATTAATTTCAGTTAAAACAGACAAGGGGAAAAAAACCAAACAGGATGTTTGAATAAGCTCTCATAATCCATCAATTAGTACGTTTATTAATGATAAACGATTGAATCTTTCATACGAATTTTTTTGCCTTCAAATCAGGAAAGAAGGGAAAGGAAGTTGAGTAGAAAAGTTTTCTAATCTTTAGCAATAATTAGATAGATAGCCAGTGGAAAGTTTTCCATTCCTTTTTTTCTTGAATTATTTAATAACGAGACGAAGAAGAAAAGAAAGAACTCAATTATTATAATCGCATTACGAACACCTTTGGACCCGTGAAATCTCAAAACTCATCATCTCGATAGTTAATTTGATTTAAAAAAAAGGAAAAAAAAATCACAGCTTGAAATTTGAGTCATCAACAGATGGAGAGTTGATGTTTATTTATGCACAGGGCAGCGAGTTATTGCTTAGATTTAATTTTCATCAAACAAAAATGTTGCTTTCAACATCACAATACCAGACATTCATGCGTCGTTCGAAAAACTCTTCCGTTGTGGGAAAGTGTTTAGGAAGTCAAAAATTTTCGACTTGTATTGAGTTAATTTCAGGCGCTTCACAACACATTTAAGCAAATAGCATAATTGAAAAGTATCCGTGCTGATCGTAGTGTTTCATAAAGTAAACAAATCATTAAAAATTATGATGTGCGGCAGTTCATGAACTTCAATGCCATAATCGTTAGCTATTCTGTGTGTTAATGAAATTGAATGTTTACAAAAAATAAAAACATAACAAGAATCAAAGTGAAGTAGAAGAGAACTGAATCAATTAGTAAGCTTGTTAGCTTGGTTATTCAATAAGAATATATTTTTCTGCTTCAGCAAAGTTTGTGAATGCTTAATGTTAATTACAGAAATCGTACGCCTCAAGTGACAAACAAAGCAACTTTATAGGATATTTTTTGATATGAAAAATAAGTAGAGTCTTGTTTTTCTCTCCGTAGTTTTGCATTTAATGGAAGTTAATTAATTCAGCGATAAAGAAAAGAGAAAAAATGTTATAACTAGTGACGTAAAAAGATTACTTAGATAATAATCGCGACTGCAAGAAATTGAAAATAATAAAAAATTCAAATGAGAGCCGGTAGTTTGCAAGTTCCGCACATCGTTGTTACAGAAGATCGTGAGTTCAAACAATTTCCACCGATAGAAATAAAAGTTGAAGGTGTCAGTAGTGAATCAGACAATGAAGATGAAGACGAGATTCCAACGAGAACGCGACTACGGCCAGGTTTACGACCGAACTCTATTAGGTGCAGACAAAGCAAGCAAGCAATATTGTGATGAGAACAACTAACACAAAGCTGTGCTGTCAAACTAACAAAAACACAAAACAATATAACGAAAAACGAAATTTTTGTGATGTTGATCTTCGTTTTGTGTCACTTAAGCTTTTAAATATCTTCCACGTTCCTAACAATATCCGATTAATCTCTTTTCTTTTCTTATGTGGGGTCTTTTTTGGCAATAAAAAATTCTTTTTATTTATATTTCTCTCTATCACTCTCTGTAAATATTTCATTCTATACAAGCATAAGCTCGATACGAAAATAAATTTATTATCAGTATCACTCAACTTACGGGATTGTTTGGAAGCTTCTTCATCTTCAATTGATTTATTTCAACATGAAAATATTCTCAAAGTCATCAGAAGAGAGGGGAAAATATTTTTAGACTTAATGTTGATGAAAAAAAAAAAGTGGGAAAGTTTCGAATCAAGCTGTTAAGCAGATGAATAAACAAATTCGTGTATATAAACAAGTTTGATATCATAAATTGTATCAAATTAAGATTTTCATCATGAAACATGGAAAATGAGATTTTTCTTTCTTTTCTTTTCGAGCACATTTCAATTTCCGAGAGTTTTTATGGGAAAATCAACAGGTTATCTGGGTTTTCAGTAACTGATTTATGAACTAAGAGTTCATGTCTTGAACAAATAAATTTGATAGTGGAATTAAAATTGAAAATTTTTATGAGTAATTCAACTCAGAAAACACTTCCAGAGTGAAAACGAAATCAAAAGAAAACATTTTTTGATAATTTATTCACTCTTACCTGTTTAGATTAGCATACATTGCAAAAGTTTTCTTTCTTTCAAATATTTTCACAAGCATAATGTCTGACTTAAGAATGCAAAATGCAATTTCCTCAACAGCAGAGCTTTTCTTTCTTCTTTCTGTTGGCAATTCCATACATATGTGATCACAATAAAACTAGTAACAGTTTGTGAAGTGAATTTCCATTTTTTATTTTTATAAGATTCTCATTGTAAATAAATGTAGCTTTATTTAATCATGCTCTCTGCTCTTTGAAGTGAATTAAATTCAAATTTCAATCTTAATTTTTTCTTCCTTTTTTCGAAGCTTATAGGCATTGAATAAATTTGAATACCTTACTTAAACATTTTATAAAGGAAATTATTTGCCAAAAGATTTTTTCATAAAACCAGAGCGCCGAAAAATAGGCAGTTTGCTTCCTATGATGTCAAATGTACCATGTTGTTATGGTTGTATTATGCATTCATTTCTCTTTCTAACCGACAGTCTTCATAGAATTTTTCAAGCTATGATATTAGATTATGCAAACACAAATTATGCAGATTAAAGTTGATAAGATATGCATCTTGATATTTATTTATCTCGACTTCTTTTCACACAGAGAATTGCTTGAAGCAGTGAAAATTTTGCGATAAGAAAACTGAAAAAAAAGCATAACAATTTAGATTGTGACGTGAGTGTCAGAAAGTTTATTGCTTAACTCCTGTGGAAAATTTTGTACCAAATGGGGAAATCATTTCGATGAAATCCTTTTAAGCTTTCTCAATAAATTTGCTTCTGTTAAGAGAAAGGAAGATAAAGAGAAGCAATATGACAATCATCATAATATTCATTCAGAGCTGGGCATGGACATCTCATTTAAAGTTTTTATTGTAAGTTAGATCGATAATCGGAACGTTTTTGAAAGCAAACACAAAATCCAGCTCTGTATACATTGCCATATAAAAAATATACCAAAACAGAAAGGACTAAGAAATCAAAACATTTCATCTGAAAATGTGAAAAACATGAAGTCAATAAATTTTCTCGTTATTTTCCTTTCTTGTGATAAGAAAAGAAAAATCAATTTTCTTTTGCAATGCTTCCAATAAAAATATCAGAAGTTCTAGATGCGTGGGTGTTTGTCGTTCAGGTGTTTTCAATAGCATGAACATTTTCCAGCTTCAGTTTATGTTGTTCTGTTCGTTTTTTCAAGCCAATCATTGATTACTCAAATTGCACAAAATAACCTTTCATTTTGATGGCAAAATAAATTGTCGGAAATTATGGATAAGTAACGTTGTGTCATGATGGAAATTCAATTGAAAATAATCATTCTCTGGCATGTTTTCCATTCAACCCACTGTCATTTAACTTTCCGAGGCGTGTAGAAAAATTAGCGAACAGCTCAAAGCTAGTTAAACACGAAGAAAATCGGCTACTGGCTAATAAGTATAATGCGTGTTTATGATTAATTCCCTTTGCAGAGCAATATCATGCCTTGAATTTGCTAGCTAAAATATACACATTTCTGCTGCTTTCTCATTTGCATTCAACAGAAATTTCTCTTTTGATTGTATTACGTAAGTTCCAATATTTTGACTAACAATATTCACTCGAACGCCCTTGAAATGTTTTATTGCTGGTAGCATAAAAACGTATATATGGAATATTAATTATCAAAGACGATTACAATAATCAAGACAGTTTATAAAACTCAATTTTTGGGATGGGAATGAAGTTTAATTTAAACAAATGATCCATCAAAACATATTTCATTAATATCTGACATTCATTGATTGTATTTATAAACATACAAACGACCGCAAATATCCTCAACTCAAATAACAACGTACGACTCCTGAATCGAACATACCAATCAATGTGAAATGAAATCAGTTTTATTTTTATTTTCTTCTCCCACAACAAAATTGTGACATAAACTTGAACATCGATCGTCAGACACGTTTCAATCAAAACTCAATTTATCACGTTGTGAGAATTTTAATTAACTATGACAAAATATTAAAAGTATCGAAAAACTCTGTAAAAGAGATTGATTGAAAGATTAACTGCCTCCAATCATCATCAATTGATAGTCAAGGAGTTTCCGTTTGTTACATTTTTCAGGAGTCAACAAGAGCTTGTTGTGACTTTTATGGTCATTTGGTGGTTGCTTCTATTATTGATAACACGTTTTCATTTTGAATTTCAAAGTGTCATATTACAACATTTTCCTTTCTTCATCTGGTATCGTTTTAGTGTCTGCAAATTATCTGACAAAAATAGGGCCGACAGGCTTGCACGCCCAAGAATGTCTCTCCTGGGCAAACCACTCAACTACAATCGCGGTGCTCGCCGTGATGCCCGATATCGACGACTGCAGAGTAGAATCTATAACTTCTTGGAGCGACCGAGGGGAAAGCTTGCAGTTGTTTATCACGTTTTGGTGTAAGTATTGACAACCTTAAATGAACAATTTATTCCATCATCGTGCTGTAAATATTTAAGAATCTTCTCACACATCTCGTTTGCACGTGTCAAATGAAATTTACTTTCGTATCGATAGATTCACATTTATTTATCCATCGTATTCCATCTAACCGCAATTGTGATTGCAACTTACAGAAGCTTCAGGATATTATCTAAACGGAGTGAAAACATATTGACCCAAATATGTTACGTTCGCTTCAGATTCATAAACCCTTGAGGGATTTGTTGCATTTCACATTAGCTTTCTTTTCATTTTCTTCTATTTCTGAAAATTTTTACTCTCTAGAGGAGAAAAATATTTTTTGTGCAGTGAAGAAAACAAATTTGTGGAAAACTTTTCCCCAAAAGCAACAAGAGAAATGGAAATAAGACAGAAAAATGTTTTTCCAGACTTTCCTTCCAACCCTTTCGTCGTACTTTTAGCTTTCTTTTTTTGGATCTGCACACTTTCAGCTGCTTAGTTTATCGTACACCATGGTGTTGTAAATTTTACGATAAAGAGATTAGCAGCCTCCATCTTCAAGCCTCTCCATAAGCTTTTTTCCCTTCATTTGTTACTTCCTCGCATAGAAGCAAATTTTCTTCTTTACACATTGAACGAGAATTTATCGCGTTCAAGGGTATCGACATTGATTAGATTGGAATGAATTTTTCATGAATTATGCTAGAGATAGTTTTGTGTACATAACCGAAGATATTTCATTGATCTCAACTTATAAAATCTTTCTCATATTTTGATAATTTTTTTATTCAAGAAAGTTCAATGAATTGTTCATTTCTCATTCCAGTTTTTTAATGGTATTCACGTGTTTAGTCCTAAGTGTCTTCTCAACGATTCAGGAATATGAGGATCAAGCAATTTCTTTACTATTCACAATGGAAATTATCGTAGTGATATGGTTTTTAATAGAATTTGCCCTGAGGTAAGTTTAGTGAAGCTTTCAATATATTTTCCTCTCACTTTACACATTGAGGTCTTCGTGATAACAGTGAATTACCTTACAACCAACCGCAACGAAATTTAAAAGCAACAAAACAAATTCCGCCATGATAGAAAGCCTAATTGTAATATTTTGTTTGCTTTTCTCACAAGTTGAAAATGCTTTTTAAAGTGAGGCGAACGGAAAAAACATTTTTAATTTATATATCCAACAATTAAAAGAAGGAAAAGCTGTAATTATTGTAGCCATGTTTTTATTTATAAGGAAACCAAGAAAAAAATATGCTTTCGGTTCATGTTCACATTCAACCATCAATGCTAAACACTAAACAACAATAAAAAGTTATAAAAGGTGGTTTCAGTCAGCTAACACAATTAAATATAGTTTCGGCAAACATAATTGCATGATATCATACAAATTTATGAGACGGGAATAATTTTATGACAAAACTTTGAACTTTTAGTTGAGCAAAGTCGTAAAATTCACTCGAAACAACTGCTAAATATTTGCTGCTTAAGTAGCTGGATAAGTATTTCGTTTCATGGAAAAGTCGCTCGTGATTAGTTTTTACTTTACTACTAAACTTACTGAATTGAATTAAACTTTCTTCATTAAAAACTCATCGAAACTATGTTCGTGATCAACTAAGTAGAAAGTCTTCATTTGATGCAGACATTTCCACCAAATAATATAAAATGAAATGAAACAGAAATTGTGAAAACCTTTACAATTTCTTCTTTATTCTTTCCACAGCTTTTCCTTTTTAAACTTTTACTAGAAAGAAAATTATTTTTACAAAAAATAAAATAAAATGGAACAAGAAAACATCTAAGAGTGAACTTTAAGGATGAAAGAAAGAAGGAAAGAAAAACCTGTGGGTAAAGTTTCTTTTTTGTTAATCAAGAAAAAGTAGTTGCTTCCAAGACAAATTACGTTTTCAAAGGCACAAAGTAGATAAAAACAAAAACAAGAAAGCGACAATGTTGTTTCATACGAAACAAGTTACAAGTATAAAAGCGTTCATGAGAAACACCTTTTAGTGTTCGTCTGTCTAAATAATTTTGCATTGACTTTGATCATGCTGTTTAATAGCAAAGTTTATTTATATTTAAAAGAAAATCGATAGCGATGCAAAAACGATGTCAGCTTAATTGGTAAAAACTGCTCGTCAGTATCGTCGGCCAAGCAACGAACACATAAATTGAAATTTTTATTTTTTATTTTTTCCTGTTTCGTGCTTTTGTGCACTTCATAAAAAATAACGGCACGCACCTGAATTTTGTTTATAAGTTTCTGTGTAGGTTCAAGTTGGAAATAAATGAGAAACTACGAGGACAAAGTTCATTGCATCATTGTGCAAACTTTGAAAGCAAACGAATGGCTAAAAGTAATTTAATGAATTTCAAAGCTCGTAATAAAACATTCACTTTACGACAGGCATAGATCAAACAAACAAATATATCTGGAAAAGTAAAAGTTTCCTATACAATGTATTACCATGTGTTCCATGATTTATTTGGCATCAAAATAGTCGAAATCATATAACATTACCATTGCTCCTTTTACAGGTCATGAATCTCTGATTTGTTTCACGTTTCATGAACGCTTTGCTTTGGGATCTAAACCTGTCCATGGCGTTGTTTTCATTTATTTACAAAGATTAATGTGACGCTTTCATCATTTGTGAATTAAACAAAATGGTAACTTGTTGCAGCATCGTGCTTTGCTGTTGCTTTCTCCATATTTTCGCTGTCATGGTTATTTAAGGAAATTGTTGCGATGGGAAAATTAAAATGTGTGTTTGGCAAATTACCAAAACATTCTTTCCTCTGTCCTTATATCTCTCGGGGGTAAATAATTTTGCTGGAATTAAAATATCGCATTTCACAATTATTTCTCAACAGACTTTGGTCGTCAGGATGTCGCTCGAGATATCAAGGAGGCATAGGCCGCTTGAAATTCCTAAAAAGACCTTTTTGTATTATAGGCGAGTATTTGTGGATATTTTTTAATGAATTTAAGAACTAATTATGCTTTTATTTCATTAGACATTGTCACAATAGCAGCTTCATTAGTTGTGATAGCAATGGGGACATCAGGACAAGTGTTTGCTACAAGTGCACTTCGTGGTCTACGCTTCTTCCAAATCCTCCGTATGGTTCGAATGGATCGACGTGGCGGAACTTGGAAACTTCTTGGAAGTGTTGTCTATGCACACAGACAAGTGAGTGTTTATATGATTATTAGTATTAATATTCTGTAATTAAACTTTAATTATGCACAAACATTCAAAGCCTTTCATCTCCAAAGGAATAAATAAATACCTAATTTGAAATTTTAATTACTATTTATCTATTAGAGAATAATATCAGAATTTATTACTCCGGTTTATCTAAATGGCTTTCGTTTGAAAGAGTCCTAAATAATTTAAATGATCCTTCAGACAGAAACCAAACTTAATTAAATCTCTAAGCTTTTTATTGACACGACACATATCTAACATACATGCTAAAGTTGTTTAATCATATCTACATTTGTCAACCCTTGACCATAAACTGTCAAGAAGTTAATTTACCAGAAAATTGACATAAAGCAGAGTTTGGAATTGAAATCAAAATTCATAAGATTCGGAATAATTTTTTAAAAAGAAACTTCCGAATCTGATATAATCAAAAGCTTCAACATGTAAACTCAAAAACTTTGTCTGATTTAGTTAACATAAAATTTATGTTCAGATGTCATTTGAGGTATTGAAGTTGAAAGGTTCTTGTCTGACAACTAAAATTAAATATTTACAAGAATCTTAAATTGAAATATATTTTCTTTCAAAAAACTTTCGACATGATTTAAATTACAAAAAAACATTTTTCATCATATCAAAGTTCAGAAAGTTGAGAAATCTTTGTTTGTGATGTCTTCTCTTTGATCCTTGTTATACATCTTGTTACAACAAACACAATTTAAAGTGAAAGGCTTTACATCAGAGAAGAGTAATCAGACACTCATTTACAACAACTTTGACTCTAAATCTGTTTTTCCTTCCTTGTTTCACACTGACCATCAATCTCATTCTTATTCACTTTTAGGAGCTAATAACAACACTTTACATAGGATTTCTTGGCCTTATATTCGCATCGTTCTTAGTTTATTTAATGGAAAAAGACGTAGAGCCAAAAGATAAAAATAAGTTCAATAATTTCGCTCAAGCACTTTGGTGGGGTGTGGTGAGTTTAATGGCAACATGATGAATCTTTTAAACAAATTAATAAGCAATAAAATCATTTTCATTCCCCGCTATAGATAACATTATGTACAGGTAAGTCATTAAATTTTTAATTGAATTATTAAAACAAATCATGGCATTGATTTGTGTCATCAACAGTGGGCTATGGTGATGCAGTGCCAACGACGTGGCAAGGGAAAATTATTGCATCATTTTGTGCACTACTCGGAATTTCGTTCTTCGCATTACCCGCAGTAAGCTTAACTATTTAAATATTTAAATATAACACCGGAAATGAGAATTTTTTTTGTTTCTAAAAGTTATTGCACAATCATGGCAATAAGTTATTCCTTCTTTTTTCCACAAAAACTAATGATCTTTTGAACATGGTACGGAAACTCATACGGGAAACTAAAAAAAGTTGTAACGTCAACAGAAACAAAGAGTAAAAAGAACTTAACAGGGTTGAATGTGGTTTTCATGACTAATATTGATGATGAATATAGGAAACGACATGCAGTGAAGTGTAATGTCCCCAAAACATAAAATCACTGAATGCATAATATTTCAGACCTCATAAATTTTCCTTTATTCTCGTGACTTAATTTTCTTTTTTGTAATTTATCAATAACGAGAAAGTTCACAGTGGAATTCACCTAAGTAGCTTAGTTTTTAAATTGAAACTGCTGTTGAAACGAATAACTTTAATGAAAACAGTTGCTTAGTAAGCTTTAAAGTTTTCCTAACATGCTTTTCTAGTTTTATGTCATGAACGATGTTGAGGATATTTTATGCGATTTTATGAATTAATAAATTTTACTTCATGAAATAGTTTCCTTCTGTTTATGAAACAAGAACAAAATTAATGCAATGTCGTTTATGAAACCAGCAAGAAAGGAAAAAAACTTTTTGTAAATTAATGTTTTGTCGAGTTGATCAACTTTTTTAAAATTTTTATTAATTAAAATGTTTAAATGAAAGAACATCAACCAAACAACAATAATATGTTCAATCTCAGTAAAGTCTCTTTGTTTGTACTTTTTTTTATAAATAAACAGGGAATTCTCGGAAGTGGATTTGCTTTGAAAGTACAACAGCAACAAAGACAAAAGCACATGATTCGACGACGTCAGCCAGCGGCAACATTAATTCAATCGCTTTGGCGCTGCTATGCAGCGGATGAACATTCTCTGTCTGAAGCGACTTGGAAAATTCATCAAGTGCCATTGCCTTCCCCACCGCCATCGTAAGTTTAACCTTTCACTTTATGCCCGTTTTTTATGTTTCTTTTTTTTACTCTGATTGACATTTTGTGGGATTCGAACAATGAAAATATAAAAGCGAAAGACTCCGAAGAGGGTTTTTCTGTTCTCTGTTCGCTGCTAGTTCGAAAAGAAACTTCATATTATGGGAAAAATTATTATCTCAAGCTTTGTTGAGTTTCATTGAGTCATTAAACTCTAGAAAAATTTTATTTTCTTCTTTAATAATTTCATACCTTTGAATCTTTCTCTCTTGATCTTGAATTTCGAGTTCTTGTCTTTCTCCAACTCATCGTGATGGATAAGAAGTCAGAAATAAATTTCATTCTTCCACTTCTTCTACTCTTTCTTCTTCTCATCTCTTTGCCATTTATTTGATATTCGTTAATGATGTATCCACTGTCTTGCGATGAAAGCTTTTATTTCTTCTTGATGTTGTTGATGTTGTGGAAACTTTATGCACTTGAAAAAAATATGTTTTAAATTGAAAAATCACAATGGGATGAAAAGGTTTCAGAATGGAAGAAGCTAAAAGCAAAATTTAATGATTTTAACAAAAAAAAAAGTCATCAAGTCAACAAGAAATGTTTGCGATTCATCTCTTGACGTAGCAACATCTTACAAAAAAAATTGAATTTTTCTGGGATTCTTACGTATCAAATTTTATTTATTATGGTTTCTATTGAATTGAATTTTCCACTTTTTCCAGCAACGAGTACTGGGAAAATCTGCTCAAATCAATTTATTCGAATAGGTAACAAAATGAAGAAGTAAATTCTGGTTAAAAACTAAAACAACCACTCGAGTTTGATTTTATTTTTCTCTCTTTTTATTTTTATTTATATTTTGTGGTGACTCGAACTTAACTCGAGGTGTGATCTTAATATTGATAATTATAATTGCTTGAAGTTCAAAGTGAATTAAAATCATGCTGATGCTTTTACATAACTTTGGCACATCATTTCATTATAATCGAGTTCTTAATTCCATTGGCAATCTGTTTCGCGAATTATTTTTAATTCTTTTTCGATTCATCAGATTTGAATCTGTTGTGTTTTTAATTAAAAGAAAATCTCTCAAACAAACCAAAACAAAAACGGAACTCGGAAGTTTAGTAACAGCCGGAAGGAAAAATAGTCAAAAACAGCGCGCTAATAATTAATTTATGACTTGACTGTTTTTCGTGTTTGTCCCTTGACGATCAAGTTATTAGTATAATGTATATGCTTGTGTCAAGGCTGCAAAAATAATCATTTATATCAGAGAATTTAATTTAGTCGTAAAAAGATGACGCGGCAAATTGTTCATGATAAAAAATTCTTAAAAAATTCATTTGCAATTGACATTAACTGACCCAAATATTTCTTTAAGATCACCGCCACAACCTTTTAATTTCCTTTCTTTATTGTTATTTTTAAAAGTCATTGAGTTCCAAACAACGAATAAGCAAGCATCTTATCCAATTTATATCAATTTTTGAAAAGCAATCAACACGAGAATGCTACACAATAAATTTTTTTAGTTGTGTATGAAACTTTATTCCTTAATTACTTTTACACTGTATAAATGCAAATTAATGATAATGGTTGAAGCATCAATTGATTTTCTATCCTTTTTAAGAAGATTCTTCTTTCAACATTCATTTGCAAGAAACTTTCTTCTCTTAGTTGCAATATGGAAAGCAAGAAAAAGTTTGAAGCAAGCAACAAGCTAGATATTTACATTGATTTTTTTAAACAGTTGCGAGATTTTCTCAAATGCATCTCTTTTATTTAACTCTTTGATTCGTGCTTACATCTACTACAAGCATCTTACTAACCACAACCATTTCAACTTCTGCAAATATTTCCTGCAACAGGCGCAGATATTTTCCATTTTCTTTTCTTTTTAAACTTTCTACTTGTACAATCTACAACACAATAAGACAATAAATTATGAAAGCATAATCTTCTTCTTGTCCTTCTATGCATTTCTTTCTCCTAAATAAATTAATTTCTTTTATTGTTATTTTCCTCATAAATTAATACAAGAAAGTTACGAACAAATCTTTTTTTTGTTTCTTTGGAAGAAAGAAAAACTTAATAAATTCTTGTTTGCTTTTGTCAGTTCTTTATTCATTACGGAATTTTTTATGTCATTATTTATCCAGTAGAAATATTTCAGTTATGGTGATGTATCAATTTCATTCCATTGTATATTATATAAAGAAACATCATATCTCATTTGCTATCTACTTGAAGGACAACAAATAAATGAACCCATTGTGGTTGTAGATAATTAAGTTCGATCCCCTTCGAGTCCTTTGCCTGTTTTGAAATTGATTTATCGAGGAAACGAAGCATTAAAGCTCATTTTTAAGCAATTAAATGAACACTGTTCGTTGAAATTCATCTTTTTTAATTATTGCGGACTCGGCAAACACAAGACTTGACTCCCTTTACTTAAATTGTGTTTATTTTACAAGAACGATCCTTAGAAATTGTTTCATTTAAATTGTCTTAACTTGCCATCCTCTTCAAACAAATCTGAATTTTTTTATTGTTTCTTTCCGTTCCTGAATGCAAACAATTGAATGAACCTGTTTCATTGCTTAAAATTCCATTTTCTCTTCTTGAAACACTCACAGTTTTCGAGGTCAAAAAATTTATTTGTTAACAAGACGATATCCAAGTGGTACAGAAAGGTTGGTGTATTCACTCTCACTTTTTTCCTTCTATGTACCAATAAACAAAACTTACCTTGTACTTACAACAAACAGAAATTACATCTCAATGTACACAACACTGCAATGGCCGACAAACTTTCTTTCTTTCATTCTTCCTATTTTTGTTATCTATTCTCGTGTAAATAAATAGCAAAATCACGCTCAACACTCAATTGTGCGTGCTTTTGAAAAGCAAAACTTTTCATCGTGTTTATGTTTTTCTTTTACACAAAAAAAAGAAAACTTCTTGATGTTTAATTTCTCTTCTTTTTATTCTGTCTATTTATCTGTTTACATGTTTTGTTCACATGTATGCACCATCCTGAATGGCGCTGATCTGTCTTTTCCCTTGCTCTCTTTGCTTCTATCACTCCATCATATGTTTGTAGATGTTGAAACATACTCCGATGGATATTACGCGCTGTTGAAACTTTGATGTTTAAATGTCGTTTTCTTTTTTCTCGTACAATTTTCTATGTCATGGGTTGTGAACATAAATCTGCTTGAAAAAAAGAAAAGAATTTCATTCAATCACAAAATATTTAAAACGCGTAACATTTGATTTATGAATTAATCATAAAAATAAATTATTTAACTCACAAATTTAAAATAAAAATGAACTAAAATCAAAAGAATTTGGCTTCAAATGCTTCAAAAGAAACAGAAGCAGTTGGTCGTATTTTTTTTACTTTTATACAAGTATTGAAGCAATGACCAATAATTGCATTAAAAAGTTGAAACAGGAAATTTAATTGTAATTTGTATCATTTTTCTATTTCTTCTCTTTTATTTATTTTTCTCCATTATTTTCCACCCTTACTTCGTTATCGTTTTGAAATGGAAACAAAATATTGCAATAATCCGCATTGATTTTATTTGCCCTCTGTGTATAATGTGTTGAAATGAACTGCAGATTGGGTAGTAAGTTTAGGTAGGTTGAGTTTGAGTTTTCGAATAGTTTCTTCTGTTTCTAACAATTCTTTCATTTAATCACGAAGTTTTATTCTCTTCTAAACAATATTCTTTGTTTGTCTTTTTTTCCCGACTGTTCAACAACGCAAATTAATTTCAGATTCTAAAAACGATTTTAAAAGTTTTAGTTTGTTTTCTTAGTTTTGTTTTCTAATTCATTTAAGACAAACATTAATTTAAAAGCATGTTTTGGGAGAATCTTTTGCTTTTTAAGACAAAAAAAATTCTTATAGTTTAAGTAAGTTTTCACAATTCATCTTTATTGCACAAGCACTAAACATCTATCTCAGGTTGTATCTGGTAAAAGGCTATGAAAGTTAGCAGTAACAACATTATAATGTGGATAGATTGCGTTTAAGAAGCTTCATGCTAAAACTTTTCACTCTCTGTCTTCATGAATATTTGATAAACATGCTCTGGATGATGCGTTCTTTCAGGAAGAACGGAAGTGACAGATTCAAGAGCATTTGTGTTTTCATGAGCTGCTACAAGAACTAACAACGTGCACTCATTATTATTCATGATTTTCTCTCCTCAAAACGAAATTACTGCAAATGTTTTATATCATTATTATTATTGTTATTATTATTATTTATCATTTTTCTTCTTCTTTTTTTTGTGTATCAAAATTTGATTCATGATTTTCTTATGCTTTACAACATGAATATTGTTATGATTATAAAAGCTTCGTGATGAATAATATTTGAACAAATGAAAGCTTATGCTAAGAGTATTTTTTCTCTCTTTTTTTCTTCTTATTTCTTTCTATATTCCTGTTTTATGTATCAAAATAAAATAAATGATTTAAAAAATAAAAATTTAAACTAAACTTTACGGGTAAATGTCAAAAACTAAAAATAATATAAATCGGGTTTCATTTTAAAAATATAAACGCGCTTAATATACGAAACAAAGATCCAAATTGGAACCGCCCGATATGTAAGTTTTATGCTCAAATTTATTTCTTGAATTTTTTGTATTGCCTCGTTTTAAACCAACCACCATCAATTATTACGTGCATCACTTTGATTTAAATTTTAATACTTTGTTTCAATTTAATTAATTCTCGATTAGACGCTTTTAAATTCCAATAATTTAGGTTTGTTGAATTGGATACATTAAAAAGCTTGAAATAGAATTATTGTAACTTTTTAAAAAGCTTTCGAGAACTTTGTAGGAGTTCTTGCATAACAATTTAGATCGAAGAAATATTCTTTTTATTGTCAATGTACATAAAAACTGTACGCTAACAAAATTTTCTTATATACATTTTTATTATAAAAATAAATTTGTCAAACAACATTTAACTCTGAGTTGTAATATTCACGAATACTCATGACATTTCAGATCTTACTTAGCGACGCTTAAGAAAGAACCTTTAACCTTTTTAAAGCAGCAACGACTTTAACCTTTTAGAAGGAATTTTATTAACTTTATATTTTTACAATCTCAAAACGAATTTATTTTTAAAGCTTTTGTGAACGGCAACACAATTTCAAAACGTGTCAAAGGTCATTATAACTTAAGAGTGTTTTCAATTAGGCTAATTGTACGTCTTCTTAACTTTCGAGAATCTCAACATTCAATATATTCACAATCGTTGAATGAAGGAATGAGCCATTGAAAACTCTTCTCGCTTCGGTTCAGAAAGTGAACTGCTGCTGTTTTTTTACGAATATTTCCCTCGTTTCTGTGTAAAGTATTTTCATAGATTTCAATCTCATTTAGCGCATTTAAGGGAGGGTGAAAACTGAAAATCCTTTTCCTTAGCACAGCACAAAAACCTTTTTTTTTCTTTCGCTCATAAAAGCTTCTTTGAGAAGAAGAAATGAACAAGAAAATGGTTAGGGATGCCTTTGGCAAGAACAAAAAGCAGAAAAATAAACAATCATAACAAAGCAGATTTTAACTTTCATTCTAAGCTTGATTTCTGTGAAAATATAGGAACAGATTCACAAGTGAATCGAAGAGCGAAATTACCTTTCCAAGATTATCGCTTTGCGACTTACGGTATAAGTGATGTTCAGGGTGATGTTATGTTAAGTTTAGTATGTGTTTGAAAAGCCCCACAAGGATGGTTTCAATGACTGGAATAGATTGAAACAGAATAACGACGATCACACAAAATTTTGTATTTTTCTTTCTTTCATGTTTTTACATTTATTTTTTTTGAAAGCCACGAATGAATTCGCATTACGTTCACGTTTTGATTTTGATTAAATTCAACACCATTCTTCAGAGATTATGTGATACATGAACAGTTTTGTACACGCCAACTTTGATAGATGTACGCTTTAGTGACGATGTTGGCGATGTCACATTGAGTTTTGTCGCAAAAGCGAGGGAAAGAAAAAGCGTTTTCATCGCGGGAAGCGTTCACTAACGATTATTGCGTAGCTTTAACATACATACAACGACCAACTTGACTTGTGTTCAAAAACTCAGAAAGCGACTTATTTAACTTTCCTCCTTTTATTGAATGTTTTAATGATCGTGCCCTTTTCCTGCTTCGCATTTTATTGATTGGTCTCTTACTCTTCAAGCAAATTTGTGTCTCGCTTTACATTTACTGACTTTTATTATCTATATTATTGATGTCATTAAATGTTTTGTATATGTCTCCTTTCTCCAATGTTGTTAAACGCTTTAAAAAACTAACTTTTTTGTAATCACTTGGATATGTGGAAATTTTCGCTATTCCATGTTTAACTGCAAAGTTTTTATATTGTGGTTATTTGATTCAGGTTTTCATTGCGTAGACAAATAGGCAAATAACTCTCGGCACACAAATTCATTGTCAGAATTAAAATATTTCAATTCGCTTCTATTTTTTTAAGTAGATTTAAGCAGAACTCTTATTTAGTATCTAGTTGAAAATTGTTTTAAATAAATTTTGTGGGCTTTAATAAATATTTACAATTAGATACATAAATAGTTTAGAAAATAATAAACTTAGTGCAGCTTTACAATCTTTTTTTTATTTTATTGAGGCCATAAGTCGACTTAATATTTATGTACTTAGATACACTTTTTACTTACGTTTAGATTAGAGTTGTAAAACATTTTCACGACACAACAATCAATATTCACATGCATCATAAATATCAGCAACACCAGAGATAAATTATCAGAAAATTTTTATGGTATTTCAATAGAAAACGAGGGTTTGCAAAATTTCTCACAGTTCTAATAATAATAAATGAAAAACTATTGAAATGTCAATCTCATCACATTTTATTTTATTTTTTATTATTTTTTTATCAAATTAATTTTTTTTCTTTCTTTTTTTTTGTTTTTGCTTTCATGATATTTTTTGTGACCTCATGTGTGTGCATTATTTTTTGTTACGCAACCAACAACACTTGTGTTTAATATGATTTTTTATTTAATTGGAAAAAACAAATTAAATTGTGTGTTTTGTGTCATCATCACGACATAAACTACCAAATCGTCAAACATAAATGCACCTTCAACCAACATGAATCAAATCATCCACGCTTCAAATCACAATAATTTAACATGAAAAATCCACAACATAAAATTGTAAAATTCCATAACTAAAGCTATAGATTTAACTCAATATCGCTTCTTAGACGAGCGTCTTCGAGCTTCAAACACAATGCATCGTTCGTAGCGCGACTTCCAACTATTCGAAGACACAAGAGCCAATCGTTACATTCACCAGGCAACCTCAAACCAGCTGGAGGAAGCCAAAGAGGTCGACCGAATCAATATCCAAGACCAATGAACGAGATTAATAATTCAGCTGAGAATCTCGGTTTGTATCTTTATTTAAAAATCACTTCCTTCCTTTAAGAGCACAAACATCCATTTATATCGATAAATAAACAAATTGAAATGAAATTTAAAAATATTTTCCACTTCGAACTTTCATTTTGCAGATGTGACAAACAATGGAAGACCAATGAACGCGAGTTTGTCAGAAGATTCCGTTGCTGAAACTGCTCTAGCCAAAAAGAATTCCGATGGTAAGAATAAAACCATTATTTATTGCTGCAATTATTTGTATTCTGGAGTCGCCTCGACTTCAATATTTATTAACTTGTTAACTTGCAATGTATCGCTGGCTGCATTCAGTTCAATTATCTTCTCATTTTTTCTCTCCTCAAATTTGATATTAACAACAATAAATAAATATTGGCTCAAATTTCAACTCACTTTAAAACAAAAAATGAAAAAAAATAATGCACGAACAAAATTCTTTAGCAATTCCTGTTGAAAGACGTAAAGAACTGAAAAATACGAATGTCCAACTGTCAGCCAATGATTTTAATTTCTCGACATTAGCCAATCGAAGATGGAGTAACATGTTTTTTCTGTCACCCTGTCGTCGTCATCGTCGACGAAAAAATTTAGATATCGGCAGCAACACAAACACAAGTAGTAGTACTGAAAATAGTAATAACAATTTAATGACGCGCTCGAGTTCGAGTCACAGCAGCTATGAGACCACGATCCATAATGATAAGCTTCTTCTATGCGATGATATGACACGTACCGAAATTGGAGCAATTTCGGCGGCACTGCCTGCTATGCTTTGTGGTTTCTCTGGTCATAATGTTGTGTGCAACACGCATAATCTTCAAGCAATCGCTTGTAGTGATCCAAAGAATTCCATTGATGACAATGCTGAGCATATTGCCGTGGCTAATATTGGTAGTGAAATTTGATGCGACAATTCACATTCATTTTCTCACATTGAAAGGGAGTTTCGTTTTCGTCACATTTTCAACACATTTCTTTGAATTCTCCACCGCATTTTTCTTTTCTCTTTCTCTCATAAAATGTTCAAGCGACCTTAGGGCAACCTTGAGCTTAATTTTCATTACAAAGTATTGAAAGATTGAAAATTGAGTTGATAACTTTATCAACCATTTGTATATAAGTGTAAATTTCTTCTTACATCAAATGACCTCGAAATTCTTTTATTTATTTTATGATAATTTCATAAATGGATCCTTTAATACAAAAGTTCGTTTTTATTTTTATGTTTTGTTTTTCAAAAAAGGTATCGTTTAAACTCTTTCGTACAGCTCAAGGTTGAATGGATGAAATTAGATTTTTCTTCTTCCTCGGCTTTGTAGATATGTAAAAAGAAAACTTTTGATTTTCGTTTCTATTTCATGGAGCGAAACACACGAATTGTATGATAATCTTCCACATATTCTGATCATATATTTCAGTGAAAACATTAGAAAATACACACGGCAAGCCCGTTCGTTGCCTACCCCAAGAGTGGAATTATTGCTATGCCCAAGATTTCTTTTTTTCTCTTAGCCTTGATTCGAACGCGCCATTTAACTTCCTTACGGCTTCTTTCTTCCGCTGTTGTTAACGGAAAGCAACACGTTTAATGTTCTTTTCGTTAGCTACCGTGTCATAAATAATAGATTTCAATTTTCCTTTCCATCCCAAATGAAACAAACAACACATGATAGCCTTTGAATGATGTAATTAACTTAAAGTTGATGACTTAAGATGGGAAAATATTCTCCTCTTAAAGAAACGACTCTTCAAGCCGAAAATCATAAAAAAATTGAATTATGGAAAACCAAGTTAATGAAAATTTCTCGGTTGGAAGAAGAATCTTGTGATATTCTAAAACCATCCATAAAATGAAATGCTTCAAAACCGAGCGAAAAGCTTTTCTTCTTTTTCTCTTTTTTTTCATCCACAATCCACTCAATCCTTTCAAGTTTCACCCTCATCAAGATTCGTTACACTCACGAAGTCCATTTTCTTTAGCTGCTTCTTAAATTCAAAAGCGTGAAAATTTGCAAAGCTCTTGGCAATTTGTAAAACCCTCAAATTGCACTGAAATTTGTATTCAGCTTATTTACTCTCAACCATACATACGCATAAACATATTCCATACACACATACGTTTATAATCAAATCTTCTAGAGCTTGATATGAAGCTCTAACAAATCTCACACTGTGACTGATTTTGTTTGTACTTAACATATTTTCTTCGCACCCAACCGCCTGCAGAATCGTCAAGTTTTCTTTCTTTATCCTCTTTAAGTCTTCGCCATTTTTCTCAATCAAAAATTTATTGATTCATTGTTTCCTATTTTCTTCCATTTCTTCACCACATTTGGCGTTTTAACAACCAACAACCGTAAATCTCATGCTGGGAAAAAACGGCAGATGAAGACGAAGAGCCTCGCTGTGTTCAGCTAACGAATCAACACAAGGGAGCGATACGGTTCATTCGAAAGGTAAATTATACCCATTCCGAAAGCGTTTCATTTGTCAAAACGCTCATTTTAATGAAATTTTTATGATCAAATATTTCAAGAAAAATAAAATACGAAAAAATGATTTCTTAATCGACGAGTTCCAATTTTTTGTATTTCTATTAAATACTTTCATTCTTCTTTTTTATGTTTTATAATTTTTCTCTCGTCTTCCTTTCGTTTTAATTTTTTTATGAGTTTTTTAAACACTTTCAATGTTCTTAATGTTTCCTGAAACTTCATAATTTAATTACTGTAAGATTAAGTGATGAATTAACCTTATCCCTCATGCTTTTCCATCTTTCTTGAGTTCAATTGTTCTATAGAATTCTTCAAAGATTTTTTATTAGTTTAGAAGAAGTTTGAAACTTCTTTTGCTGTTTTCTATATGTGTATTTAAAAGAGTTTCAATATTTGCTTATTCACCTCCATTTAATAATTAAACTTTCAATTTCAAGTTCATAAATAAATTAAAAAGAAAAAGTGTTAATTTATACAATCTTAATATATGTGAGAATTTTGTTTTACATTTTACCACTCATTAAATTAAAATTTAATTATCTTTTTTTATTACCAAAATAAATTACTGTAATCACATGAATCTTTCATATCGTAATCACACACCCGTAGATGAAGTATTTCGTAGCTCGACGTAAGTTTAAGGAAGCTTTAAAGCCGTATGACGTAAAAGATGTGATGGAACAATACGCTGCCGGTCATGTCGATCTTCTTGGACGTGTAAAGAACGTTCAAACTAGGTATACAAACGAAATTATTCTGAACATTTTAAAAATGATAAATATCTATGATCCCAACTAAGAAAATTTTAATTAATTCAACCAGTAGATAATAATTCTAAAAATAAAATAAGCTTTTAAAAAGACAAACAGAAAAAGAAACATTTAAAGCTTACACTTTAATACTAACACTGACCAGTGGAACTACAAACTGACTTTTAACCAGACTTTTAAAAGAAAACTTCAAAGTTTTCACACTCATAAACTGACATTACCAAGTAAACTTATTGAAAGCTTTTTTTCGTGCTTTTTATTTACTAAACAAATTCTTCTCCTACAAAGAAACTTAGTCACTCAACAACATTCTTTTTCAAAGACAAACTAAATCTTCTTTCTCAGCAAATATTTTTTTATTTATCATAGAAAAGAGAAGAAATTTTTCCGTGTAATTAATCTTCTAATCACCTTTCTGTTTTTTTCTCCGAAATATTTCCATAAAAGCTCACAAATATATTTTTGTTAATTCTGAATTCTTCTTCTTTAATTCCCATTATCGTTTCCTTGGCGTGTTAAGAAAACATGAAGAGCTATAATTTCGGCAAAACATTTTTTATGTTCTGAGTTTCTCACATTTTTTAATATTTTCTCATTCAAGTCGATATTTCAATAAATAACAAAAGAAAATAAAGAAACACAATATTTGCATCGCATTTTACTAACGCTACTAAAGTTAACTAACTTTGCAAAGTGAAGGAATCCCCTTTGGATTTATACGGTTGTAGAATAGCTTAGGGTAACGAACATAAATATAAAACTTTCTTAATTTCTTATGTACACATAAAACATATCAGATCGTTATTACTTTGTGTTTGTGGATTTAATTTTAAGCTTTATTTATTTCTGTAATAATGAATGGATGCGTCGTCAATAATCATGTTGTTGGTTATTAAAATTGGATTAAACTTTTGCTTTCTTTGTATCGATAAAAGCATCAACATAAATACAAACGTGTGTTGTGTGTATTCAATTAGATTGGTAGCACTTAATTTGAATTTACTTCATTCATTAATTAGTGTAATTGTAAATTGTTAGTAGAATTTGCATGTTAAATTTGTCTAATCAGTTATCAAATACCAAATCTTAATATTACATAAATAGTTTTTCGATTAAATTGACATTAAAATTCTAAATTTAACTTATAAATACCTATACTTAGAAGGATAAAAAGAAAAGAAGATAAAAAAAAAGTTGAAATTAAATTTAAAATTTGAAAGCATCACAAACTTTACCCGAAATGAAACTTTTTATCTTGTAAAGATATTCAATAATATATATAAAGTTTGGTAAAGTCCTTCGTATCTATAGTATCATCTCATCAATGCTTCTTTTGTCCTCGACGTAATGAAATATTTAGATCGTAAAACCTTCGAAGAAACTCCATCGTCGTCGTTCCTTTATTCAATAGAAAATCACTATCCTCATATAGTCAACTTATGAAATTCTTTGCTATATCAATGAATAGGCGTTTGCTTCGACATCATTTAGGAAGATACTTTGAAAATCTTTCTTGTAAGCTTTAACAGATATTAGCATAAAAAGAATATTTGAACTTCAGTGTCTCGATTGGATTCAGAGAATTCAAATCAGTGAAGATTATTCAAGTATCCTTTATTAACTTGATTCAAGCAAGACGAATGTTATGTTAAGAATATATTTGAAATTAAAATGCACAAAGTAGTAGTCGAGTTGAACACTTCCCTGTCAACATAGATGTTAAACCTCCAACGTGAAGTTCTTTGCATTTTGAAGACTTATTAATGTTGATTGAATTTTCAACGACAAAAATTAAATATTTCTTCTATGAAGATGTTTTATCATTTATATGAAATTCTTTGATCTCTCATAAATGGCATGCTTTTGTGGAATTTTATTAACTGATGGTAAATTGCTTCCAACACTTTATCGTATGAAGGAAAAATCTTTGAATTATGTGAATGATGTAAATAATTGTGACGCAATTTACGATCAACAATTTTCTAATTAACATAAAAAATTAAGATTTTAATTTCTTTATTTCTTATCGTGAGTTTCGATGTTTAATTATTCACTTTATTCATAACCTATCATGCTAAATTATTTATTCCTTCAATTAACCCTTGCCTTAAGTTTATTGTCCTTTTTTTTTTGAGAAAAATTTTCGTTGAGTTTTCTGTGAATCCATTATGGTTTCATTTCGTCCGTTTGATTTTTTATAAGTAGAAATCTTTCATATTTAAGAAACATTTTTGATTATAAATTTGACAAATAATTTTTCTCTTTCGAATGAAGTTTTTCAAGAAAGTAAAAAAAGAATTAGAAATCAATTACTTTTAATCCAAACAAAAACCAAACCAAAAACCTTTCTCGTATAAACCTATTTAGCTGCAATATTTTTCCGCACGTAAAAAATTTCGTGAAGCACTTAAGCCATATGATGTGAAAGATGTTATGGAACAGTATACGGCGGGACATGCCGATCTGCTAACTAGAGTTAGGAATTTGCAATTTAGGTGAGCTCACAACAGTTAAAACAAAACGTATTGAAATCCATAAATTAAGTCAAGATATTTTCCTTCATGAAAATTAAATTTTTAAACATCAACATATCACATTTGTTCTCCCATTCCCATTTACCATCATTTCAAACACCTCTTCTCTCAACATTAATTCGACAAAATGCTTTTATGATTCTTAAATGTGTTTGAACAAGAATAAAGTAGAAAGAAAAAAAATTGGATAGCGACATAAAAAGATAAACAAGAAATAAAATGGAAAGCACGTCATGTCACGAAACTCTGAAGAGATTGTCAGCCACTTTCCAAAAGTTAAGCATTTTAAGCTTCTTTAATTTCTCTTTCTTATTCCTTCGTTTTGTTCCGCTCCGTTCCGTTCCTTTCCCTCAAGAGAATCTTTTCTAAAGACATTCTTATAAATATCAGCTTTAATTTTAGATTATTTCTTCTAACTTGTTCCATGCATTTGAATAATTAAAAATAATAAGGAGGAGAGACTTTAGACATTTAGACTAGTAATCATTCATAATTAGTCAACACGACGATTAATTTAAAGGAAAGCATTTTCTCACTCTTTCTCATTTAATTTTAATTGTCTTCTTCACATTAAATAAATAACAATAATAATCTTCTTACCTTCGAGATGACAAAAAGACAAAATAAGTAAAACGAGACCTAATTCAAGAGTCACTCGTCACTTTGATAAATCAATAAAAAAAAATCTTGAAACAGCAATCGTCAAGTAATCAAATTTCAGTTAGATAATTTTCTCACTTAATGGCACTTACAACAATGAAACTTGAAGCTTTTTATATCAAATTTTATAGGCACACGTTTTCAAAGACGGAACATTAGACGAAACTTATTGAATATTTGTGAAAATTTACTTCTGTGTAGGAATAAATATTTCATGAAATTGTAGATTTTTTAAGACCTTTACTACCTTCCTTTCCAGTAAGAGAGAGCTTTTAATTGGATGTATCAAAAGCTTTTTGTTATAAACTTGATGTTCCTTTGAAAACTTCCTAATTCCACCTTAAAAGAATGAAATGAAACCATCCCCAATCCTACCATAATAATCATCAACAAATTGCTATAAATGAACGACTACCTAAAATGAAAAGCGTTTAAAAAATCAATAAAATAAATGAAATGCTTTTCGCTTGTCTTGTTAGTAAATTAGTTTATTCATGCTTGTGACTAGATATACATAAATAAATGTAGAGAAGCATGAAGAAAAATGAAAAAGTGTCGTCAGCAACAAAAAGAAAGAAATTTCGCGACAACAACCTGTAGGATGCTTTTTAAGTGTATCACTTGAATCATCACCTCAAGTGAATCAACATCAACATGTTATCGTTTATGTATTTATTTAGACTGACTTGTACTTTGTGCTGTTTTTTTATGTTTAGAATTAGTAAGAAGCTTGCTTCTGTTCACATAACTAACTCTCTCAATATCTCTCTCTCTCGCTCTAATCTGCACTGTTTTTATTTGTAATTCAATGTTGTGGCATACTAACAGCAAACGAAAAAAAAACACTTGAAAATACCAAAAAAAGAAAAAGAAAAACACATAAAAATTAATCTCACAACTAAAAAATCAAAAATATTTAATTGTTGATATTTAATTATTTCCCTCTAACTATTAAAAAGATTTTTATTTAACTTCAAAAGCTTGAATGATTAATTTTATTTATCTTCCAATCTTGTGGACATTGTGTCCATGAAACCCTTCAGATTAGATCAGATACTGGGCAAACAAGGATCAAAAGCAAAAGACGTTTATGCATCGAAGATAAGTTTAGCTTCTCGTGTTGTTAAAATTGAAAGACAAGTGAGTATAAAGATTTAGGAATGGAGCAGCTTCGTAAGGCTTGAACATCTATTATTCGATTATTTCTTAGGTTGACGACGTGGAAACAAAATTAGATAATTTAATTGAGCTATACATGCAGGATAGGAAGCGATTACTTTCGCTTCCAATTTGTCCTGATTCACATTCCAGTAATCTTCCGCCATTGCCACCAAATCCGCCAAGCGGTGCTGCTCCAATCATTAACAATAACTCATCAATTAATAGTAACGCTAATTACGGTGCTAGTAGTAGTGGATCACTCAAGGTAACAATAGTAAAATTTAGTGAATGTTTAGGCATCAAAAAAATGCGAATTTAACATCTTCGTTAGCAGCCTAAACCAATTTTAGTTGATAAACAGTCGTCAGAGCCAAATTCACCCATCGCTAAAGGCTTTGACGATCAACAACTACAAAACCAACAGTCACGTCCACCAATACATCGCGGATATTCTGATTTAGGAAATCGGATGAAGAAGCGCGTGACAATGAGGTGAATAATTCAATTTCATTTCTCTTTATCAATAATTTAATAACTTTTTATGCTTTTATGTTTCTTCATAACATTAATCTTTCATGGACTTTCATGGGTTGCAGCAGTTCAGTTCCACCTCAATATGTGAGTCATATGGAGCAGAATGATTGTGTTGGCAGTAGTGGCGATGTTGTGATAGTCGTTCCCGAGGGTACACGATCAGATTCTCATTCTCATCAAATCTGTATCGACGCTGAAGCCGATATGGAGCCAAACAGTCCGAAGACAATGACTGAAAGTTCAAGTGAGTTTATGTCAATTTTTCCCATAAACTTTTCTTCTTCTTTTTCATTTTTATTTTGCTGCTTCAACCCCAAGTTGAATCCCAACCTAAACTCTATTTATCACCCACTCAAAGTGAAAATATTTATCATTTTCTTCTTTTCCATTTTTTCACTGTCAAAACCAACCAGTCCATCGTCCTTGTTATCAAAAACCAAATAGAATCACAATTTTCATATTTTTGTTATTTTTTTGCTTTCGAGAATTGTTGGAAAACAAACGTATGATGAACAATGAAAAAAACGTTCGTAAATAAATTCACAATTGTCAAGGATAAAATATTTCGATTATCAAAATGCACGCTTCTAGCTTTTCTTCCATTAGAAAAAGGGAAATAAATTCTTCAAATGCTCACCGAGCTATTTAATTCTGTTTAATTAACATGACTTTTGCTATCACGAAGCTACTCAATTATCTCTAAGGATATTTATGAGCTAGGATGAATATTCCAAGTTTCCATGCAACCGTCAGAGAGAAGGAAAGAACGGAAAGAACGAAAAAATATAACGAAAGGTCCAACAAGTGTCAGTGCGATGAAATGGAGTCATAAATCATAAATTTTCTACGCAACGAATGACTCAATAATTTTCCACTCGACTTGTAAAAGGAGAACCGTTTACGATATTAGTCGTGTCATCTTTTCGTTTTCCTTTTTTCCTCGTTTCCCCGTGGAGGTTCAATGATGATAGCGATATATAAAGCTAGCAAATGCTTATATTTTATTGATGAACATGATGAACATCATTCTACCACTTCCCGTTGTCATTTGGCATTGTATAACTCACTCACTCACTCACATATTTATTTAGTCAAGATGTACGATTTTATCCTTATTTGACTTTCTGCTATTTACCTACATGATCTTGATGTGATTTATCAAAGACATTCACACAAGCAAGCAAGAAGTTGAAGGAGATAAAAGCTCTGCAAATATTACGAAATCGTAAATGGATGTAAAGTTCTTCAGATTCTGAAATGATTTTCAACTTTTCTATTTGTGATGAAAGAAAGAAGAAAATTTCTTTCAAGTGACATGTGAACATCATAAAATTACCTACTTGAAAATTTTCCCGGCGCATAAGCAAAAAAATAAAGACGATTTCTTTCCAAATTTTACGACTTCTCTCTCAACGCAAACGCCTATTTGTGCTTCATCATCGTAAAGTTGAAAGTTGGTAGAATAACACGTACGAATGTGTGTCGAAAGCAAATTTTATTGATATTGAATGTAAGTAGAAGTCCCTCGATGACATTGACATGATCATACTTATCATGTCTATAAATATAAATTTTAAACTTTAATGGTTGTTGGACCAACGACAGAAATGGAAGACGTTCAATTTTAGTTTGAGTTAAGGATTTTCCTTCTTTTTCTGTAACCAAAAATGACAATGAAATTTTTCCATTAAATATTTATTTGAAAGTTTCAAGCTTTTGTAACTTGCATTACATTTTAAGGATCGTAAAGTTGGTGCAAACGTTTAAATATATCTACATTCATAGTCCATTCTTAACAATTTCATGCAACGAGTTATAAAAGAGTTTACGAGCTTAACAACCGCTGTGAATGAAAATTAATTGAATGTTGATGACTTTAATTTGGGTTTTGTATTGCTGTAAGCGACAATTTCGCAAGTATATTAAATGAAAGCTTAAAATGTTGTCTCTATGGTGCAGAGAATGACGTAATTAATATATATGTGAGTGGGGATAGTGAAAAAAAAAGCTTCAACGTTAAATTTTCCTACTCTTTCGCTCAATCAGTTTTTTACTCACTTTTATGTGTATCAACATTGTCTGGGATAGAACATTTAAGAATGAGAAAATGTTTTCAATTGGAAATGTCAATCGAGATGATCTTCTTGAGAGTTCATTGCGCCTTCTTAAAACTTATAAACAGATATTTTAGTTTATTTTAAGTCTTACACTTGATGGAAAGATTAAATCCTTGGAGCTCATATCGCTTACATAAATATTGCGCACTCCATTAAACTCTTGAAAACTTGACAGCAGTCTTCGTCGCCTTCTCCACATGATTGTGTCGTCTCGTCGTTGTTCAAGCTTGAGAGCATGTGGATGCATTCATCGAATTCAGTTAAACTTTATTGCTGATTCATAGAAGCATTATTGTCACAAAATTTTCTCGCAGAACAAACGACAGCTTTTAGCAATATTGAGGGACAATTACAAGGGAATTTTTTTTTCTTGATTAGCTTGAAGGTTGAACTGTTGGAGAAGCAGACGCGTCGCTTTTAGATTAATGAATTCATTATAATGCTTCCCTTGTAAATTAATCAAAGACGAAAGTTTCTGTTGATGTCACAATAAATGTCTTTGAGATTTCTTGATATTATTTGTGACAAACACACAGCCCACTTGACGAAACTTGTGTACGATAAGTCAATAAAAATCCTCATAAAAGACATCAAACCACCAAAATATATATAAATATCTTCGCAGTACCCAAAAGCATATTTCTAATTACTAATTATAGCTTTCATTATCATCATACGTTCGCATCGTTCTCATCAACAATTCTGAAGATATTGCATTCCTTACACACATACACACATAATTCCCGCTAGCAAAAGTCTCTATAAACGGAGAATGAAATTATCTCGTTTTCTGTTGGCTTTTCGGAGCTTTTATGTAGAATTAATTGAGCATAAAATATGCTTTTTACTTTTTCTTTTTTTTCTTCTGCTTTTGAAACTGGAGCACGAAAATTATGAGTTGTTTTCTCTTTCTTATTTTTATTTTTATCTGAAAGAAAGTTTTTTTTTTCGTTTGAGTTTCCAAAGGTTTCCTTGACTTCCCATTCCAAAAAACCAAATCAAACCGAAACACCAACCATCATCCTTGTACAAATTTTCATCTATTTCTCATCAAATTCCCTTTTTTTTCTGTGATGTGAATTTATTATCCGTTCATTTACATCATTTACATCGCATAATAAAACACCCACAAGGGGGTTGCTTTGAAATCTTCTTTTTTATGATATTTCGTGATCATAAAACGCATCAACAGAGAAAGGAACATGAAATTATCTTTCGATTATTTTCTTCTTCTTTTCTTTCTTTTGATTTCTTTTGATAAAAAAAAAACAAATTAATCTTTTGCGAAACAGCGTCATTCGAATATTACTCATCATCAACATCGCTTTAACGAAACATTTCAACTAGTAAATATTTCAAGGCATTAAGCTACGCAGACATTCCACATATATTGCTGTACATAAATGTTCGTGATAAGTGTGTAATTGTTTGAGTATCGAATCGTTTATAAATACTTATAAGAAGAAGACGGATAAATCTTTATAAAACATGCCAAATGGATTCGAAGAAAGAAATAATCACAAAATAGAAAAAAAAATATACAGGCTCGAAAATAATTGAAATAGAATTGATCTGTAATCCGCTTGAATGGATCAATGATTTTCGAAGTTCTTTCTTCGTTTTCAATAGGAGAAAATATAAAATGAAAATTTATAAATAAATAAAAAATAAGGGAAGAAGGAAAAAAAACTGTTTACAAACTCAAAACACAATTTTTGGGAATGGTAATGGGAAATTATCCGATAACATTACTCGAAGAAAATTCATTGAAAGATATCGGCGTACGTAAAGATGTGAAGGAAAATAAAGGTTGGAGAAAGTTTCTTTCTTCTTCAAGTAAACAGATGGGCGTTAACAGATAACAAACTCAGCGACCGAAAAAGGTTCTTATACAATTTCACATTTATTGCTGGACGTTACATGTTCTTTAGACTTAATGGCCAACACACTTAAACTCTCTCTCTCTCTCTCTCACTCTTTCATTCTTCCTTTCTATCCTCAAAAAATGAAATTGATGTTGTTATGATTTCACTTGCATTTCTTTTCATCCATACATGGAATTGAACTTTTCTCTTTTTCGATGTTGAAATTAGCATAAAAGTTTTATGTGCTTGATATACTTGATCACATTTTATGTTTATGCCAATGGTCGATAAATGTTTTTTAAAGTGAACTTACAAAACAAGCAAAAATGTAAAAGTTTCCTTTTAGTGTTTTAAAATAAATTTATTTATTAAATATTCATGTCATTTGTGCCCAAGTAGAAAAATGTTATTTTGTGTGTTGTCTATTCTCACTTTGATCCGAAAACGTCGATATCGACAACACGTTTGTTTTCGTTTTCCATCGTGGTGTGGTGCCTTGTCGTCTACCGGCGTACATCAACTGATAATAATCAATTCCATCCATTTCACTCAACTAACGTCTGCTATTTTTACCAATTTCTAAGGGAAGAAACTTCGCTTTTTTAAATTTCATCTCATGTTTCGCTGGAGATTGAAAAAGATTGATTAGTTGATGCTTCACCCTCTTCCCAATGTTTAATTAGAGTTACGACATGAATTTCATTTGAAGATAAATACTTGCGTGGCAACACTCGAGACTCAAATATTGATGTGGAAAATTGTTCACAAAATGATGCTTGAAATTAGAACACCGTCAAAAGCTCCAATTTGTATTCAATTTGCGTTTGAGTTCCTTTCACAATTCTAGCGCCATTAATCTTCTCACTTGTGAACATCAGAATATTATTTTTTTTATTTTATTTCATTCTGTTATTTTTTTGCGAAGCGTAAATCCAGTCAATTGAAAGAAGCTCTTTCGCTGGTTCTATGGGGAAAATCACAGAAGCGGAAGTTTATTATGAAACATATTTTTCACAAGAAAGATTTTATTCACCGACCCCTGTTAAGATTTAGCGGCTTGAATGACGACGACGTCGACGATGATGATGACGAGAATGGATGAATGTTTTAAAAAAGATGAAGTTGCTTTGATATTTGAAATGACAGATGAGAATTTAAAGAACCTCCGATGTTGCTTTCGATTTTCTTCAACTGTTGTGTAGTGTTGTTGAAGAATGACATATTCAACATCAATGATCTCTTAAATGGAAGATGAATAAACAAGATAAGTAACAGTTTCAGATACTCAAAAAATTGCAAAACAAACAATGTTAACTTATCTAAGAATAAAGTTTCGACCTTTTCTTTATATTTATTTACATTTTTCTGTTTACATTATCTACTCATATTTGAAAGGATAAATCCACTCGCTTGAAACATCACGAAGCGTTTAACTACATTAAGAGTGCAATCATTAGTGTCCGATCTATGTTCATTCATTTGGAGCTAACATGATGTTGTTTTACTTGTTTAGTTGGTTCTTTATCAAAATATGTTGTTTTTAGGGAGGGCTTTCTTCTCTAATCTTCATAATGATTGGCTTTGTTTTAAGTACTTTTGATGAGTCTTCTAAATATGCAAAGCATCTTCTCACCGACGACAAGTGTTTTAAGATTATCTTCTGACAATAGAGTTTGATTTTCTTCTGTTGTTCTACCGAAGCTTCAAATTTTCCTCTCAGAATAATGAAGCATTTGAATCAGCAGAAAGTTTTTATTGAAAGATCTCCAAAAACAAAGAAACATCTGACTTTAGCATTATTTTATCTCGCAGTCACATTAAATCAATTAAGGAAAACGTTCCAATGTTGCTGTGATTTTTCCTAAACGTGAGGCAGACAAAGTTAATCTTGCTCTCATTTTCATTCACGTGAATGGCATGGATTTAATTCTTTTAAAGTTAACACAACCCTCGCAGCACAATCTCTTCATGCATAATTAAAGCACAATTCTCATAAAGCTTATTGCTGCTTTTTATTGCAAATTGGTTGGATACATGTTTTCGCTTGAAAAATTTATTTTTCTTATCTTCATGAGAGATGAGAAATAAAGTCAAGAAGACTTTTAAGATTTATTGTTTTATTTCACTTTTCTCATCTTTTCACGAGAATTTTTTTCTTTCCGTTGTTTGTCCCAGAAAAAAAGCTTTACGCACAAATTTTCATGAAATTATTAATAAATATCTAATGTCTGTTATGCTTCGAAATGTTTAGTCATTAGATTCAATATTTATTGTAAATAGTCATAAGTAAGATCACGATATTTGATATTATTTCTATGGTTGCTCTAAGCACCAAGAAAAAGCTTTTCTTTTTGTTGACTTGTTGAATGTCGTTTAAAAAAGGAAGACTTTATTTCAACTTAGATTCAATAAATCTCTGTGGAAATAAGCAAGCAATGCTTATTTAAGTATTTAATTGATAGCATTAATTAAATGTTCTAGTCGTTCAATTTCCGCTCCAGGAAATTATTTCATTTCAATTATGATATTTAATTGTTAGATTTTGCATTATTATCGTTGATTGCTTTTGTTCCTTTTTTATTCCATCGTTATTTTTCAACTCATCGACGTTAACAATCTGATTTGTCGGTGTATTAAACTAATGAAAAAAAATTTATTCTCTTTCCTTTCTATTAACTTTCTCAGTGATTATGGATGAAGAAGAACTTGAAGATTTATATGAAGAAGACCTCGATATAGGAACGGAAATCGATCCTGATTCTCCCCCTTGGGATATGTACGCAGATACAGAAAACGACGATATCGATGATTCGACTGAAGACACTGCGTTGCTCAATGTACGGCGAGTTAAAGCCGGTAACACCGAAATAATTGTAACACCAATTAGTCCTGTAAGATTATCGAGAGAAATGTCATTAATCTTGCTCATTATCTTATTCCTTTCTAGGTAAGCTCATCACATGATTTGGCTCGTATAGCTCACGAGTCACGCACAAATGGAGGCAAAAACAGCGAGCAACGAATGGATCTGCTGAAGCCCGAAGCACAACGAACTTTGAAATCTGAGGATATTTGAGATTTAATGAACATTTTAGTCTTTAGTTTTCAATTCTGTCCACAATTAGCTTTACGTATAACTTTTTTTTTCTTTCAACAGCAAATTCATTACAATTTTGTTTTCTTTTTTAATTAATCGAGTTTCCATGGAAGTTTCCAATGTAAAATTGATTTAAAAATTTAAAGAGGCTGACTTCATAAGCCCATGATAATTAATGTACATTTTTATAAGTAAGAAAGAGAGTAAAATGTAGTTGATCAATTTTAAAAATCTCAATTCGGAAGAGTAAAATCGATTGATCAATTGATATTGAGAAAAAAATTCACATAATCTCATTAGAGCCTTAATGAAGCATGAAAAACAAGAAGAAATGACAATTAGTTATCTAGGAACCATACCTAATTATTCTGAAATTAAAACTTCATTCTGATAATTTTTTAAAAATTGATTAAAGTTTTGTAGATTAATAAATATGAATAGTTTGATATCTACCAGACGTTCTCAAACTTTTCTTTCGTTTCACAGCTTTTAAGTTTAAGAACTTTTTAAATTTTTGACCCTTTAGATAATTTATTTAGTTATATGATTTTTGTTCTCGTCGTTTCTTGGAAAGAACGCTGAAGTATCTGACAAGAACAATTTTATTTTCACGATACATCTGATTTTATTATTTTAGCATTAAGTTTTACAAAAATTTTTGTGTTATTAGTTATTTTTCTAAACGAATATGATTTGAATAAAAACATTTTTTTTCAATTTATTAGTTTTCTTATATTTTTGCTTCTTTTAAGGATATCAAGACCATCTACAATTTTGAACTCATAACGTCCAATTTAATCTCATCAACGGTGATAAAATAAAACTGAAATTTCAAATTTGTATTTTAATCAAACTATCACAAAAAACTATTTCAATGAATTTTATTAAGTTTATTATAATAACTCTAACTCTAGTTTTAAATTTTTAATGAAACATTCCAGTAGAATGTAATCTTGTAAAATTAATTCATGATACTGTCGTAAATTAGATCGTCTAAGCGATGACGTAGAATCAATTGAGAATTAATTAAAATACGACAAAAAAGAAATAAGAAACGAAAAATGGTACAAGAGCTTTACAAAAACTTAAAACGAAAAAAGATGAAGAAACGAAGATTTCATTTCTCAATAAAATTATTCTTTTCTTATCGCAATTTGAAAGCGTGGATTTACCTGTTGCTTAACGTTAATGTAGTCTCATCTCAAACATATTCAAACTGTAGAGAAAGTGAAATGGTTAGACAACATCATGATATTGACGTAATTAATAATTTTCTTCCAACTTTTCAGATAAAACTAAGTAGCAGCAAAATGTAAATAATGGTAAATCCACTTTTTTCAACATTTCATTAAAAGATTCTTATCAATTTTTAATTTATTTGTGTTTATACTTTGAAGCTTATTTCAACATTTTCATCTTCTTTTCTTCGTGGAAATTGTACAGATTCTGATTATTTGAGTTTAAATTACATTTTTTGCAACATTCTAACAATGAAAAACTTATGTGAAAGATTGTTCTTATCCTGTATCAATTAAAGTTTTTCTTTAATTATATTAACATGATAATGAGAAAATATTAAAATTTTAAGTGAATAGATTTTAAGATATCTCATTTACGCTTCAAATACCCTTCAAAGGTACATTGAAATAGTTAATATCATAAATAGTTCTAAGAATAATACATAATTGAATGATTTTAAAGGTCCACAATAATGGAGGGAAAATAATTGAGTAAATATTTTTGAGGAAAATCTTCCAGAAATAACTATGCATATGATGTAAATTCGCGAAACATTAAATGAGAGACAATTAAAAAGTTTAAAAACACATCGTTAGATTTAGGAAATCGTGAAATGAATAAAAGCTCGTTTTTAATAATTTCATCTTCAAAGACTTTAAAAATATTTAAATAGATAAAAATTATAAATTTATTTCGATTCTTTTAGAAAAATTCTGACTATTTAATGGAAATGTTTGTTAGATCTTGAATTTTTTTTCTTTAAATATAAATAAAGCATTCGCTTATCCACAATTTTAATAGCACAATTAGATACGAGGAAGGATAACAAAGGTTTCATAAATATTTGCTTCATTTCCAAATTGGAAAAAAAGCTTAAATGATGATTTTGAAAACGTACAATAAAATCTGAATGGCTTACACGTTTAGAAACGTTGAAAATGATGCGATTGCCTTTAATATTTTATCATAATTAGTTCCATCAAATCACCAAGCAAAAATATCAATGAAAATAATTTTTAACTTAAAAGACATCAAAATGTATGAATATGGTGGATTAGACAATGATGTTATTTATTACTCAATTTTTTGACTTTAAATCGATATCAAGTAAAGATTGTATTTGAAAATTAGTTCTCAAATTAAATTCACATTTTTTTGAAAATAATTCAATAAAATAATGAGCGAACAATAAAACAAATAATTTATCATAATTTTTGTCAATTTCTTTCATAACCAATGTTTTTTGATTTAATCACAGGTGAAAGTATAAACTTTCATGTAAAAATGAAATTTCGTTAATTTGATATTCAATATAAGAATTTCTAACGTGTGAGTATTTCGAAGAATGATTTTGAATTTTGGGGAAAACGACTTCAAGCTGAACGTCATTGGGGATTTTCATATTTTAAATTTCGTTCAAGTTTCGTTCAGTTATTTCCAAAATAAATTCTAGAAATATTTTATATTGTTTATTGTTTGTTATTTTCAACACTTTGTTACAAAATTAATTAATTATTAACGATGATTAACGCAGATGATTTGGATCATGTACTGATTGGAATTTCAATATTTTTTGCAATTATTACTTTTGTTGTTCCATTCGTATTCATTAAAGGACCCGATCAAGAGTAAGAAAGAATGCATGAAATTTCAAACCATTTTTAATTCTTTCCTTCTTCTCATAGTATCATTCGAAGTTGTTGTGTCATTGCTGGTATTTCATGTTACTTATTGTAAGTTATAAAATATTTAATCCGTAACAACAATTAACCTACATCTCATTTAGTTGGCTTTGTACTTATATATCTCAAAAAAATCCGCTTGTTGGACCCAAACTAGATATCAAAACTGTCCTGATGATAGCAAGAGAATGGGGAAATGAAATTGTCGAAGAAAAGGAATCTTAGGAAAATTAAATTCTGAAAACAGCAGCTAAAAACTGTAATTGTCATGTGATGTTAAAATTATTTTATGATTTAGTATTCTTTTTATTATTATGATACGTGTAATTAATCTTTCCATTTAATCATCTTAAAATCATTCAGTGACAAGTCGTAAAAATTTAATTTATTCAGATATAATAAAAATCATGTCTTGGGTTCAATAAGCACAACAGGTCTCTGGTTCCTTAATAATTTTTTATCTTCTTTTTTCAGAAGCAACAATAAACGTAACAAAGACTCTCAAACTTTTTATCACAAAATTAAAAAAAGTTTGATTGCCAGTGGTACGTCATTTCTTTTAACTTTTGAATTTTCTTGTCACACAATCAGGTCAAGCAAGTGAAAAATTTTCCTTTTCCACAATCGTTATATCTAATCATAATTTCCTAAAATATTCAAAAGCTATGTAAATAATTATAATGTTCTGTCTCCAGACAACCAAAAGCGGCAAACAGAAACACAAACTTACAGGTAACAACAACGAAAATGAAAAATAAAAAAAACATTCCACTAAGCGTTAGCAGCAACCACACTCGTGTGAAGTACAGAATGTTTTAGTTAATATCACTACAATTTTGTTGTGGCTCTCAGTCGTAAACTAACAGCTCAACAGCCAAGGTAAAATTGCAAAAAATTAAAGAAAAAATAAATATCCGTGATATTCGGAGTCTGTAAAGTGAAAATATTAACAAAGATAATCTTAAAAGAGAAGAAAAAAAGTCATTTGAATGAAATGTAATTATCATACAAATAAGTGAATAATTTAAACAAATAAAAAGTTAAGACTACAAATTGTGTTGTGTTAGGGCTGACTTAAGCTTTGTTGATTTGCCCTAAATTCACTTTTAATTTTCTGATAAAAATGTTGTATCGATTACAATTTGAAGTTCACCGTCAAACAAGCATTTTTATTTTGTTTTTCTGTTGATGAATTATTTTTTTTATATTTTCAATGCCCTAGCAGAAACAAATTGTTGTCATGTTTTACGATCACGGAAAATGTTATTTGTGTTGCTGAATCGTCAAAATTTAACTTAATTAAAAAGGACGATCAGATGTTAAAGATGTTCATTGTGAGAATTGAAGACGTGCAGAGGGAAATTTCATTTAAATATTCTCAACAAATAACATTTAATTGGCAAAACAACCTTAAGAAGAATGTCGCTAATGTCTTTAGACGTGCAGAGTTTTGTTAATTATCACAAAATATTATTTGCGAATGAATTTAAAAACAAGTTTCAAACCAAACCGCAAATAAAGTTGAATAAGTTATGAATGATGAATTTAATTAAAGTTTGTTCTTTTCTCTTAAAGTTTTGTCACATCACAAACAAAACTACTAACTGAAAAACTATGAATTTTCTTTGAATTTGACTGAATTTTCTTCGGAAAATTTCTGACTGTTTCTACTGATAAATTTGTCAATGTTTGTGTAATTAATTAGCATCATTACATTTTCTATTCGCAGTTCTCAAATGTGAGTTAAAAACAGTGAAAAACATTTCGGAAATTAAAAACAAACAAATATCAATGGCGCCAACTTTTATCAAAATTTTGACATTTTTCATCATACTTGTGCAACTTTTTTGTTTAACCAGAGGAGAGATTGGTGAAGTTCAAAGTGAATTGATCATTGAAGCACATGAGAACTTAAACAATGAACTATTTAATGAAGAAACACCCCAAATAGTAATAGAAGAAGACGAAGCTTCTTCAAAGCTCACAACAACAGAAGCATCTCAAGAAGATGTTGAATGTTCACATTGCAATAAAATCAGCGAGGTGAGTGAATCAACCATTTTTCTCATTAATTTTCTTAAATGACTAAAAATAACCAATGGACGGAGATCACGGGCAATGCTGGAATGTTGTTGCTCTCAATCCGTTTGATGCATTCATAAATTTCACATTCACTTGCGTAACAATGCGCGTTAAAAGCATTAACAGCTAACGGGTTCTGATTAAGATTATGCTAAATTTTTCCACATAAATGCACAGCATGGAAATTACGCATGAAACGCTTCGAGAACTTTTCATTCTCTTTATTTGTTTTCAACTGACGGTGGAGAGATATTCTCACACAGCAAACGATCTACCTGTTGCGATTTTCGAACTTTATAAAAGTGTTCCCTACTGTTTCATATCAGTTTGTGCTGAACAAATAATTGTCATAACAAAATATTGTTGTGAAAAAACGTGCGCGCTTATATAGCGTACAAATGAAGGGAGTAAATTTTGAGTGGCTGATGGTCGACGGTATACGATGAGTCATCATTAAACAATTCAGTTCTTTTCAATTATTAGCTTCAACAATATTTTGTCGCGTGTATTCATTGCTGATGTTTCAAAATCCAAATGAAACTTAAAAATGGAAATAAAAAACTTCTTTTTACGGTTCCGTTGCTATTTGTTTGTTATCGCTTTTACGTGATTGGGATAATAAAAAAGCTATTAACTTCATGTTGTCTTTAGAGGTGTTTTGTTTTAAACATGCCAAGTAAATATCTGTGTAGTTTAAACAACCGATAAAGCAAAATTTATTTTAGACGTCACATGAATCATGTGACATGATGATTTGGATTTCTATATTTTTTTTGTAATGTTGTTGTTTGTGGAAGTGTTAAATGAACAAATTCTTTTTTTTGTTTCTTTTTCGCCACATGCGGTATTCTTTAGCTGTTTATAATTTGTGAATATTTGTTGGATAACCATTCGGCGCCAGTTTAACTCTTGGTCTTCACCAGAATTGCATAAAACATTTTTTCATCTAAATATCGCTTAAAAAGGTTCATTCATGCAAACTTACAGTATTCTCTCCATCTACCAATGAATTCATCTGAGTCATCAACTATTTTGCTACTCATTTAAAATTCAATTGAAAACCTGTCTGGTAACTCAGTGAAAATCAATATCGATAAAGCTTTAGTTCACATTTTTATTATTTTTGGTAAATTACGAAGTCAGTGGAAGTAATTTCCTGTCGATTAATCTTTCATTACATTTGTGAATGAATCGCTTCAAATCGTCCAATATTTTATTTTATTATTGCAAAGAATCAAAGCTTCGATAAAGAAGTTTGTGACAAAAACCATAACCGGATGTATTCATGAAAGTGCATTGTTTTAATACTCGTTCATTGCTTGTCCTTCTCGTCTAAAAACTTTAGCACTGAAAGGTCATTGCAAGTAGATTCTTTACTTCAAACATTGATTTCTTCATTCCTCAAGCTTCGAAACACACTCAAGAAAAAAAACTTGTCGAGCGAGTCTCGCTTTACGATTTTCGTGCTAATTTTTATCAAAATACGTTGAAAAACGTTCGAAAGGCAGAGAAAGAGATTTGCACGCTTGAAACAATGCCCAACCCGTAACAATTTGATATGTTCAATATTTATGTGGATAATTGTCTGAGGGATCGTCTACTTAAAGATCAGAAGTGTGTGTAGACGTTGAGAATCAATTGGAATTTATGCCACGCTATAAGATGTTAATGTATCTTTCGTCATTAGACTTAACATTAAACTACACACATGACTGTACGATTTTATTGTCTCGCCAACTTACTCAGCATAGTTATCAGACAGTTAATCATTCATTGACATTTTACGAGTAATGAATTAATATTGATAGAATTCAAACGCTTTTCACTAGTTTGTGAACTGAACACATCTCAATCTAATTGATTTGTTCGTCACCTAATAGCTTTAAATGTGACATGAAGCAAAGAATTTTAATTTTCATTCAGGGTTTTAATCAATTGAATTTTTAATCATTTGAACCGGTTAAGTTTTAGGAAACTGAATGTAATCCGTTCATACCAATGTTCAGATTAAGTATTTAAAATTTGTAGAAAATTAATTTGCAAACCCTGTAGGATTATTGTAGATTTTCATTCCTTTCAATTGAATTTAAATTTCTATAAAAAGGTTGTTGCTTTCTCATTCATCGTTACATCCAGAAATTCCCATTACTTTTATGACTCATTTTAACATTTTTCAATTCAAACTTCTGGTTTATTTTCCACAAATGACATGAACAACAATTAATTGTTCTCTTCCGCTCGCGCTGTTATCAATATTTGTATCAAAACATTTGCACTTCATTATCAGAGTAAACAATAAAAAATCACATACCTTCTTACGTCACAATAAAAGTTAAATATAACTAATTTCTTATTCCTTTCTTACTTTTCAGATGCCCATGGAGATCGCTGAAAAAATAAACGAGATCAGTGATGTTGATGAATTCATTCATGAATTTGTTGACGATTCAATCTCATTATCAAATGCATCATCAAGCTATGAACATCCATCGAGTAGAAGACGTGAGTTTATGTTCAAAATAATTTATTTTCAAATAAAAACAGTTCAGAAATATAAAAATTGAATCACGAATGGCGACAAGTTATGGTTGAATTAATGTTTGGAGGCACTTGAGTATATTGTATTAATATAACTATTAAATTCTTGCTTGTTTGAGTTTGTATCATCAACATGTCTAGAATCGAAGAGAAGTCTTCGAATTGAGCGGACGTTTAACAGCTTTCGATGTTTTATTCTCAGCTGGAACTGTCGCGGCTCGACTTGAATTTTTCCCATCGATTGAAAATTCAATTCTTTCCTCAGTTTGACTTCTTGAAAACAATGTTGGAGTCGAAAACTCGACAGATTCTTCACGAAATTCTAACATTAAATTGCGGCGGGTTTTTGGATTTTTTGTATTAGATTTGTAAACAATGAGAGCGATTTGAACAAAGTTTGGATCAGTTTTCTTAGTTCGATATGAAACTAACATTCGACAATCACGTTTCTCAAGTTCATCACTCATCTTTGGTTGACGTTTAATGGCAACAACTCCCGTAGCTTCCACATAAAAGAGATCAGAAAAATTACTTTCGACATTTGAGCTCAGCTCATTCGTTTCCTCATTTCCACGTCGTAACTTTTTACATGCTGGAGATTTGTCATTTAATTTTGGTTCCAATTCCACTGATGCATCAAGAGGACGAATACCGGAAACATTTCCTTCTTCTTCTTCGTCTTCACTGTCATCAATGTCAGAATCAAAAGGAAGAAAACTCATTCCGGGCCTACAAGGCGCTCCAGGACAAATTTGACTTGTCATTCGTTGTTCCGGCGTCTTTTGACCTTCTTTAAGATTTGACGGTGAATGAGACTTGCAATCGTACCATTGATCAACGTCAATATCAGAAAGTGATTTAAGATTTTCTGGTGGATGTTCACGTCTAAAAATGAAGAACAAAAATTTATTTTATTTTCCTTCTCAATCTCTACTTGCAACATTACGTAAGATGATGATGAGATCGCTCTTCTATAGCTTCAGAATTGACTATATTTAATATAGTGTGCTCATAATTTGTGTTGGAATTGTGATAAAAATCGATGGCTTTCTGTTGTCCTACAAGTGTCCGTCCAAACCAATCCACGACGCAATTCGATGCTAAAATATTTTGAAGATTTCTACATCGAATTCCATTTTCTATGAGTTTGTTGATAGCTAGCTCGTGACTTGACATAATCTGAAATGAAAAAATAATTAATTTAATTTCATTAACAGGAAGAGGAGTTCGTGATGGACCAAGACAAGCCACTTGTCAACCAATTGACACAGTTGTCAGTCTTGTTCAAGATGAACGTGATCCAACCGTTTTCTATTTTCCTTCATGCGTTTTGATGAAGCAATGTGGTGGATGCTGTGCACATTCAGGAACAACATGTTCACCAATCGAAGAGACCGACAAACAAATTACAATAAAGAAGACAAAATTTAGTGGAGGTTCAAAGTTTCAATCACTGGGAGATGTGACAGTAACAGTTAAAGAACACAACAGATGCAAATGTCAATGTAAGAAAACAGCGTCAAGTTGTAACAGTTTACAAAAATTCATTGCAAATCAATGTAGATGTGAATGCATAAACATTGCAGAAGCCGAAAGTTGTACTCAGGTAATTTCTTACTTTTTTAAAAATCAAGTAAACTTTAAATTTCTTTCTATATTTTTAGGATCCAACAAAACTCTTTGACACCAAATCATGCGCATGTGTTTGTCGAGATACGAAAGAATGCGCAACAGGTCTTCAATATGACCAAAGTTCGTGCTCATGTCAGCCGGTAAGTTTCTTTGATTTTTCTTTTAAAATTTTTCGCACGTTCTTTGGAGGGAAGCTTATGAGAAATTCTTTTATGAAAGTCACTTGCATGTTTAGTAATTAAGAAAATTATCGCTTTTGATCAATGATGGACATTTTTTTCTCCATTCTAGACGGGCTAATTAACTTAATAATAGTAATGAAATCAGTAGTTTAATCTCTATTTTGATAGCAGTGTAAGTATTGGCAGCGATACTTATGTGTGATTTTGCTTGTCTAATTGGAGTTTTTTTTTTCTGGTGTCGAATAACATAAAACTAATTAAAAACGTTTTCGAAGAGTCTTTTCTAACAAAATTAAAACATTTTCTAATTGGAAGGAATAAAACTATTAATGGTGTTTGTGACTATTTTCAGATTACATTTGATGATGAAGATTCGCAAGATTTTCAATTTTTCGGTGATCATATGGATACTGAGGCATATGGGGTTGAAACCGATGATACAAAATACGAAACAATACCAGAAACTGGGTAAATCATAACGTGTGACATCGAAGTCATTCTTCAAACTTTCCCACAGCTAATTATTAAAAGAAAAGTTTCATCACGAGATATTTTTATGAGTTTTCAGAAATATCTGAAACAGTATTGATTTGATATTTAACGTACTTAAACATTTACAACAAATAAAATTAAATATTGTATTAAGAACATAAATAAAAGTTTTTCTTTTCTGTGTTTTGGTATACTTGATCATATGATACGGTAACGGTTTTATCTGGATCTTATAAGATAATTTATTCAATCGTTTTATCTTATCAGCAATCAAAAAATGAAAAATGCTCAATTTAACTGCACAAGAAAATTTTTAAAGTAGTAGACGAGTATTTCCAGATTCATTCATGATTATAAACGAGCATTGAATGAATATTTGACTTACTTGTTGTCCTCTTATAGGAAATTATTTTATTTTAACAAGTTTAAATGATCTAAAATTCAGTTAATTAATATTTTGGAACGTTTCAAACAATTCGAACTTTTTCGAACTTCTAAGAAGTTTGTCAGGGTTTGGTAGTTTTCAATGACACAAATTCGTATAGTACATTTTGAAAATTCGAAAACCGTTAAATATTATTATTTCGAGATACCAAATCGATATCGATCTAGATCAATCGATAAATACCTAATTGAAACGAATTTATTATTTTGATACAAATACCAGTAGTTCATTGGTAAAAGTTGAAGTTGCTACATCAGTTATGGTAAGAGTTGTAGGATTTATATCATATTGTCCGAATCGCCAAAACATTCTTTTAAAGGTATTCGTAAAGGTTCTCTCATGCATTCAAATGAATTTTGGGTTATTGTAAAATTTTATTAAATTAATTTAACTAAACAGTTTTTAACGTTTAACCGGATATACTCGTCCATGTAACTATCAATGATACAATCAATGATGAAATTATAGGAATACTTATCATACTCCCTTCACCTATTCCATCGTCGGTTGTTGTTTGAACAGTAGAAGTTGATGTTGACGTTGTAAGAGTTGTATCAACCGTTGTGGTCATTTCGGTTGTTGTCTGGGTTGTTGTCTGGGTTGTCGTACCAATTTCAGCTTCCCAATTCAGAAAACATTGTTCAAGTTCATCGATAGTATTTGCGCAAATATTGTGGTTGATTAGAAGTGTTGCCATGTTTGGAAAATTTTCGAAAAAGTTTCTCTCAATAGCTGATATCAGATTATTGTCAATTGTCAAAGTGTGAAGTCTTGGCATTGGTGTGACGTATGATGAACTTAATCGTGCAATGCGATTATTGTGCAGATGCAACACTTCAAGAGACTCCAAATTGTAGAATGCTTGTTGGTCGAATTGCGATATTTGATTGTTATTAAGCCATAAATTTCTTAATACTTGCAAGTTATCAAAAGCCTTCGAATTGATGTTATCAATAAAATTTTCGCTTAAATTTATATTTTCCAACTTCGACAACATCTTAAATAGTTCGGAGTCAATTGATGATATAGCATTTGATTTCAAATTGAGAGTTTGAAGTTCTTTTAAAGAATCGAAGGCACCAGGTGGTATGTTTGTTATCATTGTGTGTACAAGTGTCAAAGATTCCAACGATGTCAACATTCTAAGTGCTTCAGGATGAAATATTTCAATAGGACTATCGCCTATTGCCAAAAGTTTTATATTTCCACAAGCTCCAAAAGCAAAACGCGGAAGTTCTCTCATAGGATTAAATAATAAATCAATTGACTCTAAGTTATCGCAATTTTCCACTCCCATCAAAGATCCTACACTCGCATTCCATAGTTGAAGTGACATTAAATTTGGGAACCTTCGAAATATTTCTGCTGGAATGTAATTCAAATTTGGCTGATTTGGTGGCGGAAATAAAGAAGTCGATAATTCGGTGACGTTCACATCTGAAAATCCATCACGATGCATTCCTTGGATTGAATATTCATCACCTAAATTAATGTAGCTTCCATTGATTAATTGGCAAGTGTAACCTGAAGCCAAGTTTTGGAAGATGCAAGTCGAATCACTTTGTGCCTTTGTTCTAATTAAAATTAGCATGAAGGCTAAGAGGGTCACTTCCATTTTATGCAGAAATTTCGACCTAAATATGAAAAAGAAGAAAGAAATATTTAAAATCATTATAGGAAATGAATTCAATTTTTATTACTGACTTACATCGTACCACGTCTTGTTTTGAAATGAATGATTTTATCGACTGGAAATCAGTTTTATTATGAGCACATAAAATATTTATCTAAACAGTAAAGATCACAATCGAAAATATTTTATTTTACTAAAAACCAGGATTAAGATAAGAAGTGTGATGAAATAAAGTACATATCAAATAATGATTCCCAATACTATGCCGAAAATGTAGTGATAAAAGCTTAAATTCTTTGAATTTACACACGTGGTGTGGGCATATACGATCATAAATAGAAAATTCATTTTTTTTGTACTAAATTACATATTTTGAAGCATCTTTAAGATTTTATTGTTAATAGGTATTTAATTAGGAAGCTTATTCCTAGGTGGGTAGGTAGAAATATCATCTGTCAGGCAACTTGAACTTTCAAATCAAGAAGGTACTTGAATTATTCTAGTACAATTGGATGTTATTTAATGTTGTTCTCCCGAACATATTCAATGATTGAATATCGTCTAAAATAATCTTTATTTTTATTTAAAAAATATTTACAGTAATGAATGTTTTAATGCCATTACGTTGCTTGAATCACAGTGTAAGTCAACATTTTATACGTTTAATATATTTTCATCAGAAATCATTCTTTTATTTCCTTAACAGGGTAAATTTTTCCGGAGTTCATTCAGATATTCAAGAAATATTTTTCCTAAACAACTTGCTGTTACTCCTTTCAATAATCAGCTGATAGAACATCACAGAAAAGAAGCTTTCTCATCAACAGCTATCATAGAAAATGATTCAAGAGGAATCTTTCAAAAAATATTAGGAAGATTTGAGAATTCCAAAACCGTAAGATTTTAAATAAATAAATCCTCCACATCTCCAGCAATTTATATTTATTTCAGAAATTAAGAGTGTCAGGTACACTTCTTTATGAAAACGTCGCCAATACAATCGATTATAAAAAATTCCTTGAGGAATATGGCTTATCAGACACATTCTACGGCTGGTTTCTGATCACAGAGCTTCACTGTTGGCTTTTGCTTACTCGAGTAATGCAGGAAGGTTCAGAATCAGGTCAAGATGGAAGATTCTTAAGAAACTGCTTAGTTGAGGCGATGTGGGCTGATGTTCAAACAAGAGCTAAAAAACTTAGTGTCGATAATCCCTCAGCAAATCGACGACAGGTGAGAGAAAAAAGATTTTTCTTGAAATTTTTAAAAAAGAATTGAAATAAATTTCAGATTTCTGAACTCGCTGAACAATTTCAAGCTGCGTTGATAATCTATGACGAAGGACTAATGAGCAATGATATCATACTCGCAAATGCTTTGTGGAGACGTTTCTTCAACTTAAAGTGCGATGACTACACAAAACTCGAGAAGTTAGTGATGTATGTCCGAAAAGCATCAAATCATCTTGATAACATGTCACGTAAGGAACTTCTCAGAGCAGATATAGACTGGAAAAAGTTTAAAGATTAATCAGTTGATCCACATAAATAAGTTTTAGAAGAAATAAATTGAATTCAAAGAAAATTTAAAATGTTTCATGAGAAAATAAACAACATCGGTAACATCTGCTTGGAAAATTACTGGACTAGATTTAAGAAGCAAGGAAAATCTGTTTTTCCTCCCTCAAAATTCTACCCTTCAATTTGATCAGGGAAAATTTGTTTTTCTTTAAATTATTTCTAAATATTGTTCTCAGTGCCAAAATATTTTGAAAATGTTACCATTAAAAAGTATTCTACTCGATTCATCAGCATTTCTTCTGCGAGGATCTGTTCTCGTTGCTTTTCTCATGCTTTTCATTCAATTAGGTAAATTGTGAAAAAGAAGGAAATTTTTGTTTTATTTATATCTGCGTCATACATTTTTTTCATCATCGTTTAATTATTTAGCTTCGACCAATAAATTTGGGAGCGTCCATAAAACGAAGGAAGCTCAAGAGACCAAAGCTGAATTATTTTGCTTCTCCTGTGACATGATGACAGATTCGGAAAATTGTGTGAACATTAACAAAACTAGACAACTTAATTTAACAAAAAAATGTAAGTATTTCATTTATACTTATAAGTTTAGTCTTTCACAGCTGACTCTTTAAGGTGAAAACGACCAAAACTTTTGCGTTGTCAAAAGATTTTCTTATACTATGTCTGACAAGAATTCTACTAGCCAAAAGAAACTTTGGAGCCTTCAAAGACATTGCACTGATACTTGCGAGAACGGATGCATAGTCATTGGAGAACGTGTCAAATTGTACGCTTGTTCCAGTTGTTGCAGCAATAATTTATGTAACATCAGCTCCAAAGGACGAAACATCAGAAAGAATAAGTTCTTAATCATGTTCATTCTCGTCTTACCATCAATAAGCTTTCTCAGCTGAAACTAAACAATCGCATTGCAACGTATTTTTCGAATTTCTTTTAAATATCGAGATGTATTTTAATTATGTAATTAAAGTTTATTGTGAACAAAAATTGAGAATCTTCAATATTATTGATTTAATAACGTTAGCTATAAAGAAACAAATAATTTTTTGGCAGGAAGAAAAGAACATACAAACTTGTGCATTATAAACTAGAGTTTATCAATTTAACAATTAGGTAAGCGTGTTTATGTGGAAAATTATTAGTTTTGGCAGCTTGCTTCCAGACACAAGAGATTTTTTTCTCGAACACGAATATTATTGTTGATTGTTGCTGTCATGTTGAATCTGTGCCACTTCTCTTCTTATTTGTTGTATGACGTTGGCTAACGCTTGAGGATGGACACCAGCTTCACACAATTGAATACAAATATCCAATGTTTCTGGTGTTAATCCTGTGTTTAGTATACTTGAAATATTTTGTAAGTTCGACCGCAATTCTTGTGAATTAACAATCTGTGAAAAATTATTCCCATTTGTATTCTTGTCTACTCCAGACATTTCTTGACACATCTACAAATTATTCTTTATAAAAAATATAGAAGAGAATCAATTATAACTATATAATTACCCTAATAATAACAAACCAGGTAGCAATTTTTACAAAAATTACACTCTCTACCTGAAACTCGTCTCCCCAAAGTTAGTTTCAGGTGGAGAGTGTAAATCAAACATTCATTTAGTACAATTTTCAAATATTTGATGTCGTTAAATTTATCGTTTTGTTGATGTTGAATCTTAATGTTGAAAATTCCTTGACTGAATTCCGACATTTAAAATATTGAAAAATAAATTTGTAAATAAAACTACAAAGTGTTTTGTGCTCTTCTTTCCCTTAGTTTTATTTCAAGTATTTTTTATTGCACATCACATTCACAGTGTTTTTGTTAATAAGCTTTTTGAAGATAATTTGTTTTGTGTTTTTTTGGTTTCAAATATTTTACTGTCGATAACGAATTTTATAGATGATTTTTTGTTATGTAGGTAGATATTTATGATTTTTATATTTGCCAGTAATGTCAATATATAATCTTTGATTAAAATTTTTAAATAAAATTGAGATTTTCAGGAAATCATAAATAAATGAGCTTTCTTATGCTAATAATTTGAAATTAAATGCTTGCTTTTACGAGTCTTCCAAAACATTGTGGTTTCCATTAGATACAATCAAAGATTACTAGATATGTTTTAACAGACTACACTATCATTTACACATTTATAAACATTTGGAGTAACATTTATGTGTTTTCAGATATTTTCTTTTATCATTTGTCCATTAATTGATTTCATTTTCTCCTTATATTAAGTGGTTTACGATTTTTGCAAGTTGTTTTACCAACTTGCATTATTTATTGTCTTCCACAGCGAAAGTTTATTTTTCATGTTTTCTTAAAACTACTCATGACTCTTAACGATAAATTGAATGGGGATATAATGGGAGTTACAGTATATATCATTTGTTTCCGAATATTTTTATTGAAAGCATATTTTCATGAAATAAAAATGTGGCGAAGGAAAAATTTAAACATAGACATTTTCCTATGGAAAGTGTTCGACTAACTGATTAATTCCTTGATCGATGTTTAGTAAGATATTTGTGGAGAGTTTTTTCATTTGATTAATCAATCAATTCGTTTCATGTTTCGGGAGGAAATTGTCTTTCAATTAATTTTCCTCGTCAACAGGTAGCGCTACTAAAAGAAATTTTCAGATTTCATTTTATTATCACTCACGCTTTTTATTGCGAATTATCTTTACGACAGTCGCATTAAGTGATGTTTTTCATTCCATAGATTTATTAGTTTCTCGACTTTTTCATTCTATCAATTTTTGGAAGCCCTTTGTGATGTTACTCTGTGGAAAATGAATTACAAGTTCCACTTTTGCGAAAGATTATTTACAGACAAATTGATAAGTTTCGGAAACAAAATTATTTAAGAGATTTTTTTTCTTTTTTTAATTATATTCATAGCTCTACTCAGAAAGGACCGTTTTTCTTTTTAATGATACAATTTCGATGGAGAAAAAAAAAAATTTTATTCCGTTTTTTTCCTTCAGATGTTAGTGAAATTATTTGCAGATTAAGAATTAACATTCCTTCTAGCAGAGTATGATACACATTTGACACAACAGAGAACCAAACAATTACGCTTTAAAAAGCAAGTTATAACACTGATATTCAAAGACTCACTCTCTTAAGAAAGTCTTATGAATGATGCATAAAATGCTTTTAAAATTGACATTGAGTTTAATTGATATTAATGTGACAAGTTGAAGCTCCGTTAAATTTTAAAACGGAGCTAGATCACAATTACATAATATGCCACCTGTTCCTTTTTTGCACAGCGATCCACTGTAAATTAATTTTTTCAGAAAGAATCTTTAATAAACTTTTTTCATTGTAAACATACCACAAACGAGACCAGTCGGGTGTTGTTGGAGCGACCGTTGATGCAGCTTGAATCGATAAGTCAACAAAGGTTTCGAAAGTGGGCAATGTTATAATTTGCGGTGCTAAAGGAGAGTCGTTTTTCATGACTTGTTGACTCTTCTGTGGCTTACCCTCAGATAAATCTTCATCAATCCCAGAAGGTTTTATTCTGTTCCTGTTGGTGTTTTTATTCTCAAAAGGACATTGTGAACAACCGCGCAACGTAAAGTGATGGAAGCGACAAAAATCCAAACAAATTTCTCTTCGATCTGGTTTCTTTCGAGGAGTTGTATGTGATGCCGCCGGAATAATTTTTAATAAACAATCGCAACGATTTCCACCTGAATTGATGTAAATTATGAAACTTTTAATTTTTTTTTCACTATTTTTTGTTTTTTTTGTTTTAATCAAAAATATGATTTTAGAGAAAAACTTTTGAGATTTGTTTCTTCAAAACATAATTTTTTAACTTTTTAAGTCACTAAGAACTTTCACACACCTAATCCATTGTCGCATAAAGTTTTACACAACTCTTTCTGATGTTTTTGAAAGAAATCGTTATCCTTTCGATTAATGGCTTCTGAAGATTCACCTTTGAGCGAGTTTACTGCTGACTGAGGGCAGTCAGGTCCACAAATGGGACCTGAAAGATCCAAGCTGTTGAATTAAACGTAGAGAAGAAAACTTTAAATTGCTGCAAAATTAAAGACAATTTCTTAGCACTTACCTACAAAGTTCTTCACAGATCAACGTCCAGTTTTTGACTACGCTGAACATAGGGAAGGAATCGTTGTTATGTAATAAAATTTCTGCAGATTCTTCAGCATGCGCAGTGCTAATAAACACAAATGTCCCAACTATAAAAAACAGGAATCGCATTGTTTGTATCTGAAGGAAAAGGAAAATTTTTAAAGTGGAAAAATTGTGGGCGTGGTTTTGCGCTTGATTTCATAAAAGGAACTTATCGAGACCTGGAGAAATGAGCAATGAAAAAGTCAAGTTTTGTGTATGAAAGCACAGACACAATGACGAAATGAGAATCTGTTTTCCTGATTTTAAATGATAATGATAAATTGAAGAAAAACAACATGGAATAGGCTGTTACAACGATTACGAAGAACGTCGTGTTATTATTATTTTTCTTTCTATTTACGTCAAAGGAAGTTTTGATAGCTTTAGAGGAAATGACATTTTCTCTTAAAGTGTCTAGAAGATAATTTTTTTATTTTCGTTTCGACGTAAGTTTATGTCATAAATTTGTGTGTTTGTTTGTAAGAAGTCTCTTATTTTGTGTAAATTTAATCTTATAAGGGATTTGAACTCAGAAAACTTTGTAAGCTTTCAGATTATCTTTGTCTGAGAGAAATTAACTTCAAATTTCTTTTGTGTTGTTTTTGGAGTTACATTTCTTTATTTGAATGAAACAAAGTTTCCAATGGATATCAAATTCTTCACATTTTTATCAAAACAATTTATTTTGTAACTTCAAACAAATTTGTTTCCATCATTTTTTTATTCTTCTCATTTTCCATTATAAATATGAAGAAATATCTTATCTCCTTATACACGTTAGTCAGTTGCAAAATATTTCACTTTCAATAAAAATAAATAATAAAAATCGATGTCTTGCACAATATACAGCGTAGAAATATAAATAAAAGTTGAGAAAATATCGTGTAAACAAAGATTTAATCTTATTCTAAGAAATATGTTCACGATGTTGGTTTATTTTGTTAAACTTTACCATTTTATAATTTTTCTCTTCACTGATTTTCCTCAATCTCACTTGGAATAACACTGAGAAGCTTCAAATAAGTGCAAAGCAATTTATCGAAAACTGTTATCTTATCAACTGGCATGCATTTGTAACTATCAGTTGTCACTCATCATTTGACCTGATAATATTAATTGATCGATAACACAATTATTATTACACCTGCTCATAGTTTTTGTTTTACGAATCAAAATATTCAATGGAAAGTTAAATAAGCTGGAAATATCATTAAACTTTGCATCGATTATACTGTTAGTTAATTAATATTGAATAAACGTCAAGTTAATGATTATAAAAGCAACCCTGATGCTTATCTATTCGGAAAACGACCAAATAAAATGTTATCAGGGAAAGTATGATAAAGCTGAGCTTTTATCAATGAAAACTAAAAAAATGTTAATTCAACTTGATGAATTCTTAAAATCTCAAAAAGAATAAAATTTTGTCATGATGATTTGTTTCGTAATGCGGTTTATCATTCGATTTTAAGTCTAACGAATTGTGTGAAATTGAATGTTATACATATGGAAACAATCAACGTCATAAACGTGTCTTTATAAATTGAGATTAAATTGAGAGCAAATGTTTTATTTAAAAGCAACACGTCGTCAGTTTTATTTCCAGTCTTAAAAGTGATCATCTCAGTTCATTTTCCTTAACTTCAAGTGTCTTGACGAATATTGATCGAAAATAATTTATCAACTTAGCAAAATGAAAAAGGTAAGGATTAATTCTAAGAGTTATTCATTTAAAAACTTTCTCTTAAATTTCAAACACTTTCTTTTTATAAATTTATAATATTCTGGAACCATTCGAAACGTATTAAATTGAAGATGAATTGAAATGAATTGAATGCTCTTTAAATAAAAAATATTTGTTGACTCAGTTGATTTCAATTAGAAACAAGAAAATAAAACCTGAAAACTCACGTACGAAAATTCTAAAAAACATTTGCTGAAGGCAAATAAATAAGTTTTCATTTATATCAGAAAATAAACGAACGTTTAACGAATATAATTTCACGATCCCCAATTGGGCAACCTTTGAAAGAACAAAGAGATTCAGATGTTAAAAATTTAGAAATGAAAACTTTAAGATATCAGAAAAGTTTTTCTCTCGCACTCTCCGACTCCTTCAACTACCAACATAGAGAAAATCTCACCAACGCGCATCCATTCACAAAGCTCACATAAAGATTTTTCTCTGTGAAAGCACACCACAGGCAGCTTTTTTCTGTTGCTGACTGTCGAATGATAAGGTTCAGTTTAAAATTGTGCTGTGTGGTGTCGAGAGTGTCAGAATTTTCAGGCTACTAACTTCTTCTTCTTGTTAAGAATTTAATTATAGTTATTAATTTCGAAGTTGCTCCGATTGTGAAACTCAACATGGATAGTTTTCTTAAATTAAAATCAGAGTTTGATAATTTGGTTTCGAAAATAAAAATTCCAGGATCCGAAGTAAGTCTTTAAGCCTTTTTCCTTTCTTATTACGACATCCATTTTTCTGAGGTTCGTTTTCGTAGCTCTCAATGTGGCAACAAGAAGAAAATTTCGAATGGCGTAGACAGGCGCACAACTGTCAGATTATTTTCATAAAGTTAATTTGGGTTCAGAATCATAAATGACTTGAGAATTCGCATTGATAAATTAATAAATCAGAAAATATTCATTCAAGACTTAATTTAATTAAAATTAACTTTACATGAAGAAGAAAAATTTCAGATCAAATTTTCATTGTTACGTAATGAAATATTTCTTGCTTCATTTCTCTCTGTGGATGTTTACATTGATGAAAAATTCACCAAAAGCTTTTTATAGAAGGATACACTAATAGTAGATAACCAACTCATCCAATGTAAATTGTGCAAAGAATTACTTCTTTTTGTACAAATATAAAAGTCAAGCCTTAATTAAGAACATTTTCGAGTTGCCTTGAATAAATATCTATTTTGCCAACGTTACTAATTAGTGAGATCCAAACAGATGAATGTAGATTCAATATTTATAAACAAATGAAAACTTATTAGTATTTCTTTAATTTTATATAAATAACATTCATTAATAACATTCATTGTCACTCACAAAACATCTGTTAATCAATTTTTGTGTACAAACCGACAATTTGACGTTATTTGATGTACATTTACTTTCATGTCCCTGATCAATTTCAAGGCAGAAATATCCAGCATAAGCTTATTTACAAATTCACTTGCTTTTTCATAGAGAAAACTTTTTGCTTTCTCATTATTTGAGAGAAGAAAAAAAAGCAAACTCAGAGGGTAAACTTTTAAATTAATTCCAATTCCACAAGGATTGGAAAAAGGAAACTCAAAAAGTTGTTCGTGAACCTTAAACTCCGCCTGAATAATCTATTGATTTCCGCGAAAACGTTTTTGTTGGGAAAGAAGAAAAAGAAGGAAGTTGATAAATAAAAAATTAGAATAAAATAAAATAATGTAATGATATCTGACGGTTTATGTTATTCTTTAAAAATATTTTCTCTGAAAAATATTCCGAACAGCAAATGAAAATTCATTTCCATACCACATTAAGTGTAAGAAAAAGTAGGTCAACAAAGCCTACGCTCGCCTACACAAAGAAAATCTTTTAATTTTGGAAAGCATGACGTCACGTACATATATCTATAAAATTTCGACCTTTGTTACATAAATATTCGACAAATGTCGTGCAGAATGAATTTAAAATTATGCGTGGGAAGCTGAATGTGGAAAGACAAAATAAATTAAAATAATTAAGAATGTTTAACATATGAGAGGCTTCCGAAATTTTAAATCAAGAATTAATTATTCATTTACATCAATTTTCCTTAATTCATTCTTTCTTGCTTCATACCAAATTTCATGTTACGAAGGAAAAACATGAGAAGTGAGAAAATTGTACTCGAATGATGAAAAGCTCCCACTAATCTCCCACAAACCCACCCACACAGAACTGTGTGTTTACAAAAAAAACTACCACACATAAATTTTCCCCCATTTATGTGAAAATTGCTCCGCCTTATTTCCAACATGGCCGCATAGAAGAAAATTCGAGCGATGACGCAATTTAGGGCTCCCCTTTGTTCCTTTATCCCATTTTCTCTTTAAATATTTCTGATAATGAAGGAAAATGACTCATAGCTGCCGAGATTGTTCAAGTGAGCACAGTTTTGCTTTGCACACCATCGAGGTTTATTGTACAAATATAAAAGAGATAAAAATATTTTGTGATCATTATTTTCTTTTGAAAGAAAATTTAAAAGTTTAAAGTAAAATTACAGGAGAAACTTTAAACACAATTACAGGGCAGCAACATAAATATCTGCAATAAACTCGTCGATAGTGATACGACATATAGCAAAAAGAAAATCTATATAATCTCTTGTGATATAACTTAAGGAAAATTGTTGAAAAAAAAAAGAATTAAATTGCCTAAATATTTATCCTATACTTGATTGTTGAAAGAAATATAAAAATAAATTTAAAACAAAAATAAAATCTATGTTTATTGTATAAAAAGTTGTTGACGAAAAACACCTGAAAGTTAAAATTAGTTTGTTTGTCAAATTAGAAGACTGTTGTTATCAAAAAATATTTGAAACTTATCTGCAATTTAACGATATAAATAAATATATTAAATAATCAAGGTACGGATGCTTAGACATAAAACTAAAAAAAAAGCTTTATTGATTTTCATTAAAAACCTTGCGCAGTTACAAGGTCATAAAATTTTCTCTCAAGGAATCTAAAAATTTTATTTTCCTTCCAGGTCAAAATGACATCAATCAATCCTGACAACTATAAATTGTCTGACAAGACTGCAAATCTCACAGCACATGGTAAGTTTAGTTTAATTATGTTAATCTTTTAATTAAATGGATGCCCGTTAGGCGATTGCATTCATGAGAATTTAGAAATTGTAGTCATTTGCATTGATAGGTAATAAAATATGTTTTTCCTGTCTGATGACTGTGTGATGAGATTATGGTGAAAACCAGATTTTCTCAAGATGTAAAGCTCATTAAAGGCAACCTTGAATAAAAAAACGGCTTAAAAAATGTCACACAATTTATCATCGCGTTATGAAGAAAGAGAAAAAATCACAGAAAATATGTGACAAAAAAAATATGTTTTAGATCTGATTGCATAATAAAAATGTTGCTTTTTTATGTCGTTTTTCATTCTATCTTCTGCCCACACTATCAATAACACATACATCATTTTCAAGCCTCTTGTCAGAATCCTTATCTTTAAAGGGATTCTTTTTCATGACATTGGAAAGCGTCATGATTTCTCTGTTATTTATGTTTTTTATTATTAAAAGAAGCAACTGGCATACGTCATTGTGGAAGTCATAAGTATTACGGTGATATCAGAGGGTTCTCAAGCACAAAGAGGGTTGGTAGAATATTAAACACACAACAACAGCTACAGAAGCATCAAATGGTACTGCAAAAAAAAAAATTGCTTTGCAAACAGTAAAAGCAACAAAACATTTATCCACTCCAATGATTTTTATTTATGAATTTCAAAAGCGAACTGCTAGTTGCTGTTTTTAAAATGCTTTTCAGGAATTTTATTTCCTTTTTTCAATTTGTGTTTATCCTAATCTCGAGAAAATTTGTTAGAGCGTGAATAAATAAAGTGAAGCTGCTGTTTCTGACAGTTGTCTTCCCTGCCTTTAACAAATCACGAAGCAAGAAGATTTCTGAAATTAATTAAGGCGATTATAGCCACGACTTTTAACTTACGACATGCAGCCATTAATTTCAGATTCTTGTAAGAACTTTCTTTAACATCTTGAAATACTTCAAGATAAACCGATTAGAAAGCACTTAGAAAATGTTTAAGGAATGTAATTGTTCCATTTCTCTGCACTATAAAGAAGGGTCGAGTAAGTACGAAGTCCCCTACGTTAATAATACGTGTAACAGTTACACTTTAGTGTTCGACAAACATTGCTTTTGGCAAGAGAAGTTGTCAGACAACTACAAATAACAAATAAATTCCATAAGACTTACAGAATGTTTTAATAAATGTCGTTTCATTAAGTACCACACATGCAATGTTTGACAAATTACCGCATTTAATTAAATTCCTCTCCCCTTTCCATCTCACTTTAATATGACTAAATTCATAAATTAGCGATGACGATTATGACTTTCCACCCTCAAATACAATTTTCAATGTTTCAAAAAAATAAAACTGTGCTAAATTAAATTTAATTGCTTTTAATATTTTCTGAATTTTCTCAAAATGAAAATGCGCAGAAGCTTCCGAAAATTTATAGATTTGGAAACGATTCAAGGCTAGAGAAGGAGAAATGCTTTAGTTTTCGTCCCAGAAAATTGTTACAAGAATCTTTCTTAAATATAAACAATTGTCAGACATTAACAAAAAATATTTTCAACGCCTTGATATGACATAAGTCAGCTGCTGTTGACAGAAAGCCTCATTCATCATTTACATGTGACGTTATTGACGATGGAAAAGTTGATTGTGTGTAGTGCCATAAAAATATTTACGACGTAACATATTTCACCCACATGTTACGTTAATATTTTGAATTGAAATCCTTCTCGACATTATATTCGCATCTACGTTAAAATTTTGCTGGTGCTCCAATCTGACAATACTTTTCATAAAAAGGTTGCATCAAATGCTTTTCCACAACATTAAAATTCAATTTGGAGAGAAAAATCCTTTTTGATGCCCTTCTGGTAATAAATATCAAAATAAATGTATTAATTTATTAAGTGAGACAACTTAAGCCCTCTACTTGGAACTTAAGACTCAACTGCATTTGTTTATCGAGGGGGATTTGAAATAATAGAAAATCCTTGAAATTAGCTATCATTCACATGACGCCAGGGTATCATGAACTGGATGGAGAGAAGCAAAATGAAAAATGTTGATGAACATGAAAAAATTCCATTTTACGAAACATAAAATTCAATTTGAAGAAAAATGTTTTTTAAAATTAATTTTATGTAACTTATGTTGATGGTACAAGGGAAAAAATGTTACATTCATTCATACACTACATCATTTAATTCTTTTAAATATTCCCTTAGGAATGCAATGAGCTTTGTCATAGTTTTTATTAAGATAAGAAGACAGAAGGCTTTAAATGATTGATTTTCATATTTTCCTTACTTATCATTCCAGAAATTTTCCCTTTCTCCGAAACGGCTCAACCTGAAACAAGAGAATTTCTGCAGAAGGTTATTGACATTCTGTTGGATTACGTCAATGCTTGCAATGATAGAAATGAGAAGATTTTGGATTTCCATCATCCCGAAGAAATGAAGAAGTTGTTGGATCTGGAAATTTCTGAGAATCCAGCACCTTTGCAGCAGTTGATCGTCGATTGTGCTACAACATTGAAGTATCAAGTGAAGACTGGTGAGTGTTCAATGTTTTTCATCAATATTTTACCATGATAGTCTGGCCAATAATCCCCTTTGTAAATACACCAAAAAGCGATTGAATTATTGAACATCGAATGGCAGAGATTCCATCACAATGGGAAATTATCTACATCCCTTTCACATGATGCAAAAATAATCGTGAGATTGAAAGTGCCATAATCACATCAATAAAGGGCCCATCAAAATTCAATTTCGGCTTTGAAAATCCTTCCCGCATAATCATTTGTTGATGTTTGAATTCGTACGAAAAAAAGTTTTTGAAGGGAAATTTCACAAAAGATTTTCACGAATGTTTTTAATGAAAAATTCCTAATTTTAAAAGGGTTTTCATTGAGGGGGAGGAAAAGAGTAAAAATCTTGTAAAGAATTCATTAAAAATTCTTCAATGTAAACATTTTCCTACAATTTCCACTCCTCCGACTCCTTCGTTTCTACATTCAATTGCACACTTAACAAGGGTACAATATTCGTGTAGATTTTACTAATCTAATCAATATTGTAAACACGTGACTGCTGGGAAATGTTCACTTTTTCTTTCCTTCCTTAACATTTGAACATTTGAAGATGCAAAACTTGTAGTGATTTCAAATTGAAACTGAGAGAATTCATTTCCTTCCCTTGAGGCGTATGAAGGGAGAAGAAGAAAAGTTTAACAATATTTTTATCATGATAATAATTCAATCATAAACATGACTTTTAACGCAGAGTAAAGGGAAAAAATTGAAAGTTGTCGACACAATAAATTGGATAGAAAATTATTAAGATTATTGTTTTGGTTGATTTGATTTCATGATATTATTCACATGAGAGAAGAGATCCTTAATTTCCGGTGCTTTGTGGTTTGTTTTTTGTTACATCATAAGGATGTTGGTCAATTTGATTTTCTCAGAAAAAGAAAGAAAAAAACTTTTTAGATAAAAGTTTTCGAAATTGAAATAAAACAAATCGCAGTAATTGCATTTTTTTGTTTCCCCATGTTTTAAGAGTTGGGAAATAATGTTAAATACTTCTGTAAATCCTACAAGCATTCAGCATCAGGGCATTTACTCACGCTACACTTGATCCAAATAATCGACAGACGAGAACAAAGTTCTTCACTCACTTTCATTTCAGTTGGATTATTAAAGAAACAATTCGAATTCAGACAAATCGCTTTCACCCTCTTTTTGCTAAGCTTTAATTGAAAATTGTTGAAATTCCAAGTCAAGAGCGAATGTTTAAAGTTTTATTCACATCTTTGGATGGCATGAAAAATTGTTTTCCCATCGATTTTTCCATTACATTCCGCTCCTATAAGCATCTGATGCGATTTTGTGATGGGATTTAAGAAAGAGAAGATTCAGGGGAAGAACAATGTGCTTATTTAAACGTATGATGATGATGTCAAATACTGACATGAGATTACGGGGCTTACTTCCACTTTTATTCATTAAAAGCATCTTGAAAGGGCCAAAAATCTCACATCACATTCAATGCAGCAGATTATTCCGATACATTTAATGCAGCAAACGAATTTCTTCTTCCCAGGTCATCCCCATTTCTTCAACCAACTTTCCTGTGGCTTGGATATTGTTTCGATGGCTGGTGAATGGTTAACTGCCACTGCTAACACCAACATGTTCACTTATGAGATTGCTCCCGTCTTCATTTTGATGGAGAATGTGGTGCTGTCAAAGATGCGTCAGATTATCGGATATGATGGCGGCGATTCGATTCTTGCACCTGGGGGATCCATCTCCAACTTGTATGCCTTTTTGGCTGCTCGCCATAAAATGTTCCCTGGTTACAAAGAACATGGACCAAGAGGTTTACCTGGTGACTTGTGCATGTTCACGTCCGACCAATGTCATTATTCAGTTAAATCATGTTCATCAGTTTGCGGACTTGGCACTGAGAACTGTGTCATGGTTCCATCTGATGAAAGTGGGAAAATGATCCCAAGTGAACTTGAACGTTTGATTTTGGAACGTAAGGCACGTGGACAAATTCCATTCTTTGTCAACGCTACAGCTGGAACTACTGTCTTGGGTGCTTTTGATCCTTTACATGAGATTGCTGATATTTGTCAGAAGTACAATTGCTGGTTCCACGTTGATGTAAGTTAAATAATTTCTATTTAGATAACTTTTAAGTGAACATTTTCTTCTTCTTCTTTTACAGGCTGCATGGGGCGGTGGCTTACTTTTGTCAAAGAAATACAGAAATCCACGAATGTCGGGAATCGAAAGGTAGGGAAAATGTTTTAATTACAAAAGATTTGAAGATTATGGGACGTCTATTGTTGTTCATTTAACCCAAAGGGTAAATTTTTAATCATCGCATTGTCATTAGGGAAGTTGAAGAATGAAAAAGAATTTTTGTTGATTCCATAACTTGCAGATGTCTGTTGAGTGTGCAATTAATATATCATGTCTTTACAAGTTGCCATCAATTGCAGACTTTGCAGACTTCACTTCCAATGAAATCGAATAAAGCACACGAAGAGACATTTTAAAGAGAATTTTATGGGTCACGTTATGGACATTCATTTCGAGATCATCCTATGAATGAAAGGATTTTCATTGAATTGGAATGTTATGGAAATATTGAGTACAATGTTGAAGCGGAGATTGATTGTGTGGCTTTCTTATCATGAACCTGTCTTACTTTCACCCTTACTTGCACAATTCCGATTATTTATGTTTGGGATTAGGTTTTATGGACATGAAGAGAAAAAAAAATTCAACGATGAGGGAAAATTGATTACATTTTTCTATTCTCTATTTATTTTTATAGTCAAATGCGGGATTTTCTTGTTGTTCAGGGAAAGAGATTGAAAAGTTTTTCTTCCTTCAAGAAAAATAGAAGAGAAATTTCAAGTCTAATGTGTATTTATTATTTTAAAGCGGATCATAGGATGATGGAAAAGTCTCTTTAATGGATGTGCACTCGGCTGAGACTCTTTCCTTGCTATTAATTGAATTAGAATTTTAAACCACACTTTTGCGTAATTAAACATTAATCCCAAATTGATTTATGAGACAAGCATTTTAGCTTTGGAAACCTCAAAAAAGTTTCATTTAAATCATCGTGACTGTCAAGTAAATTTCAGTATAAAAATTCAAATTAATTCTCACAATCACGTGCCTTTAACTTACACTTGATTCGAGTTTCTGTTTTCTCATATTCTCGCAAATGATTAATTATATTGCTAATGAAACAGTTATGTATTTACGTGACAATAGAAACTTCGTAATCGTGATTAGTTATTAATAATATTTCGTTAAAAAATCGAATAAAGAGATTGCTGCAATGAACTGTGTGATAAAAGTATTCGCTGAAGGTGCCTTTAGTTTACTCTTGATTCCAGTTTCTATTTTCTCAAAGGATTATTAATCTATATTTAGCGCTAATTAAACAATCTATTTATGTAACAATAGAAACTTCTCAAACTATGAGTTATTAATATCATTTTGTTAAAATATCGAACAAAGAGATTGTTGAAGATGAAAAGACTTAAAACCATGCATTAAACTGTGCAAAAAAATTATTTTGATAACTTAATATTCGCTGAAGGTGCCTTTAGCTCACTCTTGATTCCAGTTTCTATTTTCTCAAAGGATTATTAATATATATTTAGCCGCTAATTAAACAATCTATTTACATAACAATAGAAACTTTTTAAACTGTGAGCTATTAATATCATTTTGTTAAAATATCGAACAAAGAGAATGTTGAAGATGAAAAGACTTAAAACCATGCATTAAACTGTGCAAAAAAATTATTTTGATGACTGAAGGTCATTCGCAGTGTGATTTCATGTTATTTTATTAATTCAAAAAAAGAAAGAAAAAAACAACAAAATCTTACAGAAGCGCTTGTGTATCATTTTTCTTGCTTATACAACACACTTGAAATTCCATTTCTGAGCTGAAAAAGTGTCATCGTTTTGTGTCTATTATTTGAATCCTCTTACTGCCACAATTTGTTTGCCAAAAGCAAACAGCCGACTGAGGGTGAAGAGATTTGGAAATGTAACAGCACGTAAATTTCCTGTTAGGGTTGATAGAAGAGCGCGTGCGATGTCTGATGACTTTTATTTAAAAACTCATCCAGAGCTAATTTCTGCTTGACACAATGTTGAAGTAATAGGGGGTGAATGAATTTGCATCAGAAAATGCGAGAACGGAATTAAAAGTTTCTCTTTAAAGTGTCACTGAGTAAACATTGATAAGAAGGGGTTGGTTGCAAATGCACAGAAGCAGATGATCTCTCTGTTTAATATTCAAATTTCCATCTGGGACTCATCGTGTGGTTGATGGGACTTGATTAATTTTAATTTAACACTTTCCATAAACAAGTCGTTTTGCTTCTTTTGCAGATCTGATTCAGTCACCTGGAACCCGCATAAGTTGATGGGTGCTTTGCTTCAGTGCTCAAGCATTCACTTTAAGGAAGATGTGAGTTGAAGAATTTATTTATTAATTTTCTTACTGTCTCAGACTCAACAAGATGTTACATGTCAAATGAAATTACCAACAGTTGCTTTAACTGTTAAGAAAGAAAACGAAAGGGAAAGAAAATTGAAGAATAAAATTGAAATTTTCTTTCAGGGTTTACTTTTAAGTTGTAACCAAATGTCCGCTGAATACCTATTTATGACTGACAAATTATACGACATTGGATATGATACTGGCGACAAAGTCATTCAGTGTGGTCGTCATAATGACATCTTCAAGTTGTGGTTGCAGTGGCGCGCAGAAGGTGATGCTGGTTTTGAAGCTCGCATGGATCGCTTAATGGAACTAACTGCTTATGAAGTTAAGAGGATTAAGGAACAGTCAGATAAATTCTATTTAATCATGGAACCTGAATGTGTGAATGTTTCATTCTGGTACATCCCAAGACGTCTTCGTGGATCTCCACATACACCAGCAAAGGTTGTAGAGTTGGCAAAGGTGATTTATCAAAAGAAATTCCAGTAAAGAGCATAAATTTAATTAATTCAATATTCTCCTAGATTTGTCCTATCATCAAAGCACGCATGATGCAATCTGGAACATTAATGGTCGGTTATCAACCAGATGATCGTCGTCCCAATTTCTTCCGATCTATCATCTCATCAGCAGCTGTCACTGAAAAAGATGTCGATTTTATGTTGAATGAAATTGATCGGTTGGGTCAAGATTTGTAAATAAATCAAAAGTTTTAAGTGTCTCGAAAGCTCAAATTAGAAAGTTTTACGAGAAAACCCAAAGCTTGATCATCCATACAAACACAATAATCAATGAAATGATTTTCTTCGTATTGAGAAATGTCAATTTTAAGAGAATAATTAATTAAATATTACAACTGCCTATTCACTCATCGTAGTAGGAATTAAAAAATTATTTCATCGTGTCTGTGAATGTCTGATGGGCCGTGACTATTTAGAGAATATATTAAAATGAAACTATATAAGCAACATTACTATTAATCACACAAAAAATTCCATACAACCAAGGAGTATCATCATAGATGACATATCAACAAATTATCATGAAAACTTGTTATTTATGTGGAGATTAATTTTATGACAAAAGTTTATTTCACATTTCACAAAATGTCTGTTAACTCTATCAATTCTTTATTGAACAAGAAATATTCCTAATTACCTATGTTGAAATTATTCAATGTATGAAATTTAATTTAAAAAGTAAATTCAAGATTTTGGTTTTACTTTTCTAAACTCGAAATAATTTTTCTTCGTGTTATTTAAAAATGTCCTAAACGTAAAGTAATTAAGATGCCTCTAATAATAATTAAACTTTTAGTGAAAAATGAAAAACTTATCTATTTAATATTAATTTATAATTATTGGACTTAAATTACATAAAAAAGAAAAAAAATAGAATTTACTGGGAATGTTTAACTTCATAAGTAACTGTTATGTAATGCGAATGAAAATCATGTTGAATTATGTTGTTTAACATTATTAATCAATTCGCATAAATATAAATGTCAATTTGTTCAGTTGAGAATGCTTTGAATATTTTTGAAATTCGCTCACTCACGATCCGTTTCCACAACGAAGAAATAAATCTACTTTAAATGAAAGTATTTTAGGATCCTTAAGCTTGTGTCATATAACTGTACATTGAACTTCATGATCAGTGGCTAAGCATTGAGACATTTGAAGTCATTCATGTACATTAACAAAATGAATCCTATATAGAGTCAATTAATTAATAGTTTCTTGATTCTTACGAGCAGAAGCTCAATGAATCACTAGAATGGTTTCATATTTAAAATATTTAATTTAAATGAAAAAAAAGTTGACTGAATTATTAAGAAACGAGTGGAGTAAGAAGCTCAAATTATTTAAATTTTAAAGTTCTTTATGAAAAATTTCAACTCTTTAAAAATTAATTTAACTTTTATTTTTATTTTTCTCGTCATGTTCTCAGAAACATTTCGTCGTGTGTAGTGCGCAATAACAAAATTGAATATAAATAATCGTCGAATCATAGAAGACGTAGATGTAAATTATTAAAAAATGGAGAATTCTTTGGATAAAGAAATCGTTTAATATTTTAATTTAAAATATTTGTTAGCGGATGCTTAAAGCAGAATTATCTGGCTATATTGTCTTAGTCTTCTTTCAATTGTAAATAAGAAAAAGTAAAGAGAGTTTATTTGAAATTGTTATCAATTTAATAGAAAGCTTTTCAGAACTTTAAATATCTAATTTCAAAAGGGAAAGTTCAAAAACAGAGTAACGTATAAATATCAAATCATATAATGATGAATTGTTTGGAGAATGTGAAAAGTTTATCAGATTATTATCCAAGAAAAAATTGAAAATAATGTTAAAGCTTCTATTTTTTGCGCAGATGGCTATATACATATATTATATATATTCATACATATATGTAATCATATTTATTGAAAGTTTAAAAGTTTTAGAATGGAATTTCAACATGTTGACATCAACATTCTAAGATCGTCAATTTGATGAAATGCTAACAAAATAAAGAAAATTTTAGTTGAACCAAAATATCAACAAAAGCTCACAAAAGTCTTCCAAAACTCTTAGTTGTTGAAGAGATTGAAAAATCCTTCGACAATAAATTGTTCTCAATTATGAGCATCAAAAATAATTTCCATAATATCGTCTTGTGTGATGTTTATGGGTAAAAAATTTAAAAATTAACAAATAAAATGAATAAAGAAAAATTACGAAAAACAAATCCATTCCATTCTATGTGATGTTAACTGAAATGCGGTGTAAGTTTTCGAATATATCTATAGCTCGTGGCAGAGATAAGAGGTGAGATAATAAAGAATATTATGACAATACCTGAAAGTTGAAATATTGACAATTCAATACGGCGTTGGATGTGGAATAAAGGTGAATTCTGATTTCAACAAGTGTCATAATTCATTTTTAAATTTTTCTTGGAATGAATTAGAAATATTTGAATATGAACAAATATTTAATCTGCACTAAACTGATCTTTTCTAAGAATGATAAAATTATAAGTCACAGATATTAGATATTTTCATAATCGTTGAAACTTTGTTAAAAATATTCCTTAAGCGTTAGCATTCGTATCGTTAAGTGATTCATAATTGTCTTTGGCCAACGGCGAAAATCACGTGCTTCGAGCCTCTTTAGCTCAGTGGCAGAGCGCTGGTCTTGTAAACCAGCGGTCGTGAGTTCGATCCTCATAGGAGGCAGAGATAAGCTTTGTAGTTTTTTCTTTTTTTTAATTCTTTTAAAATTTCAAAAATTAACATAATTGTTAACTTCTGTCGACTAAACAAGAGAATTAAAATTTTCACAGTTTCACTTTCAGCATGTTCCATCTATTTGCTTTTAATATTTGCAATCTTTTTAATCTAATTTTGAGTGATGACATTTTATGAATCACAAAAAAAAATATTTTGAAATATTCGAGAATGATTTGAAGTGATCTGAAAAAGAACGACGTCAAAAATTGTCATCAAGTAAGTAAGCCTCATGATACTTGAGCTATGTTTTTTGAAGTATATCGAGAAGTGTCTAAATACCTTCGAAGTTTTTATAAAGTATATCGAGAAGTGTCACACAAAGCGTTTCAGTCTGAAAGAGTTAATTTTATTCGTAATATATTTTCAAGATGTAAAAATAAATTTTCGTACGTCATCAAAAAGCTCTTGAAAGAATTTTCATCCATAATCGAAACTTTAAAAATAAAAAGTTTGCTTCAAAATATAGCTTTAAATATAATGAATATGAGGAGTACAATTTTCGACTGCATGATTGCACGATTCATTGACCTCATAAAGAAGAAAAGCCTTGCGGCTCATTGAGATTTGTTTGTCAAACCGATTTTAGGTAAATATGAAATATTTTTATGAATTTTTTTATTTGGATTTTTGGTGTAATTTCAAAGTTATTGAATCTTCATAAATCATATCCATTTAATAGTGCTTTACGCTTGGTTCCATTTCTCGTGTGAGTGAGTTTCAACAATTCACAATGATCTCTATACACTGATAATCTAAGTGTAACATGGACATAAATTAGCAATAATTGTTGTCATACATAATTTTATAATTAATATTAAACACCTGTTTCAATCATCTGAGCTATCTTTAAATCTCCAGATATTATTTATAAAGTAAACGAACACTTTAAACAATTAATGTCAACTAACACAAGTACTCATGGGATTTTTGTTAATGAGACATATATTGACAAACACGATTATCATTTTCTACAAAAGGATTTTTGAATTGTATGATACAAAGTGTTAAGAGATAGTAATTGACAATCATAAGAAAAATAATCAATATAAATATTTCTGATATCGCAAGCGAGCGCCCCTGTTCAATGTGTTATAATGACAATTGGGATCTTCAAAGAGGGTCGAAGAGAACCGACATTTAATAAATGAATGACATAAATTTATTAATTATTTAAACTAATAAATATAAAAATAACTTTCAACATTTGATTGATAAATTTACTTTATTAATTTATATCTACTGCAAATTGAAGTAATTTTTGTATGAAGAAATATTTTTAAAATTCCAAATAATTTCGTATTTACATTCTTAATCTTTTATTCACCCCACAAACGTGCGAATTTAGCAATGATTCAATGATCTTCAAAAGTTTTCTTTCTTCAAAGTTAAAAATGCCATAAATGTCTAAATTTTTATCACCTTCGATAATAAAAGAATCACTGTACAAAAAAATTCAATTTTTAATTCATTTTCAATCTCAAATTATAAGAATTATAAAAACGCAAGCATCTATTAAGTGCGTCTCATGAATAATAATATATTGAAAAGCAATTTGAGTTTAGCTTTTGAAGAGCATCCATGAAGATAATGAAAATGCGTAATCGTGGTTTTTAGTGAGAAAAAAAACTATAAAATATGCTTCCAATCGGTACGAAAAGTTTAGTCGCTCTTAGATGGTTGGCAAATACAAATCGTTGAACAAGATTCAAAATTAAATCGTGAAATGGTCAAAATATTATTTCTGGTTGCTTTTACAGCTTCCATTGTCACTCAACTGGAAAGTGCAAATATTTTGGGAATCTTCTACTATCCAAGTTATAGTCATCAAATAGTTTATCAACGACTAGTAAAAGATTTAGCGAACCGTGGTCATCATTTGACAATTTTAACTGCTGACAAAATGGATAGTAAACATCCGAATATTTCAGAAATATATATGGAGAGCTCTTATGAAGGAAATATTAACTTTGTTGAGAGCAGAAAGTCTGGTGGATTAAAACTTTTCTATGATTTACTGATGGCACATTTTAAACGAAGTGAACTACAAATGGAAAATCCCAAAGTGAAAGATTTAATTATTAATCACAAGAATTATCATTTTGATGTTATTCTTCTTGAGTATTTGTTTAAATCGCATTTCATTCATTTTGGAGAGTTATACAATTGTCCAATTATTGGCATATCAGCTATTGGAGTTGGAATTCCAGTGCATGAATTAATGGGCAATCAAGTAAATCCATTGATTCATTCAGAAATTATGTTTCCATATCAACATGGAAGAATGAAATTTAAAGAGAGAGTTTCCAGCTTCATCTACTATTTTGCAACGAAATTCTTTCTCCAACCAATCTTTGAATATGTTGGTTGGGAACAAGCAAAGAAAATGTTCATACTTAAGAATTCATCAGTTACTGCACAAGAACTTGAGGACCGAGTTGACTTGGTGTTTGTAAATACAAACCCTTTGCTAGACTATGTTCGACCCATCACTCCAAATACTATTCAACTTGGATTTATGCATGTTGAAACACCAAAACCAATAATTGGTGAGCTTAAGGAATACTTAGATTCGTCTCAAAACGGTATCATCTACATGAGCTTGGGATCAAATGTGAAGTCAAAAGATTTAACACCCGAAACCAAAACAATTTTTCTGAACGTTTTTCGTAAATTATCGTATGATGTTCTGTGGAAGTTTGAAGATGATCGGTTAGCTAATAAGTCAGACAATGTAAAGATCTCAAAATGGCTTCCACAAACAGATCTCTTAGCTCATCCAAATGTTAAGTTATTTATAACTCAGGGTGGTTTGATGTCACTCGAGGAATCAATAGACCGCGAAATGCCAATGATTGGTATTCCATTTCTTCTTGATCAATACCAAAATACATTGAAAGTTCAAGAAGAAGGATTTGGTTTGTCTTTGGATCTCGAAGATGTCACTGAAGCGTCTCTTCATAACGCTATTACCGAAGTGATGAAACCCAAGTACCGAGAAAATATCAAGAGGTTCAAGAAGCTCGTGTACGATGAGCCTATGACGAGTCGGGAAAAGGCTGTTTTTTGGACTGAATACGTTATTCGTAATAAAGGAGCTAAAAATTTAAAATATCCTGGAAGATTACTTCCGTTCTACCAAAAATGTGGACTTGATGTAATTGCAACAATAATCCTGACAGTTTATTCCTTTTCAAAACTCTTATCGTATTTACGTAACAGTGTAAAAAGCAATAAAAAGCTGAAGATATTGTAAATATTTATTATTTATTTATGTATAAGTTATTTTACTTAAAATTAATTTAATTTTTTAATAAAAGAAATAATTTCAAAATATATTTTTTCGTGTTTATAATCTCCCATAAAAACTTGAATTATTTAGTTAGAATTGACATTTTTGTCCTTGTTGACTAATTCATTTTCATCCACGATGAGTTTTCAAATTTTTATGAGAGTTTTTATGGATTTTAAAAGTATGAAATTTATAATTTATTTTCCTCTATAAAATTTGCGAATTGTATAAGCAATAAAATAAAATTAAAGTGCTGTAAAAACATTTAATTGAAACAAAAAGTTGCAATAAAACTGAAGTTAAAACAATTCTCACCATTTTTGCGAAAGATCATCGCATTATCATTGTGAAAAACATCAAATTTTGCTGAAATTGCAGCATGGATCAAGCGCCACTGTTTCAGATATTAAGGCACTTTCAAAAAGTCTGATGAAGGATTTGCACAAATTGCTAATAGCTTTGAGCCACAGTTACACAGACTTTAAAGCACTTGAAGATAAAATATCGCAAAAATTGGTGAAGGTCAGCAAAAATTTTGAAATTTTCTACACCTTCTTTCAAATGTAATTTGATTGTGTGATATAATTAACACATTAGCAGCGAAACTGGGAGTTGAAAACTTACTTGATCACTGCGTTTATTTTTTAATTATGACATGAGGAAAAAGTTTTGAAATAGTCAAACATCCTTTAACAGTTCAGCTTGTCACTGACAAAGAGAAGGTCATTTTGTTGAAGGAATTTCAATATCCAAAATAAGAATGAAGCGAGTTGATAGTTTTTTAATATGTTTAGAGTTGGAAACTGGTGGAATAATTGTTGGATGGATGTACAATTTAATCAGTTTGATTTCCATTGTTTTTTTCATCTTGGTAGCTACTGAAATAGGAAATGACACGTTGGCTGATGAAACATTAAAAAGTTTTGGAGTTCAAGACGCTGAAAGAATGGAAAAAGACCCTAGGAATTCATTGAGAATTGGTTGACAAAGTTAATTTCAATTAAAAGTTTTGAATATTTCAATTTAATTTTCTGTTCAGAATTTTTTATTATTACAGTTTGATTTGCATCATAATTTGTGTTTTTCTCTTAAGAAAGATTTTTAATTTTTAATATATGTAGGTAATTTCTTAAAGAAAAGTCAACGACAAATAAATCAGCAGTTATCTTATCTCACTTCCAAATGTCATTTTTAACAGTTAAACATTTTTGTTTACTCTTCGTAGAGGAAGTTTCAAGAACATGACGAAACAGCAAAAGTAGCAGATCAAACGTCGAATGTAACAACATTTGCGACATTTGCGACTTAAAATTCATATATTTTAATTATTGCACAAAAAAGAAATACAATTTTATTAAATTAAATGAATAAATAAATATAAAAAAAAAGTTCTTCTTATTTTTGCCTCCTATGAGGATCGAACTCACGACCGCTGGTTTACAAGACCAGCGCTCTGCCACTGAGCTAAAGAGGCTATAAGCTGATGTGAACTTTGATGACAAATGACCCATAAAAGCTTTATGCGAAGCATAATAATTTAATTTTGATTGAATATTTTCGATATTTTCAATTGCAATATTTAGAGATTGATTACTTGAATCTTTTAACATAAGATTTAACTTGAAAACTAATAAAGATTCGAATATTTTATGACTTCAACGTTTTGTTATCTTTGTATTTGTATGTGTTTCACTTTCCATTCTTAACAGCTATTAAAACTTTGATAATTTATGCAACGAATATTTATTATTGCGTCTCTTAGTAAACTAAAAAACTGGATATTTAAAATGCGGTTTAAATTTTTAATATATATTTTACAGAATTTTAAAGGCTCGACCAGTTTCTCATAGACTTTCATATAGCGCACATCTTCTAATCAACATTCCGTTTCAGTTTATTTTCATTTTGTTTTTCAACTTTTTATATCTTGTAAATTTTAATACTGATAGAATGATGAGCAAGGATATTCCACAAGGGTCTGATTTTACGTTTGAAAATCTTCCTTATTGTGTTTTTACAACATCTGATCTTGTAAGAATTAATTTAATTCTCATTATTAACATAAACCTGATGTTTCTTTTTCAAGGCTATTCATAGAATCGGAGTGGGAATTGGAGACAGAATTTTAGATTTAAGCGCTGTTGCCAATTTTTATCCTAAACATCTTCAAGATGCATTAAGTGCAACAAAATTGAATCTTCTTATGTCACTTGGATATGAAGCTTGGAATGAAGTTCGCAATGTAACAAAGCAGATCCTGAATCTTGGCTCTTCAACAAATTTCGATCCGAATGTCCAAAAGTAACACAAATTCAAACATTTTAATTAAAGTTATTAAATATTTTTTCACATTTATCCGTAAGCAGAGCATTAGTTGAACAATCCAAAGCAACTTTTCATTTACCTGCTGATATTGGAGATTATACCGATTTTTATTCATCCATTCATCATGCAACAAACGTTGGTGTGATGTTCAGAGGAAAAGAAAATGCTTTAATGCCAAACTGGAAATATCTTCCAGTTGGTTACCACGGCCGTTCAAGTTCTGTCGTTGTGTCTGGTACACCAATTTATCGTCCTTATGGTCAAACCATTCCTGTTGATGAAGCTCAACCAGTTTTTGGTCCATGTCGCTTGTTTGACTTTGAACTTGAAGTTGGATTCTTTATCGGAGGACCGCCAACAAAATTGGGTGAACGAGTGACAACACAAGAAGCAGCAAAGCGTGTCTTTGGATTTGTCTTAATGAATGATTGGAGTGCTCGTGACATTCAAAAGTGGGAGTATGTACCATTAGGGCCATTCACAGCCAAGAATCTTGGAACATCAATTTCACCATGGATTATTCCAACCGCAGCATTAGAGCCGTTTAAAGTCGACAACTTTCCTCAGGATCCAAAACCTTTTCCATATCTTCAACATGATGAGAAATTCAATTTTGATATTAATCTCACAGTGGAAATTAAGCGTAAATTTAATTTGATGAATTTTCTCAGATATGAAAATCGATTATGTTATTAAAAAAATATTTCAGCTGAAAACGGAGCGCCTGTCGTTGTGTCTCGTTCAAATTATCGTAACTTGTATTGGACAGCATTGCAACAAATTGCCCATCACACAGTTACTGGTTGTAACTTGAAGCCAGGTGACTTAATGGCATCTGGAACAATAAGCGGGGAATCTCCCGAATCATATGGATCAATGCTAGAATTGAGTTGGAAGGGAACAAAAATTATCAAAATCGGTGAAGGTGAAGAACGAAAATTCTTGAAGGATGGAGATGAAGTCATAATTCGAGGTTTCTGCCAAAATGGACATTCTCGTGTTGGCTTTGGATCGTGCAGTGGAAAAGTTTTGCCAGCAATTCCATTTGAAGATTAAAATAAAAATTTATTGATTGTGTAAATACAAACAAAATTTTTTTTTTATACATTTTTGTTATTACCTATAACTATTGAAATAAAAGTCAGTATCAAATATCAACTTTGTTATTCTTCTTGTGATATCTCCTTCCTATCACCAAGGTTATCATCACTTTACGTCATACGTCATAACTCAAACATTGCAATGCAATATTTCCCGCGTAAATATTTTCCACAAAAGTTTTACGAGTTCAATGAACTTCTTTTTGTATTTAGTTTTCTTTTCTAGGATTTTCGTCATGCTTTAGAATTAATTTTAGTCTGGGAATCTTCATCACATAAGTTACGCTTATATGAGCTGATTGAATTAATTATAGAAAATTGAAGAAATTATCAGAAATAATTTATTTCTTATGTCTAAGGCTAATTAAGCTCATTTTTCATGCGATAAATATTCTTGATTGATTAAGTAGAATGATTCCGATCTCTCACTTTCTCTCATTCACATGGAAAACTCAAGACAAGATCTTACGATGTCGAATTCTCTTTGAGAGCGAATTTTCCTTGACGTTCTCATATTTTGCGTACAAATATTTTTGTTCATGTAGATATTCCGAATAATCTTTCTCGTGTCTCTCTGTCTGTTTAGTCGCAGTTCGTATGAAACGAAAACAAAACACTTTAGCTCGCGAATCGTTGTTTGATAAGAATAAAAAGAAATTCCTGTTAAATAATAATTTTCTTATTGAACTTTGATATGATGTCTCGGATTATAATAACATTGTTATCAAAAAATAATTTACGTGGAATGATGACTGAATAAAATTCTGTCCCATTCAAAATCACAAATTGCAAACTACGAAAATTTTATTTATAGAAACAGAAGAATATAAAATCAATTCAGCACGAATCTAAATAAAATCTTTCGTTATAGTGTGTTAAGTGAGAAATAGTGCTTTTCAGTTTCATAAAACATAAAACTTTCCTTCAAAAATCGATAAGTTTTAAATGCTTTTTTGTATATCTGATGATGGTTATAAAACAATAACGCAAATATTTTTCTCTGTTTTGTTCTCCGACATTAATCATTTCCACTGACCGCTGAAAAGTGCAATTTGTCTCAATTTCTCTCGCAAGAGAAAGTTATGTCGATGTAGTTGTACGCGGTTCTTTAATAGCTAAGGGTGGAAAAATATTTTTCTCTTATTCCTTTTATACATTTTTCCGTTCCGCTCATCAGTCGTGAAAGAAAAATCGATAAAGCCATCAGACACATTTCAGGCAGAGAAAACTATTGCTCGTTTTCTTTGAGATCTCCGGGGTTCTTATTTCTATAAATGTTGCTGCTGAAACGTTTTTGTTAAAATAATTATGGATTAAAAATATTTTAATTAAAAAGTTTACTACTCTTCTAACCAGTGATTTATCCATCATGTTGATGACGCATTAAAACAAGTGAAAATATAAAAGAAAGTAATATAATTACAAAAGCTAATAATCAAAAATGGACGAAACAATTTTTGAAACTTCGTTCCACTTTACCAATTGTGCAATGAGAATTAATTAAGAAAATATATAAAGAAATCAAAAGGAAAATTAAGAAGAAAAGTGCCCTAAATTTTAGTTAAAAAAAACTATTTAAAGCTAACAAAAGATTTATTAATGATTTGACTTCCAAAGAAGACAAGAACCAAGGAAAATGAACCCACTAGGAATAATCATATTAAACTTTATCTTGTTATCAGTAGCAGGTAATTGCACTTGTTATCAACATAATATTCACACTTTTCATGCAATTCAGAAAATATTTTGCGAAATCATCAGAAAATTAAGCAAGTTTTAAAGTGTTTTAAATTGGGGGCGTTTACTGGCGGTAATGGCTTTTGCTTACTGGCAAAACAAAGCCTGCTTCTCTTTTTTTTCTCTTTAATCATTCAACTTTATTCATTTCTTGATAAATATTTATGCAAACATACTTATACGAGATGAAATCTGATTTCTCAAACATAATTGAATCGCTTGATTAACATACATATAAAATACAAATGTCAACGACTGAATGATAAATATTGGCAATTTAATTTCAGATTTATTGATAATTCGATAATTGTGCCCTCAAAATATAAATAAATAAATAAATAAAATTATAATCAAGGTTTTCTAATTCTTATTTAATTGACAAATAGGAGCTTCGCCAACACGCCGTGTGTGCATGGAATTCAATCGAAACAGCATTGCGGGTAGACTTGACCAATCGGATGATAATTCAGAATATCAAGAAGAAACCGAAAATGATATTGTCGATGATGACGAACTTTATGTGGATCAGAATTTCACTGATGTAAGAATAATCGTAGCAACAAATATTGACAAATCATGCATTGTGATTATCTACCAACTTTTTCTCTTTTAAGATTCATCAATATAAAACTCAAGAAACTTGTGCAAACAATTTCGAGTATTGCTTTTCAGCATGGAGGATAGAAAAAGATGGAAGCACAAAATTATATTCACAAGGTTGTTGGGAACATGTTCGCGGATGTAATCAATCAGCTTGTATTGGATATCAAGAGAAGCAAGCTGTTGTATTTTGTTGCTGTAACACTGACCTATGTAATAACAATTTGACCAATGTCACACCTCAAACATCACCGGTCGTTATTCCCCCGGCACGCTCTAATTTCGCTGATAATTCAGTTTTAAAGAATCCAGCAGTTTGGGTCAGTTTCATATCGACAGCTATTATGCTTTTTATTATCGCTCTCGTCTTCTTCGTCTCGTGTCGCGTCAAAACCAAACCAAAACCAGAAGCTTCACCTTTGGCACCATCTGGTCCCGGTTACTCATCCAACTTATATAATGTCGATAACTTAAAACCAATCTCAATTATCGGCGAGGGAAAGTAAGTTTAAAATCTTTTTTATTATTTGCTTTAAATATTTATTTAATTTTTTTTTCCTCATCGCAAGGTTTGGTATTGTGTGGAAAGGAATGGTCAATGAACAACCAGTGGCCGTAAAAATATTCAGTGCGCCAAAGAAACAATATTTTATTAATGAACGTGAAATATACTCGCAACCATTCATGAATTCGAGTCCATCTTTACTCACATATTTCGGTACGTTTTAAACTTTTCTTTCTTCTTAACTTAATTTCTATGATAATTTCCCCAGGTTCTGATGAACGTTTAACATCTGATGGAAAGATGGAATATATGTTGGTTCTTTCTCTTGCTGAATATGGTTGCCTACAGGAGTACCTGCGTGCAAATACAACAACATTTGCAGTCTATTGTCGAATGGCCATTTCCATCACTCGAGGGTTGTCATTTCTTCACACAAGAATCCAAAAAGGTGACACATTGAAGATGTGCATTTGTCATCGTGATCTCAACAGTCGAAATATTCTCGTAAAATCCGATCTGTCATGTTGCTTATGTGACTTTGGATTTGCAATGAAAACAAGTGGATCACATTACGCTCAACAAGGTGAAATGATTGCGGCTGAAACAAAAAGCATTCACGAAGTGGGAACACTTCGTTATATGGCACCAGAAATTCTCGAAGGTGCCGTCAATTTGCGTGACTGCGAATCATCGTTGAAGCAAATCGATGTTTATTCACTTGGCTTAGTGTTGTGGGAATTGTGTATGAGATGTCAAGAGTTTTATCCTCCAGAGATGACAACTCCACCATACAAAGCACCATATGAAGCGGAAATTGGAATTCATCCATCGTTTGATCAAATGCGCTTATTGGTATTGCAACACAAAGCACGACCATTGTTTCCAACATGTTGGGGAGGTGGATCAGCAGCTTCCGCTTCAAAAGAAATATGTGAAGATCTTTGGGATCACGATCCTGATGCTCGTCTAAGTTCACTTTGTGTTGAAGAACGATTAATGGAGATTGCGACACTTCATCCGCGATCTCATTTTGTTTCATCAAACACACATTTGGATGCAAATAATTTAATTTCATCAGCTGCACCCGCAATAAGTTTTTGTCCACCTGTTCAAGGATGTCATCAAGTTATTGCACAAGTTGAACACACAAGTGAAACATTCTTATCGAGTCCATCAAGTGACTCTGGTCGAGTTATTCCTATTAAAAATCGTGAAATGTTTGGACAACAAATTCAACAGTTTCAAGGACGTAATTTGTGTCTTGAAAGAAATCTCGTTCAGATTCATCAAGCTGATCAATCGAATGATGAGAAACCGATTAAAAAATGTCCACTTGCTATGGGAAATCAATTGATAAGTGGAATCAATTCTGATAGTCATTTCTATGATATGGAATATGAAGTGCTCGTTGAAGAATTGCTCAATAAAAATATAAAAACTTCACCGACGACTGTCAGCGATTCTAATAATTATTCTGAGATTTTACCGAAAAGAAATAATGCTGATAAACGAGGCATGCGATGGAATGGAGTTAGAAAAATGATTCAGAGAAAATTTTCAAAGAAGAGTCACTTGGGAAACATCAATCAGCAGTTAACATCACCGACAAATAGAAATATCCATCTGAACATGATTGAATCGAACAGTGCTGTCATTGAGAAGAAACCAAACAACATTCAACGTCCAAAAAATTTGGATATTTCACCGATTGTTGTTAGTAGAAAGCTTCAAACATTCAAAACACCTCCGCACGATTCAGAAAATGAAACATTTACAATCATAAAAGAATCTTCAAAAATTGTGACTTCAAAATCAGCGACATTGAATACAATTTCTGATGAATTGTCTTCAGAAGGAAAGAATTTGAAACGTCAACGATCATTGGAAGTATTCAGAGAAGTTTTTGGACCAGGAAAAGGAAGTGTAGAGAGACTCAGAGATGTTCATCAGAGAATCAAAACACCGGGAGATGTTCCACCAAGTGTCCGGAAAGTAAGAGCTTCGAAGACTCTTTCACTATACGACGATCGCATGATGAATTCTGAGCTCAGATTCGATGGCTCATCTAACAGCATGTAGCATGAGGAAGTCTTGCTGTTGGAGCTTTAAAACGAAACATACTTCTAGTCAATGAAGATAAAGCCTGATGATGTTTTAACTCTTTACAGCAAGAAATTCTGCACACTCTAAGACGAGTTCGAAATTCGACGCTTCTAAGCACTTAAGACATGATGATACTCAGAAAATCCAAAATTTAAGTGAAGTTTTTAGCATATAAGTTTACGAATAGAAAATAAAAGAAAAAGTAATCAAGAAGCAGGAAAAAAGAAAAAAGGAAAGAAAAGTTTTTGACTCAAAACATTCAACCCTTTTCAATTATTATAAATGACCATAAAATATATTTAGTTGATAAGATTTATATACTATATTGGACACTCTCTAATAGAGACCACAATTGATAAATGTAGCATTTTCCTATGATGTAAAGAAGAAGTAAAATAAATGTTGGAAACTTAGAAATCGATTACTGCCAGCTTTTTGTTGAAAAAAAAAGGAAACGAAACTTCCTGCCATTATTGTTCTTATTCTTTACAAATTATTTGAAAAATATTGGAAACGACCGACAAACAAAACTTTAACTGAGAAAATGATTAATGTTCTGCTCAATAGGTTCTCTAAGTTCTTGTTCAATGTCAGAAGTGAACATTTATGAAGAGAAAGTTTTATCAATATTTCTTATGTTCACTCGTCAATCACGAAGGAATTAAAAAAGTTTTTCAATTTTCTTTTTCTATTTATTTTTATCGGCCTTTAATCTCAATTAAATGTATTCTTAAACACTATTTTAGCGTAAATATTTGAATTGAATAATATCCTAAAAGTGCTAAACACGACAATTAATTTGAATGTTTTAATCCTATCTTTTTAGTTGATGTTTCTCGTATGATTTGAGAAGCTACAAAAATAGTTTTTTTTCTTCTTTTTTTTGCTGCAAATTAAAACGGTGGAGAAGGTACAAATCTTTAAAAATTGGAAAATAAGTACAAAAAGTGAATAAATGTTAATGTTTGAACTTAACATAATTACATAACGTAGTGACAATGTCAAACGTTATGTTATGTCACGTACGTTACGAAAATTTCACGTAACATACGCTACGTGTACTTCAACTTAACATACAAATTTAAGATCAATTTTTAAGAGATAATTGCCTCCGATAGATAATCAAATCAAACTCAATTAATCTATAAAATTAAAAAGATAATAATAGAAAAACCTGTAATTTTTCTCCTTTCATAAAAAGTTGTTCGTTTTTGAGTGATAGAAAGTATACAAACTTTCTGTTATCAATTCTGCTTATTGTCAAATTTCATTTCGTGTTAATCAGCAAATCATAAAAGAAAAACTAAATCAAGCGTCCAAAAGAATATAATACTGTGACGATTAACTTGAAAATGGATTCCATTATATAAACCAAAATATTCAATTATGTTGATGCTTTTCAGTTCTTGATGAGAAATATAATGCAAATTAATAAATGAAAATGATTCTTAACTAGTGGATTTTAAACTAATTCCAATATTCTCACTTAGATTCTTAAATCATGACCGCCAAAACTATTAAATCGGGAGGATTTCAATCATTAATTTGTTATCCTATCTAAACTTTATTTTTTTTTTTCTTTTTGAAATTTTTTCAAAATGAATCTAAAGTTTCTTTTTTATCATGTCACCTGTAAATTATCCTTATCAACATTACTAATCCACTTGCATCGCGCAAATCATAAAAAATATTAGATAATGTTTTTTTGAGTGGAAAATCTAACAGATTCTCATTTTTTCTTTGAAATTGTTGATATTTCTTCATAAATGAACGATGATATACGAGAACTCTAAGAGGTGAACATTTCTTTGAGATCGTGTTCATAAATCGCAATAAGTAACATTGTGGTGAAACCACAACACATTCCAATAAATTGCAGCGCACATTGACACAGCATATTACTTTCCTCTTTGCCATGTGATGATGTCAACTCAGGCATCTAAAAGAGAGAACATTAAAAAGTAACAAATTTTCTTTGAGATTTCTACGCTATCGATGTTTACCATATCAACCAAAGCAATATAAATGAAAAGTCCAGCAGCAACAGCGAAAATCCATTGAGACGCTTCTGGAGTATCTCCAATCCAAATACCAACACACATTCCAAAGAAACTCAAAACCGAACTCAAAATATTGTAATAAACAGCTTGTTTAGCACTCATTCCTGCTTTCAAAAGTACCGCAAAATCTCCAAGCTCGTGAGGAAGTTCATGACAAAAGACAGCAACAGCTGTTGATATTCCACCAGCAATATTATTTGAGAAAGCAGCTCCAATGGCCATTCCATCAGTGAAATTATGCAATCCATCTCCCATTATCACCATCCAAACGACAGCTGACAATGTTCCTGGAGGTGAATGAACATGTCCATGTGTATGTGAATGACCGTGATGATTCGATTGATGTTCTCTATATTAAGTATGCAATATATTAATGTTTAGAGCAACAAACGAGTAAATTTGGTCGTTTTACTAACAAATTTCAAGAAAAAAACTTAAAATTCCATAAGGCAATCAATATAAATGAAATGAAATAAAAATCTAAACTTTTATAATGAATTTTTCTCACCTCAAAATTATTGTGTAACTTTCTTCTGGCATTTTTCCTTTCTTGTCGCCATGTGCATTATTTTTCTCAGCAAGTTTATTATTGTTATACAAGGCGCTGCTTTCAATTGAGCCATCATCAACACTTGTAGACAAAGTTAAAGTATTGTTGTCGTTATCAGCGACATGTTCACCAATCGGACCATTTAACTTCTTCCCATCAGGAAATGATGATGAGAGAATGTTCGTTGTGAGCATTTCTTCCTCAATATTTTGATGTTCATGATGATTATCTTTGGTGTCCATTGCAATCTCATCATAACAATATGGATATGAACTATATTTATGTTTGCATGTTGCAATTCCATTGTTTAATGAAGCTGATTCGGGATCGCGCATCACACGTACACGTGATGATGGTTTATCTCGTTTTTGTTGCTTTTGTCGCCATTCAGTGATCATTGTGAGAAATCGCTCGAAGAAATAAAAGAAAATTATTCCACCAACAGCTGCTAAGCCACGTAACATCATCATTTGATGTAAATCTTGATCTTTATGTGTTGGCATCATTGCATGTGGCAAAAGATGAAGAAGTGCATCACCAGCTAATGTTCCAACGGCCAAGGCAACGAGAAATTGTAAGACTTGATGATAGAAATGTTTCTCCATGATTGGAATGACAGCAACGCCTAATAATCCACAAAGGCTTACACCAATGATTGATAATGTTGAATATAGCCAAACATCACTTCTCGATTCCATCACAATTTCTTCGTCATCTAATATCGGTTCCATTCGTAATGATCCCATAAAATTGGAACTATTTAAACAACCATTACCTTCCAAAAGTGAGTTACGATTAACTATTTGATAAAGAATAATTGGACACATCGACAACATGTGCTCTGCATCAATATTGATCTTATCACGGAATGTCGTTTGATAAGTTTCATCAACATCATTAGTTTCGTTTTCATGATCGTGCTCATCATGATGGTGATGATCATGTTTTACTTCATTTTCTGTCATTTTTCCAAGAAAATCCAAATGATTCATACAAGTCTTATTATCATTTAATTCTAATTTGCTGCTATCTCTCATCAAATGTTTCAATTCCAAATGCATCATCATCGCTTCAAATTCATCAACATTCATTGTGTTGGTGTTACGATTGCTAAATCGATTGAAAATCTTTTTAATATAGTCTTTTGTTACTTCCGGTGTTTCATCATGATGGTGTTGTTGATGCTGCTGATTGTGAATTCCGTGATCGCCATGACGTTTATGTCTCACTAAAGCCACATCATTATTACTTTCGTCTTTAATTTTATCTTTTCTCTTATCATAAATATAATTATGTGGAATATCAGCTTCTTTCACATGTGTCCGAAGATCTGATGGCGGTGGGAAATATTTTTGTTGACTGTCTCCGATTGCTTTGATATTTTCATTTGGAACATGTTCTTTACATGGTAAATGTTCAGCGCACAGTAGGCAAACAACACAAACGGCCATTAAGTGACGATGTGCCATTGTATTGATGAGATTCAGCACCGAGAATCTAAAAGGAAATGAAAAACGAGAATTTCTGTTATAAATAAAATAAACAATTAAATATTTGCTTTTTATTTTGATCTCGATATGGCAATAATCTTTCTTCTACCACCCTCGCTGATAGAAATTCTATTTTTGTCTATTTTTTGTGAAGGAGTAAATTTATGAGTGTAATAAATGAGATGGTTTTAGTTTTTACCAGTAACCTAATCATGATCAGGTGGTGCAAATAAAAACATTTGAAACTCCTGGACCATTGCCAAAAAATTATTGATTCAAAACAAAAAAAAACCTGACGTCACTTTGAAACGAGCCCATATTGCTATCAAAATGATTAAATTAAACCTCTTCATTCATTCAATTTTCATCACGTCGATTATTATCATAATTCATTGAGTATTAAGATAAAATAAAAACTGTACTCAAGACTTCTATTTTCTACTTTTATTCGCTTAATGTTGATATGACGACAAGCAAAATTAATTTCATTCATACAAACTTACACATATGCACTGGATTTCCGAGACAATCAGATTTAAGAGTAAGGAAGACATTAAATGACCTTGGAAAAGTGCGACATTCCCTTCTTATCATTCAGAAACATTGTTAACATTAGTCGAACATGACTTCTTAGTTTTATTTAAGTACATATATATAACTGAATATGAACACTTTGCTTAATGAATAATATACACTGACAACACATTAAAAATTCTGTCTGTTATTTTAATACAATTCATTCAAAAGAAGATAATCAAAATAGGAACAATTGAAACCGAAACTGTCTTTGATGAATAATAATTAAAAAAAACGAGTATGAACGAAGATTATATAGAGCAAGAGGTTAAATGACTTTAGAATCATAAAATATCACAAAGAATTCCGTGTCGGCTTACTCTCTTACCTTGCGTTAAATTTACTCTCCACAATTACTTTTTTTCTAAATCGTGATAGATACTTTTAAAAAATCTAATAAAAAGAAATCTTCGTGTAGGTGGCAAATGAGCGCACACAAGTTTAAAAAACAACGTGTTCTTTAGCCACAGTTTCTTTTCGAAATGATAAGTTGTTGGAAATGGAACAACGATGAGTGAGGAAATAGTCCGCGTGAAGCTTCTTTCCTCTCTCTTCACTCACGATTTTTCCTGCTCTTCTTTCTTGCGATTCGTACGTCACACAACAATTGCTCTCTATTCAAACTTAAAGTGAGCTTCAGAAAAAAGCTTATGATACGTCATAAAACACAGCAACGTAGCGTATTATCTAGAATTAAATTAACGTTCGGTTTGATTCATTAATTTTCTCTCTAAATCTTCAGTTACAATCTTTGTTTAGTTTCCGTAATTATATATTTATTAACCGGAATAAATAATTTTTCCTAACGAGTGAAAGAAATGCATAAAGATCAAACTTTTATAACAATTTTAAGCAATTAAACAAGAAAAAAATAAAGCATTCGATTTTTTCTGATATTGAATGAAATACCCAAACCAATCGCAATCGAGTTACGAACCATGAATAACTCTTTTTTACGTGTTTTTTCGCGAGTTTATGTATGATCAATTCGAGAATATTTTTTCCTTCTTTTGGCTGTTTCAGCATGAAGCCAAATTTCGCGAGAGTAAGTAAAAAATGGAAAAATAAATATGAACTTCTTCTTCATTATTTTATATTTAGCAGACGTTAGTTTATTAGTTCGATTTTTTGTGGCGACGATGATTCGCATTCTTGCAGTTCACAAACAATATTTGAAAGAGACAACATAAAATATTGATTTCAATTACAACCAATTGAGATTTGTTTCTAATTTTTATGTATTCAAAGGTTTTTTTAGCAATGAGCGTCATCATTTATTCAAACAAATATTATTTATGAGATCGGAAAACTTTATATGCGTATAAATATATGAACACCTGCGACCCTTCTTAGATTTACATCCTCAATACTTATATAAGAGAGTCTTATAGAAATATGCTTGACTTAATTTAATAACCATTTTATATGCAGTAAGCTTCTCGTTAATATTTCATGACTTTTCTGAATATCAAAATGAAAGAATGACAAGACTTAGAAGCATGATAAATCTTAATGGAGTAGATGGGGAATAAAATGTCGTGCAAATCTACTTAGAATAAGTTAAAACAGTTAAGAGTAATCTTCAAACGTGTTTGTATGTTTATTGTTCTCACAAATATTAGAAAAGATATTGCGAATATTCAAAAATAGTTTAAAGCTTTAAAAGGCAGACGAAATTTATTTTCCTTCTCTTATTCGCTCACTCTCACCTATGAGTCACTGACAGCAACAACCGCAACAACAACAAAGAAAATTACCAAAAATTGAAAGAGCGAAATAAAAGTTGCTTCTCAACTGAACCGGCTTTCGAAACAGACTGATGATGTGAGGTTCGAAACCAAATTTTTTTCATGCAAGCACATTTTTTGAACTCGAACAATCTTTTTTTTTTATTTTGTAAACATGTTCAAACATGTCGTGAAAAATTGAATCAGCATACAATGTTGCAGGTTGTAGCAAAAATAAAAAGGTTTCAGAAAATTGAGAAATTAAATTCGGAAATTATTGAATTACGACGTGCTAAAAATTTTGACTCAAAAATTAATAATTCATTTTAATGGGTATTTTAACAATTTTCAATTCACCCAATATTCTGTCATTGCATTGTCAGTAAAAACGATGAGTAAATTTATGTGTGTCATAAAATTAAAAAAAAAACAACGAGTCATTGCTGAGTTTCGAACTAATGTTACTTATGTTAGCTTGACACATATAATATTTACTTTTACTGATAAGTGTACATGATTCTTCATTATTTTAAGCTTTACAAAGCGTCAAGAACTATAAATTAATAACTCTTTAGATTGCAGCCATTTCTCATTCTCATTGTGTGTTTAATAGCGTGGTTTGCAACAAAATAACTTAAATAATAAGATTAACTAACGTTCTACATTATTGAGCAGTTCTTAATGATAAAGTTTCTTTTATATTTGCTTCGAAGTTTAACAAAGTAATTTTCTTCTTTTCTTCATCATAAAGGATATTTTGGTAACAAAAGCCACATGTTGGAAAAAGCTTTTCATTTAATATTTTTACCACAAAACGTATTCAATCACGATTTTTCACAACCGACAAACCGTACCAGGCACCACTCAATCATAAACTTACTAGAAATCCAAGCCCATTATTACATCAAGAGATTATTGCGAATTGAACCATTCAAGTCATTTATCTACTAAAAGCTCACTTTCATAATCCTTCAAACTTTTAAAAAAACATTTCCGTGCTTTTGACTCGTTGTTGGCTATGCCATCCCGTTTGGCACGCACTCAAACTTTTTCACGTTTAAATGTTATAAAACTCCTTCTTAACTTGTGTAAGTAGTTGAATGCGTCCTTGAGCTTAAATAAGGTTGAAATAAAACTACTGCATCCTCAGAGAAAACTCAGAACGTGTCTCTGAGAGAAAATCTTTCAAGGTTAAAATCAGTTGCCCCAACATTGTCATTGTTAATGACTTTTGGTTTTTTTTAGTTCGAGAGAAGAAACATAACTACATTCATGGTGCAGAGAATATCGATTTTCTACTTTTGTTTTTTTTTAGGTAGCGGAATACAAGTTTTCCTTTTAAAATAATAGCGTGGCTATAAGCTCATGAACTTGAAAAGAATATTCTCACATAAATATAAGTATTCATGTCATTTTAGGGGAAATTGTCTATTGATCTATTTGATATTCTCACGAACCGATTTCTTGATCATGAACACGCGAAAATTGTTGACAATGTCTTTAAAAGCAACATGTGCTATAAAAATATTTTTTTATATATTTACTTTAGAAACAGTTGCTTTTATTTATGATTTAGATAAGCATTTTGTTTTTAAAGAAGTGGTGAAGATGAAGATGAGAAAAACATTTTCATGAAGATAATTTTATATTTGTCTGCATTAGAAGCGATAAATTCTCTTTATACGATTTAGGAAAATTTAGAAAAAAGAAGATTAAATGGTTTCGAAATGGTGAAAGATAAGTTTTCAATTAACTAGTGGCAACGATGACTATAAAAAGAAATAAAAAAAATCTCATTTTCAAATATCATCGTCAAAATTCTACGACAATCGGGATCATACAAAGTTCGTTCTCTAGTTTTGACGAATATTTATGAGCTACGATTCATATGATAATCTGTAAACATCATCATTCATTTGACACTTCATAATCATGTTTTATTCGATGATAGGATGAAAACATGTAAAATTTAATTGCGCAACAATTGAGCAAGTACGTGATTGTGTGGAAGTAAAAAATGTAGAACCTTTTAAGGATTCCCAATGTAATTTCCATAAACTTTGTGCATATTTGAATACATCAAGAGTATCTACATTCATGGAAGGGAAAATACGTGAACATTACGAACGATATCAATGAAGGTAATTCCATTTGGCAAGATACTAAGCATAGATGATTTTATATAGTGAAACCGTTTCTGGTTGGGATCGATAAATACGTAACATATCACAGGATTTTAAAACCAAGAAACATAAATGGAAAGGTGTTGGAAATAAAGCAGTAAATTTTATGAGCTACACTAGATCACCTATCTTGTATGCAAGCTCATATAAAACAAAAACTTCAGATTGCCTGTCACGTAATTTTAATTATTGAAATTCGGCCATTATACATGAAAACTGATTTTTTATTTTCAAATGACGTTCATTTTGAGAGACCTGGCTAATCAGTGCATGATAATACGATTATGAAAAAGAAAAAAAAAACCCGAGATCATTTTTGCAATTGCAATTGAAAACTATAAATAAAATTAGATTCGTGTCTTTTAAACAGTTTTAGGAAATGTGTCTACCTGTACATATTCAAGTAAATATTTCACAACTCCAGCTTTTAAAATAAATTTATTTTTAGGATTTCTTTCGATCTTTCGATGTAAAATTTTCTACTCATATAGGAAAACGAGTCACATAAGCACGACATGTTGAGTTGCATGACAAAAATAGATCAGTATCATGTAACGTTTCACCCATTTTTGTCAAAGAACATTGCATTCAAGAATGAGCACGAATTCGCAACGAAGGAAACTTACCTCTTGTCAAACAAGCTGTCGGCGTCAATTTTGTATTTTTGAGGTTTTCTTCAGATGATTTCTTTTAAGATTTGTTTTCGGTAGAAGTAAGTGAATATATGGCACAGCTTTTCTATTCGTTTCACACATGAATGATACTTTGATTACTGAACAAAAGGTTTTTCTTTTTCAATTTGAAGCTATTCCTACAATACCAGACACTTGCGAAATTCCCTGATTTTCAAAATCATTTTATCACTGAACTTGATATATTTTAGGAAAGTCAAGTAGCTTGCACAATGCTTAACTTTAAAGTTACTTTCTTTTTAATGTAACAATTTTATGTGCTCTCTATTTGAGGTTTAAATTAATTTGGAAGCCGAATTTTTACGTAAAACTTCTTTAGACTGTGTTCGGAGAAGATAATGTGCGAGCTACATATTTCGATTTCAAGTTCGAAACATATTTCGAAATTTTATTTGAATAAATATCCGTTATAAAAACTTAATATTAATATTTGTTGATACTTGGAAAAACAACTACGAAATTAGTAAATTTGACAAAAAGAATCCTGATTTACATTTGGTTTTTAATTTTATTAAAGAACTCGCTTTGTAATATTTGAGTATCCAACACCAAGACAAGTGAGAACAACTTTAGGACTTGTTTTTTCGTCAAAATCTTCATCATCTTCATGTTTATCATCTTGAAAAGTGTCAAGTTTGAAAGTGATTCCAAAAAAATCTCTCAGAAGCTGTAAAAATGTTATGCTATATTGGGAAAGAGGTCCCACTACAACTTTTGAAACACTTTTGGGACCCAATGCCATGTAAAGCATGACAATCCACTGAAACGTTGAATCACAGCATCCACCACGATATATTTCATCAAGTAGCCTGTTTGCACATTCTTTCCCAATATCTTCAGGAAGTGTTCCTTGAGTTGTTGAAACGTATTCAGCTGAATGAATCACGCCTTCTGTACTTTCTGCAGACATATTGATACCAAAACCTGACGAAAGTCCACTTAATTTACCCTTATTCTGATCAGTGTGAATATAAACATCGGGTAAGAAGCCTAACATTACACCTTTTGAAGCTTCAACAGTTCTATTTGCAAACGTCGGAGATACTTTACAAGCATAAACAATACCTCTTATTCTTTTAACCATTCCCTGATTCATCAACTGAAGTGTTTTAAGCTTTTTAACAGGATTCATCTTAAAAAGAACTTCTCCGCCACCAAGAGGCTTCATTCCTCTTTTGATAATTTTGAGTTCAAAAGAATTGTCTTCAACGATAAATTTCTTCATTATGTTGAAAGCTGAAACCTTCACATGGTCTATTGATGGATCGTCTGCAGAATTTGTTACACCTTTTAGATTGGCTTCCATGGCAAATTTACAGAATGGACCAAAGGCTATAAGAACATCAATGTAATATCCTAAAAACATAAAAAATTTAATTTTATCTTTTTCGCGATAAATTTCATATTTACCTATTGATTTTTCTAAACAACATTGATGGTCAATTTTCCCTCCATGCAAAATTCCTGGAATGAATTCAAGCTCTGTTCCTGATGGACTTAGCTTAATTTTTGTTCCGTTTGTAAGTTTGTCAATTAATCTGATTAAATTTATTTCAAATTCTTGCAATCCTGAACCTTTCCTTATATCTGTTACTTTTACTGATTTACCACTGATTGTTGCCAGAATAAGTTTCTGTTTAAGGTGATGACTGCCTTGAAAATTTAAAGCAAATGTCGTCATTTTCTATCTCAAGTTTCAATGTTTTTTTATTTAAATATTTCTTGAATCAAACATGAAGAGATAAATTCATGAGCCTCGTGTTTTTGTTTGTTGACATTCGAAAACTTCGAAAAATTTCAAATGTTCGAAACAATTTCTTGTGACATCATTAATAACATAGTCGAAAAGGTAAACAAATCTTGAGAAGCCGAAAATAAAATTAAATTAAACCAAAATGGGTGATATGTTTCGAGAAATACTCAACATTGAGCAACCATCATCTCAAGAGTTGACGAAAGAAACGCTAATTACAAAAAAGAAACCACTCATGGAAAGGTAAATCTCATTTTTCTTTCATGTTGAGATGAATTCATAATTTTTCTTCTTTTCAGGACAAAAACCACACGAAGGCCAGAAGGAATGCATAGAGAAGTATATGCTTTGTTGTATAAAGATAATAAAGATGCTCCACCACTTCTTCCTACTGACACTGGTAAGATTTTAAAATACTCAATTTTTCTCTGGATTAATATTGATTTTATTTGGTCCAGGATTAGGATACAAACAAGCAAAGGCTCGTTTGGGCATGAAAAAAGTTCGTAAATGGGAATGGAAACCTTTTGTGAACCCAGCACGAAATGATGGCGTTCAGTTTTGTCATTGGCAAAGAGCAACCGATGAAGCAAAAGAATATCCATTTGCAAAATTAAATCGACAGCTCAACATTCCTACTTACACACTTAATGAGTACAATACACATCTCCGTCTGAATACAAAATGGAATAAAGCACAGACAGATCATTTATTTGAACTTGCTCAGCGCTTTGATACTCGTTTCGTCATTATGGCAGATCGATGGGACAAGAACTTCGGTGTTAAAACAGTCGAAGATCTAAAAGAACGTTACTATGAAGTGAATGGAATTCTCCAAAAACTTCGAGGTAATGCAAATGGGGACAAAAAGATTTACGTGTTCGATGGTGAACATGAAAGAAAGCGGAAAGAACAATTGAAGAAACTTTTCGAGCGGACACAGGAACAGATTGAAGAAGAAACAATGTTACAGAATGAGATGCGTAAGATTGAAGCACGTAAAAAGGAACGTGAGAAGAAAACTCAAGATTTACAGAAACTCATTTCACAAGCCGATCAACAGAGTGAACAAGCAGCAGCAACGGCACCACAAGCTCGTAAACAAGAAAAGAAATTGAACAAAAAGAAAATCCCAGTGCAACAGAAAATGACAAAAGCTGATGTTGTGAGCACAATGGAGACAGCAAACATTCGTTTTGGTGAAGGAGTGAATAAAGGTACTGGGATCACAATGCGATCGCAGAAAATGAAGCTTCCAGCTAACTTTGGACAGAAACGAACCAAAGCTTTAGAACAAATGTTGGCTGAATTCAAAGTTGATCCGAACCCTCCTGCAATTGAAGAAATTTGCACTGCATTCAATGAACTTCGTTCTGATATGATTTTACTTCATGAAATTCGGACCGCATTAGCTTCATCGGAGTATGAGTTGGAGACGCTCAAGCAGATGAAACAGGAAATTATTGAATAAAATTTTTTTACGCTTCAAAATTCTCGTCTCTTTTTGATTGACGGAGAATTTGCATTCAATACTGTTTGATGATGAATTTAAGTTAGCTAACATTCAACCGAGTAATAAAAATGTTTAATTCATATTTTTTGGCTTTGTGTTTCGCAAAACGAAAAACTTTTCAATTGCAGTTTTCTTTATTTTTCTTAGAATTTTTTAATCAACCGCAAATGCTTCTTTTCCTTGCTGTTTGTTTAAACTTTGTTCTCGTCTTCTGGTTGATGCGCAAGCGAATTATCGAATGGAAACAGAACGACTGGAGATTGACGATTGTCTTTAAAATCTTTTCAAACATTTGCACAAACTCGCTCTTTTTTTTATTTTTGTTATTCTTTTATTTATTTCTGCTGCTGCGGTTTTTTCTTTTATTGTCATTTTTGAAGCAATGAAAATTTGAAAAAGGAAGAAAAAAAGAAGATTGTGCCCGACAGTAAGAATTCTTGCAAGTGACTGATGAATATCTTTTTTTCTTTTTATTTTCCCGGCTTTTTTAAGAAAGCGTTTAAATTTTGAAGTTTTTTATTTTATTCTATCAGCATCGATGTTTTTGAATGAATGTGGTGTGAGCGAGAATTATGTTGAGTCAACATTCATTAAATGCTCTCAATTCTTTAGAATATCATTTGAACTATTTTATTTCTACAAGCGCCTCAGTCTTAATAAATTGATTTAGCGACGCTAATACTTGTTAGTCATGGTACGTAAATTCATAAGCGTAGGAGTATCGTGTTATTCATTCAGAATGTAAATATTTTTGTGTGGGTACTTTGTGAATTGTAATTCAATTTTACCACCCAATCTCGGTCTGCATTTAATTAATCAAGAAACTGTGAAATGTTTCATTCAAACGCCCTCATATCTTGAGGGACATAAAATTAATCCCGAGTAAGAGGAAATATTTCTTTTCTTTGTCTTCCCATTGAAATTAGGATCACCCGTATGTCTCATGGAAATGAATATTTTAACAGCATTTTATAATTGAACACTTATCACCAAGATCGTCTTCATTTCTCTTATTTTTGCTTCACTTTTTCAATCTTTTTTAAAAACTTTTAAACGAAATCAGTGATGATCTTGAGCTCGGACGAAGTTAGGGTAAGAAGAAAAAAGAAGTCAAATGAAAATTCGATACAGAAGCAAAGCAACCAAAAATAATTGGAATTTATCAAATTGAAGGAGAAGAATGAAACTAAATGCTGAAATAAAGTAGATTCACAAAAAATTCATGATTCAAATTCTTTTCGTCAACTCAATGATTCGCATGCTGCTTTAAAAAAAAAAAGATTTAAAATTCTAATTTTGTTCTCCATCCAATGATTTTGCTTTTCCATTGTTTCTTTCAACGGCATGATAATTTTTGCCAACAAATATTTATTCAGAACTTGATGGATTTGAGTTTTTAAGGTCCCATATCTAAGCGGGTGTTTGCAAGAAATGAGAAATTCACCGAAATTCAAATTTCAGAAGTTAATGAACAAGAGAAACAATGAGCTATGGCATTGAAAATTTATGCAAAAGTACAAAATTCCTTTGTGAAAAAAAAATTAAAACTTCATTTTACTAATTAAACCATCATCCTACACGCGTATTTTTCATTACACTTTTCTTTTATTTTCAAAAGTATTTCCTTTAATAAAATGTTCACCGTATCTTCATTTCTCATTTGCTTTACTTGATTCTTAAAATCTTAGCACAATCGTCGAATTGTTTCATATTTTTTAATTGAAAATTATAGGTTCTGGCATGTGAGTTGGTGCTGGTTTCTGTTTTCTGCTCTTAAGTAAGTGTAAAGTCTCAAAAGGTGCATACAAGAAATGATCATTTTTTTGTTAAAAAAGGTAACATCATAAAAAGCACATTTCGTTGGAAAATTGGATTTGGGAAAACGAGTAATTAACATGCATGAGAGTTATCATTAAATCTAAAATTAGCTGTTTTTTTCTTTCAGAGTTCCATTTGTTATTCGGAGCGTAAACTTTTGCAGTGCATTTTTTGTGATGGTTTAGAAATTTTACTTCGCTTCACTTGATGTTTTAAATTTTTTGTCCATTTTTCAAACATATATAGATACACATATTTTTAATAATTTTAAATGAATGAGACCGGTGTAAAAGTTTTGAATGAATTTATGATTGCCGCTGGCGAACTTATCTTCTGACTACGCCAAAGCATGTGCAATTTCCAATGAAAAAAAATTAATTAAGCATTTTTTTATTGTAAATGTTGTAGAAGTTACAGTTAAAAATTCAAAACCATCATAAGTAAGAAAATGTGTACACAATAAAAATAAACATTAAACTTTTATAGATGTTCTAAAATCGCAGTAATTTCAAAAAAAAATATTTGCTTCTTGTTATGATTCATTCTGTCTTCATTCGCTGTTCTTTTCTTCTTCATCACGGTAAGCCTTTTACGTTGTTTTGTATTCTTGCCTTCCGTGCACATTAATCCCAAAGTTGGTAAAGACAAGATGAAGCATAAGGCAACAAACTAGACATGACAAAATCCCAACTGGGGAAGAGAGAAAGATGTTGATATGTCCAAAAATGAAAACATAAAAAACAATTCCCGACATGGTAAAGTTGCAGTTTCTTTTTATTCTCTATCCCATTTCTTGTTGATCTTCGCGTTTAATGTTTATGTTTTATGTTTTTAATCTCAAAAGTTTTCGTTCAACACAGTTCAACAACATTGAAATGAAAGAGAGTGAGAGACAGAAACTTTAAATTAAGTAAAAATTCTTTGACATTTCACGCTGATATCAATGGACAGCAGATATCAAAATAAATACCATCCGATACACGAAAGGACTAGAAATATTTGACTTATACCAAATATTTATTTTAATTACTCAAATAAATATTGCAAAAAATAATTGACATTTTTATCAGAAAAAGTAAAGTTCTCTCAAGAAATATTTATAGAATGACAAAAGCAATTTGTTTACAAGCTAAGTTAATGCCTATGGAATTTTTTTCGCTCTCTCGCACATGTTTCTTCTCTCACCAATGTTCCATTCATTGTTGGAAATATTTTCTTGTTCAAACACCGTCTCGATCAGTGTTTTCGTGAGACTCGACAAGTTTAGACCTGGAAAGGAATCTGCTGTTCAAATATTTTCTTACTTGTTTCATTCGAGTTAGATGTTTTAAGTTTTTTTCCCGTGTTTTATTTAGTGACACAAAAGACGCGAAAAAGAGATCGCGACAAAGAGAAAGATAAACTTACAAACAAAAAAAAGTGCTAAGGTGCGAGTTCTAAGTTCTTTCGCATAAATTAAAGAAGTTGTCACTTCAAGACGGAAGAAAATATGAACGATCAATAAATTTAAAAAGTTAAGTGACATGCGAGAGATTAACTTGATGATCGAGTTTGAATAAACGTTTAGGGTGGCCTATAGGAAAAGAAAAGAAAGAAGTTTGAATAATTTTATCCGATCATCAGCAATTCTGAAGCATCATGAAGACAACAAAAAAATTCGATTCGAATTTATATCTTGAAATGGCATAATTTCGTGTATTTTTTCAAGTTCCTGAAAGTCAAGTTTTTGGGATCAAAGATAAGAAAAGGAATGAACGTGTTGATGAGCCATCAATTGTTGATGTGACTCAAACAAGTGATTGGATTTTTTGTGAACGAGTTGAAGAACAACCAAGTTCTCTCATCGTCTAACTAACTTTCAATTGTCATCCTCATCGTCCAGGATTATTGATTTCGTTTCTTTTTTGTATTTTTAACTTACTCTTGAAGAAGTTAAAAAATTGATTTCACTTCATTCTTTTCGTTCCACTGTACACACAATCATTTCACAAAACAAACCATGAAGTGGCGAATGAATATCAGGTGAGTGACTGTCTCAATAACAACACAAAAAAAAGAGTAGAAGATTTAATTAAATTTTCTAAAAATTTTAATTCCATGAAGAAGAAGGAGATGTAATAGAATCGTTCAATTGTGACTAAAAGACGCGGCATTTTTAATGAAATTGAGAATTGGAAATATTTGTAATGTCTGTCATTCCAATGTGATTACACAAGTCTTAAATTATTCATTTTTTTCTCTTTTAAAAGAAAAGAAAATGTAATAATCCATAACCTAATCTGATTAGATCCCCACGAATCTTCCCTTTCAGACTATGAAACTAAATCGAATATAAATCATTGAAGAAGTAATGAATGAAACTTTTATTCTTATGACTGCTTTATGTTCACTTCTGCTCTCACCAAAGTTAGATAAATAGAGAAAGAAAATTAAACACAATAAAAATTATCTTTTGAGAATTTTTTCTGAGCATTTCCTCACTTTGAACATTAAAAAGAAACTTTCAACAAATATCTATGCAAGTCTTAAAAAGAAGATAAAGAAGAAGAAAAATTGTAAATTAAGAAAATATTTTTTACTATAAAACGAACTTGTTTCAAGATGAATAATTGCGACCAATTTTTCTGATACGCTTCAAGGATTTATTTTTTTCGGTTTCCTTTCTTTCACTGAGTTTTTGAGTTTCTATTTAATGAATGACCGAAATGGGACACATAAGAGGATAATGAAAGAATTTTAAAAATAAAAAAAAAGGAATCCAAAGGAAAAAGATCGTAAAACTTCTTTGTTTGCTTTTCATGTTCATTTTTACTCATCAATTTCCTGTTCATTTTTTTACTTAAAAAATAAAACATAAAAACTTATCCCGGATTCTGTGAATGAAACACTTCACCATGATGGTACCCGAAAGAACAAGTTTCAATTTGTTTGAATGAAAGATTTTTAAGGATGTTAAACTTCTACCTACTTCCTTCTCGAAAAATTAAAAGAATGAATATTTGTGATCTCATGGTTGATGATGGTGTGAAAAATATTTGAAGCATTCTATGAATTGTCGCAATAAGAAGAGTCTAGTCGACCCTTTTAAAATAGATAACTGATGACGAGGATCGGCACCTGTCCCGTAGAAATAACTCGAATGAAATATATTCAAGCTTACGCACTTTTTGCTGTCGTTATTCAGTAGTAGAATTATCAAGGGGAACTCATCAGTCCATGTCGGCTTCTCTCGCATATTTTATGTTATGTTTTTTCATTGTTCCTCAATTGCGCTTTCCTATCAACTTCCAACAATCTGATGTTCAACTTTACCTTCGTCTGACGCTTGTAAAAATATTTGATTGTTGCTTTAGAATTGATGATGCACCGGTGTGTGATCCATCAAAGGCCGGAAATTAATGGTTCGTCTCTTTCACTTTACATATTTTTCAAAATTGATTACTCTGCCATTTCCAGGAATTTTCTGTTGAAGCAATGTCTTCATTATCAGCCTACTATCAGCACATTTTTATGATGTGAATGTTTGAAGTTCAAACAATTCTTAAAAGTAAAAATAACGAAAAGGAAACCGATTATTTGCTTTGATAAAACGCTTTTCAAATGTTTCATTCATGGGTTCGACATAAACTGAGAGATCACGAAAAAAATATAAAAACTAATTACTTTAGGCTTGTCTCTAAATGACGTCATGGAAGTAATTTAAAAAAGCAATAATAGAGAGTCACCGTCAAGCGTTGATATTTGAATTGCTAGTTGAAATAATTAAAATGTATCAGTCATTGCTCATCCGCGAGTTTCCATGAAACGGACATTTTAAAGCATAGTTCCACGAGAACAAATCAAATCGATGTTGAATGAAATTAACGAATGAATGAAAAGGTGATCTACGTTTAGAACATGACAGACTCACACAGGTGGAACGAATCATTCTTTTTTATTCTTGCTCGTTGTTCATTTCCTTGTTTCCCATTTTTCTTCTTTCACTTAATTTATTTTGTTAATTTGAATGCTGTTTTTATAAATATTTAAGCTGTTACTAAAATAATAGCAACGATAGATTGTCGTCGTCATTTAACAGTCAAGTAGACTACGCTTAATTTTTGTTTTTGAAAACAATCGAAAAGTCAGACAATCATGTTTCCACTGACTTCGTGTTTAAAACCAAAAGTACAATATTTATGAAAAAAAAAGAAATAAATGAGCAAGCGAGAATGATCGTTGACGATCCCTAATGCCAATACTTTACGTCTATGATTACAAATTCAATTGTGTGCTTAAAATCTCACTCAATGAGTCGATTGATTGCTTCTTGCGGGTCAAGAGCTGATGGCGCACACACAGCTACGTTTCAATAATTCAGTGGCAACACCAACTTAAACGATCGTTAATGTTATGACGTGATATTTATACAGCAATCGAGTCGAAGTTTCTAAAATTTGTTGAAACTTTGCCACAGAAACAAGGTTCATGTTTTACTTATACTTTTTCTTGATCGCGCCCACGTTGAATTCAAATCTTAATCTCAATACGGTCATTTTGAAGCATCCGACTGAACTGAAAATGATTTCGTCAATATACATAATTCCAACATTTCTCGATGTAATTTGAATCAATTTCGTATTCGCCTTTAAGCTGATGATGAGTTGGGATCGTTCCAGTAAAACGCCCGAAATATTTACAACAATTGCATTTGTACAACCTTCGCATTTTTAAAACCTTCTTCGCTTCAATCAAGTGATGCTGCATTACTGCAACAACCTACAATATATACAGAAACGTTTCCCCCTCTTTCACATGAATTACGGCGGCCCACGTGCAGAATTTCTCTTTGTCTCTTTGACTTTGTACCTTTCGTGTATTTATCGTGTGTGCAAATGTTCATAATAAGAAATAAAAAATGAAATCTTTTTAAAAATAACTCGAACAATAAACTTGCTTGAGCAAGATGTTCTTCAAATGTTGTTTTGTCGTGGAATAAAACAAGCGGAACAGTTTCAAATGTCCACGAGATTTTTTTTTCTGTTTTTAATGCTTTAATCGTAGTCATCGACTTAAAGTGTAGGATAAATTTCACAAAAATTATTGATAAGTATAGAAATAATTGCATGTGCTTATTTTTTGTCTATGAAACTTATCTGCCATCTGAAGCCACATTGTAAAACATCACAAGCACAAGCACACAACAAAAAACATGTTTGAAACCGATTAAAGAAACACCCACGTTTGATTTTGGAAATTCACCATCAACATTTATATTCGACTTTGAAAGCAAGTCGTAAGCAATCACAAAGATACAATAGTGACAGTAAATGTTTGGGCTATAAATGATTTAAGAGATCAGCGACACAAAAACGTCAAATGATTCTGTTATAGATTACCGCGTGAAATTATCATTTATTTATGTTGATCACGTCATGAAGACGCCATGTGGAGATTATTTAAAGCCAACGAGCATGAGCGACTAGGTAGTGGATATTTTCAACCACGTCTTGTCTCTCCTCTACTCCAGAAATTAATAATAAAAAAGGAAATTATTTCAACATCAACACCCGTGAAAAAACTTTCCTCTGATATTTAAAATTTATTGATCTGTCCAGAAAGATATCGCGCCCATCGTGTTCATTTCAAAACACAAAAAAAGAAAGAAAAAAACTTAAAACAACATCCCGAAAACTGAAACGATGTAAGAAGACATAAGACAAAGAGAATTGAAATTAAAGAAGGTGTAACTTTGGCGCTGTGTCGCACTGAGTTTGGATAAATAATGGACGCTAAGTAGGATCAAATGTTTATTTGATGATTTAATAAATTACCTTAAAGAAATGGTCAACGGTTCACGGGCGTTGTGTGATCACTTTTCGTTCGTTTCCATTCCATTTTAGTAAAACGAGAACAACGTGTTTCAACTGTTTATTGAGTGTAATGAATAAAGATCTTTCTTTAAACTTCTTTTCGTTGAAACATCGTAGCAAATATTTACACTTTTCGTAATGTTCAATTAGTGGTTCTTCTCTTTCAATTAACCACCAAAATAAGAAGCAATGGAGACTCTCTCGCCATGAAAGTCAAATATTTTTTGTGTACCGAAACGTTGTGTGACTGTTATGTGTGTGAATTCATCTGTTAAATGTACTTAAACTGACTTTCTCATGATCGGAAGCTTTAGTTGATGTTTCTCAAAGATTAAAACCGAAGCAAGATGAAAATGTAGCAAGCAAGTGAAACCACAAAACATTTAAATATTTCTGTTTTTTCTTCATGTTGTTGTCATTTAATACTGGTCAGAGTGGTTCGTTAGCAAGTAAAGTTTACACATCTATTGTGATGTAAACGAATAAGTAGATGGAGATTGTTCAACAATGGATTAAAATGTGGTTTGCGTATGTATCATTGACGAAAGCATTTCTAGCACCATTTAACTTACTGAATATATTCATGGAGTAAAATGACAATCTTCTTGCCGATCCACTCATTGAAATCATTCATAATTTAGCTCGCACTTAAATCTTCAATTTCCCATAAATTCATTCATCTCTGATTTACGATGGAAGCTGACTTAATAAGATAATTGGGTTAATTTTCGCACGGCATATCCATAATAGTCTTGTCCGAGCTTTGACCCTGAACAATATTTTTAACATTAAAAATTTTATTCTCTGTCTTTCATCAGACATAATCTGAAGTTCACAGATAATTATCTTGAAATTAGATGTCTGAAAATCATCACAAACATCAATACAAGAAGGAAGACGATTTTAGTTTGTTTTGGTTAAATAAATAATTGGACATTTCGGAATAATCATGTCGAAATATTATTCGCTTGGTTTCATTTTATTTTATAACGACGAACTCGAACTTTTAATGATTTCTTTTTTCCGACATTCTACGTCAATTCTCTTGGAATGATATTGAGCGCCATCTCATGACTTAATCTTCTCCGAAATGATTCAATGCTTCAGCATTTATTCAATTACATTCTAAGATTACAACATCTTAAAAAACGCTTTAGAATGGTTCAAAGGAAAACATTCCATTCTTATTCATTTTCGATGTTTGTTTTTATTTATCGTTAAGACATACAAGTAAGGTGTGTCGAACATTCTACGATGATGTCGTCGTCGTCGTCATTTATTGGAATGGAATCCTCAAAAGTCATGTTCTCTTCAAAGTTCTGAACTCGAACAAAAAAGAAAAAAAGGAAAATTTAATTCTTATGGTAATTGTTTTTGGAATTGCCGAAAAGACTTTCACGATTGATATTCAAATAAGGCACCGAGGCCGTTGTTCGTTAATGGGCGCATGACGGATACAAATTCTAAGCAAAGCTTTTGTTGATGCTCAACATGAATTCTTTAAATAAAAGGAATGAAAAGAATGGAATGAGATTCATTAGTTTGAATAAATGATTATCAAGCATGCAGTGCAACTTGAATGTCATCAACGAAGAGAAGCATGAAAGAAGAATACAAAATTTCAATTTACCTCACACGTAAAAGGAAGAAAATTCTGATAGTTTATCTCAGCAATTCCATTTGACTAATTCAACTATATTCATTAATTTTTGAGTTTTGAAAATTGACGTCGGTGTGATCACAGAAACAACGGGGAGAGAATTTTCACAGCCACTGAACAAAAGCGCCACTTTTAGATTTTTTATTTTATCTAATAAAGCGGAATAAATTGCGATACATTTTAAACACACGATTTGTTAATTTAACTTTTTTATTTCTTTTGTTACTCATCTCATGTTACACTCATCGATGTTGTTATTGTTGAATACAATTGAGATTCGCTTCCACATCTTATGAATGAAGAAATGAAACGAGTTTTGAGTCATATTAAATAATACAATTTAACATTTTGTAGCTTTTTATTCATGTTCATGAGTTTCCATCGATAATTTCTTCTTTCTATACAACATTTGGTTTAAAAAGTTCAGGAAGCTCAAATTTAATTAACAATATTCATACTAATTGAAAGAATTTTTTTTCCACTTCAACTGAAGCTGCAGTAAAGCATTTGGTAGAAACAAAGACTTACCTTTGTCTCACATCTAACCGTAGAGCGCTCGTTTTCTCTCAATGAATTTAACTTTGTTCATTAAAAAGTTTTTAGTTAAAAAAATCAAGTCTAAACAACTTCAAATGTTGCCTTCGACTTGTGTGCTGTTGCTGTTGTTGTATGATGCAAGCGAATCACGAAAGAAAGAGCAAGAAAACTATTTTGCGTGGGTGTTTTTGTATGATGGAAAAAATTATCATCGTCTTAAAATGTTTTCACAATTTTGTTTGCCTGATTTGAGGTTGAGAGTCGGATGGGAGTTGTAACGAGATCGGATTAGTTCAATTGATACAAAGCTTTTACTTTAAATATTTAATTTCATAATTAATCTCCTTATGATTTCAATTCGTTTTATTTTGATCGCTTTTTAGTTTATTTGTTTCAAACGAAAAACATTGTTGGTATTCAGATTGAATTGGGGTAATAAGAAATCAAATCCGGAGGCAGGCAGAACAAGGTTGAATCGCAAAACTGAATAAATTAAGTCAAGAAAGATCGGAATAAATTAAATTCACATTTACGTTCTTTATTTTCGTGTGACTCCTGGGCAGTTTCAGTTATTTTGCATCGTTCTCAATTTACTCTCAAAACATTCAAATAAAAATGAAATAATTTTCTTATTCTTGATTTTAAAACTTGGAAATGAAGCAATTAAGAATTCAGCAATCGAAAAAAGATTTAATGCTTCATTAGTTGAATGTTCACAACTGGTTTTAAAAATATCAAATAAAAACAATTGTGTTTGGTTTTGACAAACTTTGCGTGGTCGTTGGTTGATGATAATTTCGTAATCGCAACAATAGTTTGATGATCTCAAACCAATGATCCAACGAGGAGAACTTGCTTCTTTGTGACTTTAACAGATAACTTGTCTTTCCTAATGTGCTGCTCATTTTAATTTGATTTCATCGATCGATGGTCCCGTCCCGCCTTTTGACCGACCATGCTTTTGAAAACCTCACTCCGGATGTTTGTTGTATGGAATCAAAACTTATTTTTGGGAATTTGGTAACAATGAACGGATCCAAAACCTTAACAATCACCAGACGTGCTTTCGCTTACGTTAATTTGATTACGAAAAATGAATAAAGAATAACAACTGCCGCCTTTACTAAAGCGAATCCCAATTTGTTTATTTATTCAAAGCACTTCTTCCCATTTTTATTTTTATTTTAAAACTCGTCATTTTTTTTCTTCTTGTTGATAATTTAAAATGTGAATGAATGCTTTGCATGAAATGAAAACATCTGAAAAAAAATGACTCCAGACAAAGACAAGTTTGGTCCGTTTGCCACAGCTCAATAATTAACAAAACAATCAAAAGTTTATTTCCGCTGGTAACATCGGTTAAGAAATATCGCGTTTTAAGTTTCTTATTTATTTCTTCACTTTTGTTTTGTGTCTCGAGTTTAAATCAACAATCGAATGTCGAGAAATGAATTTTTATTCTTCTTCGACTAAAACTTTTCACTTCCATCATGTTACAGTGAAAAGAATAAATTTAAAGAAACCAAACACCTCAAAGTCACTAACGTCATTCGTCACACCAACTTGACATTTCAGTTCGAGTTCGTTTTATGCTTATTTGAAAAGCTGAAGAAACTTATCTTTCTTTTATCTTAGAGCATGATGTTGAAGAAAGAAGTAAACAGTTAGAAAGAAATTTCTTCTCGACTGCCAGAGGCAATGTGCTAAGTAAATACTTAAAGTTTTCCTGATAATGAATCTTCAATTAACAAATGAAACTAATAAAAGGAAAAATGTTGAGTATTCAATGTGAATTCTCGTAAAAGATCTCGAAACATAAGTATTATGTTAAACATTGCAATGTCGACTCGTTAAATTGTGTTGACGATTAACATCGTGCATAGAAATCAAATTACATCGACAAATTCAGAGTGAAATAAAAATTCATATCTCAACTTTCAAGTAGCAACGGAAATTGCAACTCAAGTTCTTCCATCTAAAATTGCATTTCTTTGAGTGCTGAATAGGAGGCGCGAAATCAATTAAATGTGATGACGTTGGCGTAACATATACCCAAAGCTTGATAAGTCAATATTTCTTACTTTGATTATTTATTAACAGTTTTCATTAATCTCAGTTAAGAGTACAAAGAATAATCGCCAATAAATATGAAAACATTAAACAAGGAAAAAAAATTACATTCATAAAAAATTTGTGAATGATTTTGTTAAAATAAAATAAGTTTTTGTTTCGCATAAAAAAAACTACACGAGGAATAAAAATCAAGTAGAGATTTTATTATAAAAACAAGCAGCAAGCTAGCTGGTATAGCCAAGAATCGAATCATGCGTGGGTTTATATCTTTCAATGCTTCTCAAAGCCTTAATGGAAAAAGAAATAAGAATAACAACTTTTAATGCCAAGTTAATTTGATTGTTGCGGTGTGAAAGACAAAAGAGACAAATGCGAATATGAATGAAATCAGAATAAAGAATGAAAAACTAATTTTGAAGGTGAATTAAGCTCGCTAATATTATTTGGTGTCTTACGTCGACTTATTTCATAGACGAATTTAATTGTTGAAAAGATTATGCCAAGAAGAAGATTCATAATAAGTTGGAAAACATGCAATAAAGATGAAAGAAAAGATTACAATTCCTTCTAAACGACTTACGAGCCCTTTCAATAAAATATTTTTTGTATTGAATTCATGAGTAGGTGGAATACGAACATTTTGAGACATCAGGTAATGGTCTTTGCTTGCAACGGTTCAACCAACCCTTCCAATGTTTGAAACCATGTCGATCATAAATAACTTTGGCACATTTGATATCAAGCTTAATATCTTCCGTTAAGAAATCTAGGAATGAAATTTAATTATTGATCAAATGAATTGAATTTCATAGAATTGCTATGAACCTTCGCATCTTGCACCACATTCACCACCTCGACGACCCTTTCGACACCATTCCTTACTATTTATTTGAAAGATTCCATAACTTGTGCTTAGGTTGGGAAATTCTGTAACTTTTGATGAATCGCCACCTGATTCAGCTTCAATCAGACAAACCCCTAAAAAGAAATAACAATAAAAAGCGATCGACATATTACATAAATAATTAAATTGACATACAATTTGCAACAAATGTTTTAGAGATTCCAGATGCGGATAAAGCCCTCGCTAATTCACATCGCGAATAAATTTTAGCATCCAAAGTAGCAGCGTTTAAGGTAATTCCAAGCATCAAAAGTTCAAAATATTTCATCATGTATTAAAACTCACTGAACGGATGAACGTTTAAAGAGAAAATGGGAATAAGAAGCATCCATCAATAAAGAATCTTTTATGCTCAAATTGTATCACAAGTTGATGAGTTGAAAGGAAGAGCGTAAACAATTAAATAATTTTCGGAAATGAATGTTTGTGTAAGCTCGCCAATTGAACCGCAAAATCATCTTAGAAGCTTCAAAGTGAAGAAAAAATATTAAACATGAAGCAAGCGCGTTCATGACCTTCATAAGACAGAAAGAAACAAAAACGATTGCGAAGAATCTTTATTAGACTGCAGCAATTACCTTCAAATCTCGGAATATTCTTTTTGCTTTATTTATTTATGACTGAGAACTGATGAATATCCCCTGTTAGTAATTAGTTCGGTTGCATTGAAGTTCTTTCGTCAGCTTTGAATAATTCTTGAAGTTTCTATTTTGCTTCCTTAATCTCCGCCTCAATTAACACCTTCACTTTTAAGAAGCTTACACGTCTTTGTTTTCTCAATAAACTCAGTCGTCAAAATAAAGTTTCCTAGCGCAAAAAGAAACACAATCAAAGAAGAAAGTTTACGATTACAGATTTCAGACTTGACCGTGATGGGATCAGTTCGAACGCTAACTGGGAATCATAAATTTTATTATCATTGACTTGTTACAATAGCGAGAGATCTTGATTGATTAATTTGGCTCTAAATTGCTTTCGTTTCGGATATCACGGTTAATAAGGATTTTTGCATTGAAATTGACTTCGAAGTCGGCATTAATCATTTATGATTGTTTGTGAAACGAATCAAAACATCAAGTGAATCAAAAGTCTAAACTGTGTAAGAATATCATGTGTATGAGTACAACGATAATAAGTTGATTCGATTGCCTGCCTTCTTCCTACTTCTATCTATATTAAATTATTTCTTCTCAAAGTATTAGAATGCCGGGGGAATCCCTGATTTTAATTTTTTTAAGCTGTCAACATTCATTTTGACCTGTTACCAAATATGTCCAATTGATTCTTCTTTTCATTTGCGATTTTCAATAACCAAATATTTGAAGTTGAATTCACGAATAAACAAAAGAAATTTTTTATTACAATTCACAGTGAATTTTTTAGTAAGCACAGTTAATCAAATTTGGTAATGCTTTGTTCTTCTCAGTATTTCTCGTTGATTTGCACTTGTTTTGCCAACCTTTCCAGCCATTTAAACCGTTTCGATTGAAGACCTCTTTCGCACATTTGATGTCGTCTTTGATGTCGTCGTTAAGAAGATCTAAATTGATGAAATGATTGTTGTAAGATGTAATGCGGTTGAGTTTCATGATTTCAAAAAAGGAATTTTTATAAACAATTAAGTACATTGTATGTACCTGAGCATTTGATGTTACAATTTCCACCTTTTTTATCTTTACCGCACCAATCTTTGCTGTTGATCTACATAAATGTAAGTAAGAAAGCGGCATTTGTAAGAAAAAAAAGCAACATTTATGAAACTCTTTCACCTGGAAAATTCCGTAGTTTGCGGTCAAATTTGGCATTTCAACCATCTTACTCGTGTTACCTTGACTTTCCGCCTGAACTAAACAAATCCAATGTGGAATTAAATGTCGTTCCATGTCATTTTTAGCAAATTCTTTCGCAAGCTCACACGAGAGATACATTTTTGAGTCGACCAACGATGATGTTATTGATAGAACGATGAGTAATTCGTAGAATGTTTTCATTGTAATGATAAGAGAATTTGTTATTTAATTTATTTCAACACAGACGCGCTATCGCTAAATTATAAAACTGGAATTTTTGAATTTCCGAAACACGCGAGTTAAACGTTTATTCAAGCACTGCTGCTGCTGTTCTGTTAACGAAGCAGAATGTGAACTCAAACTGAGTAAAAAAGCAAATAATAGATCGCTTTTTGATATGCGTTCCGAGTAGTATTTCGCTTTAATTTTTTGTTTTCGCCGAACTAGGTACATATCTTAAATGAATGTTATTACCGAAGATAATGAACCAGTTACTGCTAAATCAATTGAAACGTAAAGCACGATGACTCAATTGATATTGAATGTCACCATATGAAGTCATTTAAATAATTTATTCCTTCTCGTTTAGCAAAGTTGTTGTAGAGATTAGCAAATATATTAAAAGTTTCAATATCTTAGATAAAATCAGTAAAAGATTTTATAATTTATTATATTTGATGTCATCTTTCTTGTTTTTTCAATACATTACCAATTATTTAGCGATTATTAATTCTACTTAAGGATAAATCAAACATGTTGGGACATGAAAAATCTTTGAAAAGTCACATAATGCCGTCAATCGAATCGATAATTAATTAATTAAAGTCAAGACTGACTGTAGCTAGTTCATTTTTAAAAAAGTGATAGGTTAATGAAATTGTTTCGTTTTATTTCTAAGAAACAAACCGATAAGAAAATTCTTATGAATAATCTGAAGTCATGAATGTTAAGATTAGAATCTTAAACGCGATCACAATTCTAAGAAGAACTTATTAAAATTATTATTTAACAAACATTTCTTTTTTAATCTTTCAGATGTCTTGTTCTAGTTGCAACTACTCTCATACAAACGAGTGCAGCATTCGATGAATATTCTTATCAGCAAATTATAAACAAACAGAATAATCAACCTTTAAATGGATCGCTGATCATAACAAAACTCTTGAGTGTGAGTGGCTCTACATCATCATCAGAAGAGACAACAACAGCACGACAGCATCGTGTAAATAACATCAAAATTAACCAAAGTTTAGATTTAGAGAATAGTGATAAAGTTCAACAAGATGAAGACCAAAGAATATCCAGTAAGAGCCTCTTAAAAGTTCCCAAATATGTGAATAAAAGCGCGAGTAACTCCGACAAGAAGAACTCGATGCTCTTAAAGAAAAATTTCAGCGTGAGTCAAGTGAAAGCTGCTGAAGATGGAAGTTGGAAGTGTCCAAACATTTCAGATAATCGGAGTTTAGAGTGTGGTTGTGATGTTCCGCTAACGTTGAGATGCAGTGGAGATGTTCATAGTTTATCACTCATAGCCGAAGGTTTGCGTCGAAGCACTTCGTTTGTCTCAATTCTTGATTGTACCTTAAAAAATGTCACCGTTCTTAATGAAGCCAAAATATTCGAGGGAGTGTCATTGAGTGGTCTCTTCATATCATCAGGAGAAATCAAAAGAGTCCATCGTCTTGCTTTTAGTGGGTTAAAGACGCCTCTGCAAATCCTTGGCTTACCAAATAATGCTTTAAATAGTGTGCCATCAAACAGCTTCCAACAGTTGACATCGCTTGACCGATTGGATCTTTCTAATAATGAAATTAAAATTTTATCACCGACAGATTTTGTGGTAATAAGAAACCAAATTTTATTTGCTTTGTAATAAAATATCTAATATCTTAAACAATTTTTATTTTATGACCTTTAGTCGGTTCCAAAGCTTTCATATTTGGAGATTAGTGAGAATCAAATATCATCAATTTCACAAAAGACTTTTTTGCCGTTGAAAAATCTAGTCACATTGAAACTCAATGGTAATAAGTTGGGAAATTCGCCAGGAAGTTTAAAGACTATTGCTGAGTGTATCAATCTTAGAGAGTTGGATTTGCAATCGAATCTTATCAAAGGTCCATTGACGTCTGAGACTTTACCAACTATAAAAGATTTGGAAATTTTGAATCTTGAACGAAATTCTTTCTCAAGCGTTGGTGCTGAAACTTTTAAGAATTTTCCAAAACTCACAATGCTCTCTTTACGTCATAATCAAATCGATGTTTTGGCTGATGATGCATTTATTGGACTTAATTCACTTCAGAAATTGGATTTGAGTTATAATGGAATTGTTGCTGTATCTGGCGGATCTTTAAAGCACATGAATCGATTAAAAATGTTGGATTTCACTCACAATTTCTTAAGGTGAATTATTTTTTCATTTATTGGCTTTGACATAAAATATCGATTAAATCATTTTGTAATTGAATTTCAGAGCAATCACAACAGATATCATCAACCCCTTGCCACAGCTATCGGAATTGAAACTTGATGGAAATGACATTTCAATTGTTGAAAGAAATGCATTAAACTCTGCTAAAAATCTTAAAAATATCTCACTTCGTGACAATCCATTAGCTTGTGATTGTAAATTGCAATATTTTGCTGAATGGTTAACAAGTGCAAGTCAGTTTGATTCAAAGGTAAAGGATTTATTTATTTTTAATAACAAGAATTCAATAATTTTTTATTTCTAATTAAGAACCTCATGGCTTTTTGTAAAACACCACCATTCTTGGAAGGAGCTCAACTATCTCAACTTTCAATTGATTCTCTAACATGTGCTGAAACACATTTGGAAAGTGAAAATGATCAGATAATGTTTCAAGTGAATTCAATGTTCAGTGACTTCAACGATAACTTCACAATGATCAATTCGAGTTCAAGTGTAAGTTTTAAACAAATTTTAATCAATATTTTCAGTTTTAAAGTTTTCTATGATCACAGATAATGTTCGTGGATTACAACTTCACTGTCAACAATGATCTCAATTTAAATTGGATTTTACATCTCAACAAATCAATCTTATTTCACTCTTTAGTGATATTTGAAGGATCTGATGTGAGAATGCGAATGGATAAGTCAACTGTAAGGATTTAAATTTAAATTTTAAGAAGTTTATTGATTGAGTTTTTCTATTTTCAGTTGAATTATCGTTCTTTCGAGAAAGGCATTGAACCAAATGACGAATATTTTGTTGTGTCAATTCCATCTAACGTTCCTTTAAATTTAGGAAATAATTATGAGTTCTGCTTGATTTTCACTGAAGATGACAATCATTTTTATTTGGGATGTTCAACAACCTTTTTACTTATTCCGAACCGTATCACGACAGTGGATTTAAATTCAAGAATTCTAAAATCAACAATACAAGACTCAGATATATCAGATTTTGATTCCATAGCTGACAAACAGAATAACCCGCTCTACATGAATGATGACATGCAAGGAACATTCACAACTCAGAAAAATCGAAAGAATAATGAAGACATTTTTGAACATGACGATTCAATAGAAGTTTATCCTAGCAGAGAATATTACAACACGTTGTGGCCTAATGTCAGTTTAAGCATTCTCATCATCTGCATGTCGATTTCAATCATTTACATATTGTTTACTAAATATCGTTATTACTACAAACATCATCAAACGGAATCAATTTCACCTTCTTATTCCGAAGATTCTATCAACACTCAAATTGAAGACGAAAATGATAACACAACAAACAAATATATAAAGCTTCAAGCTACAACTGCATTGTAGCAATTAAAGTCTTAAAGTTGTAAAACTCAAACCTTAATTTTGTACAGATTAAAACAGTCATTACTTATTCGTTGTTAAACATGCATCAAACATGCAACTAACTATTGTAAGAAATCTTTGATTATATTTAAAGCGTATGATTTTTTCTATTGTTTAAGATTAATTTTTAATTATTTTATAAAAACTTGTAAGAAATTTTAAATGCTTAGATAGCAAAACCGACAATTGAAGGAAAATAAAGAAAATTTATTATGAAATTTGTTTTTACTTTAATTATTTTTAAAATTGAAAAATCTGACTTTTTGATAGTTTGGAGAATTGCAACTTTTATTCTTTCCTGTAGAGCAACAAGATTAGGTACAATATCTACTTAATAAAATAAAATCCTAAAAAGTATGTGATAACATTTTTCATCTAGACATTTTTTCTGCTACATCCGGAATGTTAAAATTCAATTAGAAATAGATATATTGAAACAATCACACATATGGATATTGTAAATTTCGATCTTAAGACATTTGAGTTTCTTTCAACAATTTAAAAAATAATTTCTGTATTTTTGAATTAGAAGGAAACATTTAGGCAAGTCGTACTTCAATTAGCATCCATACTTAATAAAATTTCGGATGATATCTAACAATTTAAATTAATTGTAATACAATTAAGAGATAGATTTAATATTTTTTCGTATCACTTCGCTATCTTGAATTAGGTATTTAAATTTTCAAAATAAATTTTAATGTGCAGATTTGATTAGCCCGATTGAACAGATTTACGGAATTAGAACCTTATTTAACTATGTCTTCCATTCATATTTTTCTAATGAGATTATTTGGCAACTATTTCTCCACAACATTTATGGAATAAAGTCAATGAAATACCAGACAGTTTATTTACGATCGTGATAAAGGGTCATGGTTGATAAGTGACTTGTAGGTAATGAAAGTGCAGATTTCTGCCTCAAAAGTTTCTGGTTTTGAGCAAACTGTTGTTTAATATGAGGTTGCAGATTGTTCACTTCAATTTTTTGCTTTAGAAGATAAAATGTTTGGCTCATCAATTGCATTTGATATCTTAAATTCGTTGACATTTCTTGCTGAAGATGATGCATTTCAGTTCTGTTGCCGTATGGAGATTATGAAAATAAAATTTGTTATTTTTATAAAAAATTTAAAAAAAGACTTAACTTACAAATCTTTTCGAAGTGTCACATAATCACTGGTCACATCAGATACAGACTCCAATAGCTCAATAACACATTCTGCATCGACTGGCTCATCAGAATTCTCGATAGGGTCAGGAAGAATATTCTTCTCAACTTTAATTAATTTTGACGCAAGCGTATCAAGTTGGTTATTTGCGTTATCAACCTAAAATATTTAAAAGATACATTTATCACTACATTTCTTTGATGATAGCAGAGAATTAAAGGAATTTTCTTATATTTTCTAAATGACGACATTGACGATTGAAAACAAATAACAAATACTTTACCGATTTCTCAAGTGAGTATAACGTTTCCGACATCATTTTGAAGCAGTTTATATGGCAAATTAAAAATAATACACAATTGTTTTAAATGATTTCAATTTTGTTCATTAAATTATTTTTTAAAAAGCAATAAATTGTTGATGAGAAAAGAAAAAACAGTTGAAAATTTTACTTCGAATCGAGAATGTCTTCCAATCCCTGACTTTACTTCGAAAGTTCGAGTAAAAAAATTTTATCGGAGACACATATTTAAATTTTCAGATACCGTTAAATTGACTAACTTTAAATTATTGAAAGGAAACAAATCATTTCCATGAAACAATGTTCTTCAATTAGATGTAATTGAATTTATGAAAATCAATAACATTGCAATTGATGTTTGTTGTGAAGAAATTACTATTACATTGATAATTTAAAATATTCTTTACATCCAGAAATTAAGAGATGAACTTCATAACATTTTTTTCTATGATGACCGATTTCATTCATTTCCTTTATTTAACATGTTTTTAGCAACATAAAGAAAAAGTATAGAATTTCTATTCATGTTTATTTGAAAAAAAAAATTCGGAACGATGCTGATAACAAATATTTCTGTTGCCAGCAAGTAAGCCACAACGTTTGTTTAATTTCTGATAATTCATGATGACACAATTTTTTAAAGCTATTTAATTCATCTTATCTCACCAATTTGACCTAACCATTGACATTAAATGTTCAAGCACTTTTTGTGTTCACATGATACTATAATCAACATCCTTATCGACACAACATGCTTTTGACCATTTCGCTCTCTTCACTCAATTCTCTTTAACTTGCTCTTTTTCATTAAATTACAAAAACCAAGGGAACACGTTGTCAGTTGTCAACTTGAATATATTTATAAAACGGCTGATAAAAATATTCAGCCTGCTCATGTTGAGAAGAAAGAGTAAGTAAGAAAACAAAACAACCCAACTTGTCAATATCTGCTTGTCGATAGGAAACATTTCTCAGTTCTCGAGATTTGAGATTTTAAAGACTTTATCTAATTTTGGAAAAATATGATATTCGTTATGCTTCACTTAAGTCAATCTTAACTTCAGAATAACTTTGGTGAAGCATGACAAAAGTTCTCTTAAATATTTTTTTCCTCAAGTCTCATTTTCTAATCAATCACCTCTCCCACACTGGGTGTTTTGTTCGTTTTTCTCTTCAACTCCGAACCACATTTCTCGCTCAAATTAAAAGAAGTAAGAACAAAAAATTTTTACACGAAATACATTCATTTCATTTGGACGATCGTGACTTCAGTCAGTTGCTTTAGTCGTTTCGGAGGTGTAGTGTCGAGAACCTCGCACATTTTTTTTTATAAATTTTTACTGATGTAGAAGTAGTTTTTCTGAAAAAAGTCTATATATTAAGAAATATAAAAATGTTGAAAAAGTTCTTCGTCCATTGATGAATTATCTGAAAACAGCTGTAATCATCATTTTATTTATTATTCACTTTATTTTTGTTGGAGAATTTCAAAAACGCGTTAACACGAAACTTTATAAAATTTATTTTTAAATTAAATTTCTTATTTAACTTTTATGATTATTTTACTTAATCACTTGTAATTATCTTCATGGCACCATCAGTTTCATCTGACGATTAAGTTTTTAAAAGTTATTTCCGATTAAAATTGTGGGAAACGTGCTTGTTGATATCATGTTACATAAAATGATATAATGAATGAAAAAATAAAAAGCACATGGAAAGAACATTCTTGATAAAGATATTTATGTATGTAGTTTGCAATACCGTTCGTAAAAACAAAGTCTTATTTAAAAAAATTATACAAAGATAAATAAATTTGAGGAAATCATAAAAAAATGGATATTTTGAGCCATGCTAGCAATAATTGTGCTGCTTGTGTCTCTACATCATAATTGAGTTAAATGATCAATGTATATATATTTTTTGAGATTTAAGGGGAAAAGTTGAACTAAAAAAGTCAGCAGAAGTGCGAGAAAGAGTGAGTAGGTGTGTGAGAGAAAAGAAAAGAGAGATAGACAGAGGAAATAAAATACCTTGGAAAATATTATACTGAAAGCTAATTGAGCATTTAAATGAATTTTCCTTCATACCTAACTTTTCAGAGGCAAAAACTAAGGCTTGTCTATGTCAAGGCCTGGGAAAGTCATCGTTATTACTCTCACCCGTCCCTCGCACACAATGCTTTAGAAATAAATTTCAATATTGACGATATCAACGGAATGTTCAATTAATTTTTTTTGCAATGAAAATGAAGTAGCAAAAGAGATAAAATAGAACACAAATATTTTCTGTATTTCTGATACATAATATCACTTTAGAGAACATTTTTATGCAAAATACATACATCAGTAAAAAAATGGTGACAAGAAAACTGGTTACATGGGTGTGATTATAAACAAAATAATTAAGTTAATTAAGCACATAGCAAATGATTTCTTCATTGTAAGGTTGATCCCGACATTGTTGGATTCATACAAATGTATGTGTGTGCGTGTTTATTACAATCCATGAAGAAGCACGTGAATTATGAGGGCGAAAGTTGAATATTGTAAATATTTGATGAATATTATGCAAACAGAAGTAGAACTTATTTCAGTAAAATAAAGTGACATATTATTATTCAGCGACATACGAACGAACGGATGAACGAACTACCATTCCCTTGTCGTGGCTGGAAATAGATATTAAAGGAGCTTGCATCATCTTACTTGTAACAGCATTAGATTAGAATTTATTTCAATTTGAAATTTCTAATACTGTCAGGTAAAGATGTCGTTCGCTTACTTTTAAGATCATCAAATTCCACAGCACATACAAAATAAAATAACGAATTTGAACAAATCGAAGTGTTATGATCCACATTGAGACCAGTTATCGCTACACTGATGAATTCAAAAGACGAACTAAAAAAATGTGGAAAATATTTAAATCGTTGAACAAAAAAAAAAGAGAAGAACTGGACAAACTTGAAGTCTCGAAAAAGAAGTTCGATAAACTCTTTTAACTCGAGATTGAAAAATTGTGAAGTCTCTAATCGCAGTTCCTCGATTCAAAGAAATATTTTCATATTTAATTTTTCCTTGAAATTATTGTTTTTTGCAGGATAATTTCATTCGTGAATGATTTTTTCACGACAACAAACCTTCAATGTACATTCAAATTATAAAGTTTTGTTCTTTAATTTTATCCAAATGAATTGAATTAATTAAAAATGTAACCAAGAATTAGTGAAACAAAACTCGATTATTTGACATACTGAAATAATATTCGAAGAAATACGTCGTTAATGTTGTTGACTTTTCTTATAATGAAGGGATGATGTCATTTTGATTTTACATTTTTTGTAATCATTTTGATCTTCGACTGTTGAATTTAAAATTTTAAACAAAAACCTGATAAAGAATTCATTGATGTTTCTTGTATGGAGACATATTAGAAATTAAATTTTATAGCAATCTGAAAGACGTTTAAGTTTTGGATTAGATCAAAAAGAAAAATAAAACTGCAAAGATTTTATATTTATAAAAAGCATGAGAAGATAAATTTTTTGAATTCTTTTAAGTGGCCACAACTCCCTGAAGAAGAGAGAAAAATTTTAAATAGAAAATTTTAATGAAATACCTCGAGGTATGTGTGAAGCAATAGGAAGTTGAAAACCATGACTTAGTTATATTAATTTACTAAATTCTTTTGAAACATTATATTTTTACTACTTGAATATCTAGTTATTAGCTTATAAAACTAAGTAAAATAAGTAAATTAATTCTAGAAGATCATGATTTAATTCACGACAAGTATGATTTTCTTTTTTCCGGCTGCCACATTTCTCTATAAATAGTCTCCAATGTTACCCAGATTTTAAAACTTTCAAGTCAGACAGGCGCTAAGGTGTGTGATTAACTAAATATGTGCCATTTCAAGTTTCTTTGAATGTTTTATATCCCTGAATATATTTATTTGATATAAAAACTCAATTAAATTCATTCAAACGTTACTATTTTTACCCTAAAAGATTCCCCTAATTAGTTTTTCCTTAACGATTTTCGTGGTCGAATAGAATGTATGATATCATGAGTTACAACGTCTGATTGATAATCTTAATATTGCTAACATTTCCGCAACCAACGTTTGTCTAATATACAATTGGAAACAATTTACCGCTATAGAAAGATGTTAAAAAAATGCTAAATTTAATATTCAAATCTTGGATTCTAAAAAAATTTTGCTATTAAATTTGTCTTTAGGTATAACTTTCAATAAAAAACAGTTTGGTTCTTTTGAAATGTTATGTAAATAAATTGAGAATGTATGAAAACCAATATAATATCTTAAAATGTTAGAACAGAAGTATCCAACATTAAAATGACATCGAACCCTTTTGTTTCTTTTTTATTTAGTGACATTTACTTTGTGATGAGTTTCCAACTCTATAAAATGGGTTTGGAAATGTGTACTTTTCATTTCAAGCCACAATACTGTACTTAAAAACACAAGCTTCTTTGACACGCAACACAATTACACAAAAAATATGAATTTAACTCTTGAATTGAATATACGAAGACTATTTAGCAGTTTTCATGTCGGCATGAGAAAGAATACTTTAATATGAGATGTTTGAAGGTTTGCAACGCTAAAAAGTCAAACTGAAAAATAATAAAATAAGCATTTATGTTTGTAAAATTAGTATTAAGCATACATGAAATGAACACCTTGGAAGAAAAATGAACCCAAAATACTGAAAATTATGACATTACTTTTTGATGGACTAATTATTATAAAAAAGCTCAATCTATTAGTATAGAAAGTAAGTTAGAATTATCGTGAAATGTATCAATCGAAACAAGCTTCGAAATAGACTTTAAGAACAAAATATCTGTTATCAGTCTGCTGACATGTCTGACATTTTCGAACCATATGAAAGTCATTCATGTGAAGAGAAATGGTTTAATTTAGTCTCAGACATTATTTTTTATGAAGATGAAGGAGACTTAAGGGTCATTTTTTGACTATTTAAAAGATAACAAAAATGTTTTGAATCCAAATTAATTGCATCGAATAATTCAAACTTAAATTGTATATAAATACATTTAAAAGTTAACAGAATGATCAACACAGTTGATAACTTCCAGAATATAAATTAAGTAAAACTCTTTAGGAAGAGATAATTTTTATTTTAAAAAAATATCTCTACTTCATTAGACGTAATTTAATTTCTAAAATAAGGTTAAAAGTTTTGAGGTCACAATTTCCTGTATTTTTTGATTGATTTTTGATATTGAACCGAAATGTGATATCTGCTATGAAAATTTCATTTTCTGATTGTTTTAGTAGACAGCGCTCATTCGAATTTTAAATTGTTTTAAGAATTATACTGCTCGATCTATTTCCTTTCCGACCTTTTCTGTTGAACTCTGTTTTGCAGCTTTGATAACATATGCCACGTTTTATTAATTTCATTCTTCAGCATTCATTTTGTCACAATGAAAATATATTTACTTTAAAACTTTTTGAAAATTATAAGAAAAAGAAAAGGCAGATTATCTATATCAGTAAGAAAACAGCTTGTTAGCTTAAAATATTGACATTATGAAATGCTTGTTCAACTTTCGTTCTTTTCTTTCATGCATCAAACATTAAATGTGGAAATATGATGAAAAAGCTAAAACATTTAATCGCATTCATTTACTTTTTATATAAACTATCAATGTTTCTCTTTTCCAATGTAGGTATTTACTCTTTCAAAGTACAAACAGACAGGGTCATTTAAAAATAACATTCAGCAAACGCAAAACTTTATCTTTCTCTAAATTCTTATGATTTTTCAAATTTAAATTTATATTTTTGTCATTTTTTCACGATATATGTATAAGATGTATGAATAAACATAGCTGAAGAGAAAAGTTGATTTCTTAAGTTAATACTAAACTAAATAAAAATGAGAAGTCATTCACGTTAAGAATGTACATAAAAACAAAAGAAACAACTGAAGAAAAACGATGGAAAACGATAAAGCTAAATAAGAATGCTCTGAGAACTCTAAGTAGATGTCAAGAAGATCTCAAAAGAAAGCAGTGTTGTCTTCAATTCGTTGGTGAAAATTAACAAAATTTTAAAATGCTACACGACAAGCCAAAAGAAATGTTTCTAAAGTGAAAAAATAAAAAAGAATTTCGTGTATTTTCACCGCGTTGTCTATTTTTAATATGGAGAAAAACTCGAGAGAAGAAAAATTTAAGCGAGACTTTTTTTTTAATTTTTTTGGTTTTAAATTTACGATGACATTTTCAAAATAAGAAAAAAAGTGACAATTATTCATGACGTGAATGTATTTTTAGAAAACGTTTGCGCAACTTAAAAATCACTAGAGTTGTTAGTGAAATTCGTAGCTTTGTGTAAACGATGAAAAGCCATTGTTTTAAATGCTAGATGTGGATGCAAGAGGGGATCATGGTAGAAGCTATCATGCCAACAATTATGTATCTATTTAAAGAATTGGAATTTATCTGATCATCACTGCTATCTTGTCATTTAATACTTAATGTATGTACATTAAGATTTTTTTTTCATCTTTTAAAAGAATTAAGAAACATTGTGTTTCCTAAATTTTTGAGCATAACTTATGCAGTCAGGTATCTCTGTTTCTATCTAAAACAAATCATATTAATCATGACATTACTAAGTAATAGATTTCATGAGTGTTTTCGTCACAAGTTTTGAATTTTACACATTTTGAAATACGAATAAAATAATTTATTGACAAAAATTTCACGGTGTTTTTATTTTCTTAATTTTCCCATTAAGTTGAAAACATCTTACCACATTCTTAAAAATGAGGAAACAAAAGCTTATTCACATTGTTCGTACTGAAGGAATTTGTTTATTGTCAACATGAAGATGGACGATGTTATCAACTGCTGCACACACATTAATGTATATGATTTATTAAGTATCTAAGGTGAAACGAGATCATCGATAAGAATTTTCGAACATGTAAAGACAGAAGAGATTCTTTAAAAATAAGTAAATGATTCGATCATTTCAATTTGATATAAAGATAATGAACAAAACTGTCCTATTTATTTTACAATTAAGCAGAATGCTTATTTCTCTGTTGATTAAAAAAAACTCAACGTTTTCAATACATTATTCATGAAATTTTCTTGCTCTATGGGGTTATCACTCGAATGTCTAAATGAATATGATTATTTTTGTTGCAAAACGCGCCCCTCTCTGGTGAAATATATTCTCATATATTTATACTATGTTGCCGTGCGGCCAATTAACCAAATTAAACAGTTGATGTCCATCATTGACTGCTATGTTGATACTTCATTCAAATGATGTTTTATGCGGAACAAACATAGATCTCAATGATATTTAAGGAACATTTTATCCAATAATCACTCTATATTCTCTTACTTATATTTGCTTCCAAATTATTAGATCAGAAATTAGGAAATTTATAATAGATCAAATATTCCGATTTCCTTATTTTGTGCATAAATTTTAATACTATTAAGTAAACTTCAGGGCAAAATGAAATATTCAATTACGAATAAATTAAATGCTGGTGATAGATAATCTTATTGTATTTATTCCATAACATTTTTTGAACTGTTGCATATTCAATTTGAAATCATCCTTTTTAGAAAATAGACGAAAGAAATGATCAACACCAATCATCAAATATTCTATCAACATAAAAGTTAATAAAATTCAAAATGGCGAAATGAATGACAAAACCAAAACTTTTTAAATTTGTTCTCTATTCTAAATAGTAAAATGTAAAATTATTGTTACACTTTATATAAAGCCTTCTTCATGTTTTATTTAAAGGAAAGAAAAACAATGTTACTTAAACGATTTCCGTAATCGTTAATACAATAATGTTTTGAATTTTGAAAGTGGAAGACACTTTTTTACCTTGTATGTAGAATCTAGGAAAAGAAGCAAATTAGACATCAAAGATACAAAAGTATTCGAATTTATTTAAAGTAGATAATGATGCAAATGCATTTGTATTGAATTGAAACAAAAAACTTTTAAAATGTGGGACAAAATAAATGTTATTTAAATTACATTCATTACTCATGCATCAACAACTATCTGCTAAGAAAGTGTGCATAGGTAGTTCAAACTAAGCTACAAACATCATTTACATAAGTCATCGTTCTGTTTATGTCTAGAAATTTTAGATTCGAGTTGAATTCTGAGAGAATATTTAAATCTCTTGTGATTTGTTTTTTTTCATTATTTTTTATTTCCAATCGAGAAGAATTTAAGGAAATGATTATCTCATTGGATTGGCGACAACGACGACGACGACGAAGAACATTTGAGTTGTGGATCGATGATTCAAAAAACAACCACAAAATAAAAACAAAATAACTTCCAACATTGTCTCCTCGTGTTAAGCCGATAATTTGCCGACCTGAAAACTTTACTTGTAACCGTCAACGTGAAGTTTATAAAAGAAGAGTAATTTTCACAAGATCTTTTTGATATTTCCCGTTTTTTTGTGCAGCTGTATTCACATAATTTTAATTTTTTTTATTTGCTCTGTTTGGAATTCTCGAGTTGAACATACATTCGTATTTGTCATTTTGAATTTTTTTTGTGTAAAACTCATGGGATTGACATATTTCTATATTCTCTTTAGAAAAAAATAAAGAGGCACTCTAAAAATTTTCATCATCGGTGAAAATTTATTTCAACACAATGAAAAAGGAAAGAAAAAAAGATATAAATGGAGAGAGATGAGAGATAGAGGAGACAGTGAAGGAAACAAAAGAAAGTTGCTAAATTTAGAGTAATGTGTCACATGACGAAAGAAGATATGTGATGTCTTGTTTTACTTCATTCTTTTTTGTAGTGTGAAGAATTAGGAAAGACCAGCTAGATATGTTAATATATATTAAAAAAGTAAAAAAAACATACATTCATGACTGCACTTTATGATCTAGACATTCCAAATTTATAAAGTTCTGTTACTTTAAATAGATAGTTAGCTGTACAGACTCTGTATTAAATGAAGGTTTTTAACAACTCAAATATACTGAGTGAAATATGCTTCAGATGATACTAAAGAAACTCAGTCACATTCACATTTTTTAAAGATGGTTTATGGTTGTTGACTTTGGGGGTTGGGAAGCAATATTAAATACTCCGCATAAGTATTTATCAAACGAAAATTGTGAAAAATTCCTGCGATGTCATTTATTAGCTACATGGAGATGTTCACAACTATTGGCGTTAACGTAAAATAAATAAACTAAATGCAATTCACATATTCTGTTTTATTTCTGTTTCTACAACATCAATAAATTGTAATTTTAGATTTCCTTTTTAAATTTCAAAGTTCTTCAACGATATTTTATATTAGATTTCAATTGAAAACTACGTTTTGTGCATTCTATGTTTGTTAAGGTGAAAATTAAAAGTAACATTGATAAAGATTAAATATGATTTCTAGTTAACATTGTTACAATTTCTTTAAAACATCAACTTTCGATTCTTTGCCACAAGAGTTTGTCAAATTGGATAAAAAAGATTTTTTTCATTTTTTTCAGTCATAACTTAACAAAAATCATCATTAAAATAATTTTTTTTATTCATTTAATTAATTTATATTTGAAGCATTCATCATTGTGTCATCACTGTTGACCCAAGCCATGAGAATGCTAAGGATAGGTTGGAGAAAAACTAATTTTCAAATATCACTATGAATGCTAATTGTTGATATAAGATCTTGATTGACTCTCGATTCACCGAGAATGTCAGCCATCGAATTGATGATGTCAAGTAAAAGTTCGCGACTTAAAAGTTTCATTTTTGGTAATCTTGCGACAAGAGAAAAATCATGAACAATTAATTGAAGCGCATAATTTTTAATATCAGGAACATTCATTTTGTCTGATGCTTCAAGGATTTGTAAAACATTCTCAAAATTTATATTATTCTCAAGATTATGTTTGCAAAAGGCTTGAAGTCTGTTGTTAGTGAATCCGTAGAAGCAGGGAGCTTGAAATAGATACAAGGAGTCTTCCGTTGGCATTTTCGTCTCTCCATAATAAATGTATCTCAAAAGTGAATAAAACGATTCCATACTTGGCTTCACATCACCAATTTGAATCGTAACAATGTTGTCAGCGGGGTTAAATGATCGAAACATTGCTTGAAAGTATGAACAACGTGCTGCAAGAATTGCTTTATGTGCTGGAATGACATCATTGTCAAGAACAAGATTAATATCGCAAAACTGTTTTCCTGTTGATTTAAGGAAGACAGCCATGTCACTTTCCAAAGTTGTCGCAATAGACTTATCTAACTTGCTATCAACTAACTGCTTGCTAGGATTCAACTTCTTTCGTACAACTTCAACAATCAAAGATTTCTCGAGTGTCGCAAAATCAGAACTCATTACAATATCATAATAATGATCTTCTTTAACAATGAAATTCAGACAATAATCTTTTATAGATTGAAGATTCAACTTATCAGAATTGAAGAGAGCTCCAAGAACATTTGATTTAGCAATTTTAAATTCAAGATATTGCATACATAATTGCTCCAAACGTGGAATGTTGAACTGTTGTGCAAGCAGATAAACGTCCATCATAAGTGAAACAATCTTTTTGTTAAAAGGATCTTTAAAGTCGATGATATCAGTATAAATGTAATAGAGAACCATTTCAAATGCTTCTGCTTGGACGTTTGGAAGTTTAACTTCAAGTTGAGGTAGCTCCGTTGTCAACTGAACATCGGTTGTGCCAAAAAGCTTTTCAAAATGAATTTTTCTCGATTCCTTAGCAAGTAAAATCTTTGATTTCAAATAATGCGATCTTGCAGCTACAATTGCAATATGAGCGGGAATTTTGGTTTCATTCGAACTCACGATAAATACGACATCACAAAACTGTTTGGTTAATAAAAATTTTCCATAATCTTCAGAGAGAGTACATTTTGGATACGATGAGAATTGAAATTTATACATGTCACCACTCCTAACATTCATTCCACCTGACTCAATTGTTCCACCAAACACATACATTGAATCATTAATAACAGCTGCAGCGTGAAACAATCTACCGGAAGGACATTGCGAATCTGCTGCTGGTATAATCACTGACCAAACATGGGAATCCAAATCATAACAATGAATGTCATTTGGCAACGTTGAGTCAGCAGCACCTCCAAATACATAAAGAAAACGATCATGTGACACCATTGTATGTCCATAGCGCCGTGACGGCGGTAAACCTCCTCTGAGAATGTGTTCGTTGGAAATTCTTCGCCATCTAAAATATAATTTAATTAAATTTACTTCCATTTAAAATTTCCTTCTATACTAACGTTCTGTCTTCAAAGTTAAACTCGTACAGATTATTAGTAATTTGAAGACCCGATTGACCAGAAAAGACATACATACACCCACGCGCAACAGCAACTATTGAATTTATTCGCAAATGATTTTATAAAAAAGTTTAAAGTTATAGAACTTAATTTTGGATACCTGGAAAATTACAACAAGTTGGCGGTACTTCACCAAGCTGCTTAATTTCTTCCCACTCTTTAGGGCCTCCATTTAAGGGAATTCTCCACATGTCATTTAATCTCACATTGCCGTCATATCCTGCATAGATCCATAAATGTCCATTGTAAACAGCCGACCCATGAGCCGATCGAGGAACTGGAAACTTTGTTCCAACATACTTCCATTCAATCCATTGACCATTTTGAAATTTATACTCGAATAAATCGTTCTTGTTTGTCAGATTTGAGTTTGAGAAAATATCTCCCGTGTAGCCACCAAAGATGAACATGCTTTTCTCATACACAACAGCGGAGTGATGATAACGAGGAGCTGGTGGCAATCCACTTGAAAATGCTCTTCCTAAAAAATTCCATCTGTATTGCAACCTAAATTTTTATGCTTTTATTATTTACCCCATGATTTTTCCTTCACATCAAATCGTATCAAATCATTAAGCATTTGTTTACCATTGTCACCTCCAAATACATAAATTGCATCTTTGTATGAAACGACAGTATGCTTTGATCTTCTTGCACCAACCTTAAAGTATTAATTTTATAATGATTAGTTACAATTTTTCGCGATAAGTTAAACTTACAAATTCATCAACTTCCAGATATTTTTTCCATTGATTTATGTTGTCACCAAAATTAAATTCGCCTGTTGAAGAAGACGATGATCCGGCTTTGTCGGTGCTGGTGTAGAATTTATTACTTTTCAATGAGGAAGAATGAGACATTCGAGCCATTCTTTGTAGTTATATGAAAATATTTTCTATCCAGAAATATTTTTGTTTTTACAATATAAAAACCGAACTTGAAATGAAAGTTTATTCAACTCTCAAAATTTGATATCACTATCATAATTGTGACGTTTTCAAAAATTGTAATTTCACAAATTATAAGATTTCTTTTACTTTTGTTGTCAAACAAAAGATACGATTTTTTCTAGTGTGGGTGTTTGAACATTTTATTTATAAAAGTGGGAACTTCTTAGAACAATCCATAGTCCCTAGAAATAAAAATTTTCTCCATAAATGCCCCTTTGAGAAATCGACTTGCGTGGATTTGACCAAAACACGATTTTCATATACAAAGTGCGCGAGCAAATAATTTGTCAGAAGCTGATAATTTGTCCGTGCTGATCAGTTGTCCGAAGCTGATTTCTACACTCTCCACCTGAAACTAGACTTTGGGGAGGCCCCGCCTCTTAAGTTCAGATTTAAACAAGTTCCCAACCCCGCAGAAATTTAAAAGTTCAATTTTTAACGGTAGTCTACCCCGCTTGCAGTGGAGAGTCGTCGCCTCTTAACTCGACAAATTTTCATTCTTAAGAAAAAATTAATAATTGGAGTTCACTGGAGGTTCTTTAAATTAATTTTTAACTGATTTGGTGATGCAAAGCTAACAAAGAATTGTAGTTTAATTAATAATATATCGAAAATAGAAAGAAAACTCCATTAAAGTTATTATTTGGCTATTCAATAATAATTTGACTTTGTCTCACTCAGAAAAAAAAACAAGAACTTTGGTTATGGAAGTTTTCAAAATAAAAATAGGCCATTAAGAACCTGAATATTAGATATAATTAATGTGTGATTAAATGAATGAATATTTTCATTTATTTGATAAGAAGTGCAAATTAGTAAAGTGAGTTTTAGAAAATAATAAATAGAAAGAAAAAATATGTGGAACGAATAAAAGAACAGTTCAGATATCATAAAGGATAAGAAATTTCTTCAACATAATCTTAAAATAGTAAGTTTTGTATATCCTACTTCATTTTATAGTTTAATATCCGCCTTGAATAAAAATAATCGTTATTTACATAAATTTTACTTAGCTTAGTATATTTTCGTTCAGCAATTGATTTATGTTGTTTTTTCTTCTTAAATCTCTACATATATCCGAAGCATAAGAAAATAATTAGGCCAATGGATAGAAAAATAAAAACATAAAGTGATTTAATATGCTGAACTGCCTAGATATAAAAACCTAGAGAAAATAGAAAAGACACCGTCCATGTTAGTCCGTGTAAGTCGCTTCAACTCCTCACAAAGGAAAAAAAGGATAAATACATAGTTGGTGTTTCCAATGTTGCCAAATTTCTCACTCAGCTTTATTCCTTTGTATGATACATACAAATTCAGCTGACGGTTTTTGTGAGGGTTTTTGCACCAACATAAAACTTTCTATTCATTTTATTACTAAATATTTTTCAACGTTGTGGCCTATCTCTTTGTCATTTGTTTTTTGGAAACATCTTGCTAATTTATTATATAGTCTGTGTAATTTTAAAATAAGCATTCTGCAATACATAATTTTCTTTACATCCGCACATGATCACCTCTTTTGTTCTTGACTGAAATAATGATCTTTTGTCCTTATTACAGATTATAAAAATTCAAATTACACAAGTGTATGTAAAACAGACATCAACGTTTGTTTTTTTTCTCATTTCAACCTTTCCTAAACCAGAATTTTTAACCATAAAATAATATAATGAGATAATTAACTGTAAAGAGATGCTTTGTCTTTTATTGCATTTTTTACTGGTGGTAAACAGTGAAAAAAAGCGGCTACTTAACATCATGATTGGTTTTTGAAAATAGAATCGTAATTAGAATTTGAAAACATGTGTGTTTACACCTAATTAATCGATAAATTTTCAAGTGGGAATGTGTTGCATCATGTTTGAGTATTACAGACCTCGTTTTTTTATTACTATTTTTAAAGTTGATTCTAACTTTTCAAATGATAAGATTTGCTCAGATCAAATATTCAAACATTAGCCTATCCTTCTTATTCATTATTTAATAATACACATATTCACTTTATATCCATGAAATCAGATGAAAAGATTATCAAAGAGAAATTTTGTCTTTGAATAAATCACAGGAAATTCTTTATTTTCATTACATTAATAAATCTTAATTAAAGACATTAATTCTGACTAATTAATAATAAAAATATGAAAAGTGAAAGACAGTCTTGGAGGTTTAATATGTTAGATGAATATTTTTATAGGTCACCTCAATATATTCGTTTTCTAATTTTATCGAATAGATTATGACTTTTTTGTAAAAAAAAACATTTAAGTGTGTTTAAAAAGTTTATTGAGGATACTAAACTGCCGCTATGATGCAACCGGTTTCTAATAAATCGAGTTGAACCCTCAAGAGATAATTTGTAAAGTAATTTGAAGCAATCAAACAAAGCATGCAAGGTGAATAAACTACTTCCTTCTAATCGACGATAACTTTTGAAGCTGAATATTTCGGTCGATGATTCTTAAGTTTAAGTCAAACTTGTGATCAAATAAATAAAATATAAAAATAATGAGTCATTTGCTCTCACTTCTCTTGCATGTCATATGCTGTTTAAATATATATGAATGTAGAGATTTGAAATGGAACACATGTACAAATAAATGCCATTCAAATTAATATGATTTCATTTGGAGCTTGACTTGCTTGCCGTTTTGCTAGAACTATAATGATGTGTATGTTGTGAGAATACAGTTTCAATATATGCTGCTTATTTATGTTTGTATTTGCTGAGCGATGAAAATATCATAAAAACAGTGTGACTCGTCGTTGCTTAATAGGAAACGTAAAGCACTTTCTTGTTCCTCCTCGTTTTGTGTTTGTGAAAATTTAAGTCTGACAAACAAATAAAAAAAGAGAGAATGCATAAACAGATAACAATTAGTCATATTGCAACCATTTTGAAGAGATGAAATTTTATCTGATTGTTATTTAATTCTCTTGGACTTTCAAAATATTAATAAATGAGAATTTAATTGTGTTTGTATAAATTAAACCTGAGACATGTAGATGTGCGTTAAATCATATTGCAAGCGAACTTCTAGTGAAATGATTTACACGCTTTTTCGATAATGACTACCAACATTTTCACTTTGTCATATTGGTAATCATTTCAATTTATCAATAACCCTTTTGATAACATAACATGTTTGTATTCTTTAATTTAAAAACTCGCGTCACAAAAATGTTCATCAAAATAATAGATGGCGGAAATGTAATATACCGTCACGGTCTATGACTGCCAAATTTAAATAACTCTTAGATATAAAGAGAAGGAACATTTGAATGGCGAATATTTTTGTTAGTTATCGTATGGTGCTTAGAAATTTGTGATTGCTTTCTTTTGAATATTCTGAAATATTTTGTATATAAATAACTTTTAATAATAAAATTGTACTTTGATAATTTGAAATTGAATTTAACAAATTTTCTTGTTTTTCTAATTACAGAAATTCTGTGTACGAAAACAACAAAAAGGAAAAAATCTTGTGTGGGTGTCGTTCTCATTCTCATTTGGGAGCCCAAAACCTAAAAATCCTTTCAAGAATGGATGTGCCATCTTTCCAAACTAATCGACATTTCAAATTAGTTTTAATTGCCATTTTGATCTTCGTAGCAATAAATATTAGTGAAGTTAATGCTGACAATGAGCAGCATCTCTTCTATAAGGAATATGAACGACTTCAAAAGCAAGTAAAGCCTGTAAATTATAATTGGCAAGATCAGATATCTACCAATCAACAAAAATCCCATCGTCGCACACCAAATTACCAACATCCTCAATTTAATGCAAACTTTCCAAGTCGAAGCTCTTATGGAGTTCAGCAACAACAACAACGACAAGAACAACATCATCATGATTCTCAAGCCAGAATTTTGAAAGTTGGAAACACAAAATATTCCGTTTGGTCTCAAAATCTCACTTTCATGAGTTCCACGGGGTATAATGCACTTGGCATGGGCCAACTTTATAACTTAACGAATAAAGTCGTCGAATTTTTTGTTGATGCCGATGAACCAATTCCGCCGGGTAAGTTGCTTTCATATTTAACATACAACTATTTATTTATCACATCTAATTGTTGTTGGTATGTTTTTGATTGATTTCAATTGGCTCAAGTAAATTTCACTGAATAATTCTTCTTTAATATAATTGAGATCAGAAATAGGAGAATGAAAAAGATATTTGGATAGATATTTTAAGCAAATACTAACGAAATTTAACTGTCAATTGAACGATACCAGTTAATAATTATCTGAATAATCTGAGTTCTTCCTGCATTTATGACGTTGTAGAAACTTCTTTTGTTCACATAGATAAAACCCGTTATTTCTAGCTTGTAATCTTCAACTATAATCATTCGAGAGAAGAGTCAAACTCATCAATTTTATGATGTAAAATTTGCTTTTAGGATATTTTGTTGTCAGCGACATGAAAGTAGATTGGGGACAGAACGTTAAAAAGCATCAGTATTACGACCTTATGAGGAAATATTGGCTGATAATCATCGTAATTGTAATAACAGTTATTGCAGTTTTGTTAATGCCATTAATCGGACTTTGTTTCTGCTGCTGTCGTTGTGCTGGAGCTTGTGGTGGACGATCTCAACCTTTTGATAAGAAACATGACACATGCCGGAGATTTCTACTTGGTTTCTGTCTTTTAATTGTTGCATCATCGATGGTGTAAGATTAGCCTTGTTTTATAAATTTCAATAGGCCATTGACATTGTAATTTGTTTCACATAATTGAATACTTAGATTTGGTGTAATTGTGGCTTATGTCACTAATGTAACATTGCAACACGGTGTTGAGAATGCCACGTCATCAGCTCGTTTTGCGGTTGAAGATACGCGAACATATTTGAAATCAACATCGTATCATATTCGTCATCTTCTCGTTAATAACTATGGCGAGCTCAAGGAGCATTTGTTCCACACATTAGACAAAACATCCGATACTGTTTTGACTCAATTAGACAGAGCATCGAATACAATTTCACTCGATCAATTGCACAATATTGTTGAGGGACTGCCGGAAATTCAACGAGATTTAACTGATATGGATGAGATTACTCGTGATATGCAACAAAAAGCATCACAATTAAATGATGGTCAGTCAAACGAAATTAAATTTTACTTCAAAATCCTTTCATTTATAATTTTTTAAAGGACTTCGTGGGGTTAAAAGAGAATTATTGATCGCTTTACAGCAATGTCGGAGTAATGAGTGTAAACAAGTTCAAAAAGATTACGAGATTGGTCGCCTTGATGAAAATAACATTCATTATGATGCGGTGAGTAAACTTCATAATAATTTCGTATAAAAAAGTGAAATCATTTATCATTGCTTGTTATTCATTTTTGTTCTATTGGCCGCCAATCATTTTCATGTTGCAAAACATTAATTTCATAAATTAGATGGCTGTGATTTTACTTCCTTTACTTGCGTTAATGTCTTTAAATCAGAAAATATTCTTATGAAATAAAGAAGCTTTACGACATCAGAAAATTGTGAATTGATAAATTGCTAGCTAATTTTTCCTCCCTTTCCATGAAATAAACCCAAAAAATATCAAAACCAAACGTGTAAGAATTTTGTTTTCATTATCAAATAACATTTTTTTTCTCTCGTTACACGCTGACACCTTACATTAAACAAACAATAAAATAAAATTAAACATGTCGACGAAAAAATAATATTAAAGACAATCGACAAATATTATCCAAGGGTATGTTATCTTTTTACAAAAAAAGCTCATTTTTCTTAATTTCAAATACATGTTTTTGTCTTTCCTTAATATTTATGATTGCATTTGACACAGTACTTATTTTTGATGATGTTTAAATAAACACTGACAAAATTACTTATCATTAAATATTGAAATACTTATGAAAATATGAATTTAATTTATAATTTATGAACAAGATGAGTGCTTGCGTGCTGCACGTATTATGTTTTGTAATGATTAACAACATCTAAATCTGCACTTTATTAATGTTTATAGCGTACAAAAATATGCGACAGCCTAAACATGTTTTGATTTAAATAAATATTTAATAATTTCTTTATTCATGAATACTCATTTGTCATTAATATGTGTGTGTGTGCATTTAGTCATTGATTTGTTGTTCATATTAACACTTCATTATCAAAGCTTTCAAAATGCCTATTTTAAATATTTTCTTTCAATTAACACTAAAAATATTTTCGTTTAGCTTCCGGATCAAAAAGAAATCATCAAAGATATAAGAAGATTGCTTGATGGAAGTCTTCAAGAAACAGTGAACTCCAGTGAACAGAAAGTGAAAGAGATTAAGAATGAAATTGGAAACATCATTAAATCCAATGTACCGGAAGTTAAAATGTCGATCAATAAAGTTGGTCAAGCACTGCTCAATATTAGTAACACGTTAACAAAACAAATAGAAAGTTTTTCGGATGTTGCTGGAAATCATACATTCCCACATTTAAATACTGCCGATGACTACATAGCATCTTATAGCATTCATCGTTATTACGGAGGTCTCATTATAAGTTCCGTTCTTTTGATTGTTCTTATGTTCATTACCTTTGGATTATTATGTGGCATATGTGGAAAGCGACCAGATGGATATGGAGACGATTGCTGTACGAAAGGTGCTGGTGCGAGATTCTTAATGTGGTAAGTTATCAAAACATCATCTCCCTTGTAAGGAATCTCTAATTTCATTCTTATTTATTATTCAACAGCGGTGTTGCTATAATCTTTTTGACAATCTCAGCACTTCTTGTCATATGTTTGGCATGTTTTCTTGTTGGAATTGTCATGAAACGTGGAGTTTGTGATCCATTAAACAATCCTGAAGGAGATCAAGTTTTTTCTTATCTCGACAATTTCATTGATTTGAACAAGTTCATCTTCCCAGAAAATCAGCGAATTGCAATACGTCAAGGAAATGGTGAAGAGTTGAAACCTTTAAGAATATCGCAAGTTGTTGGAGCTTGTCATCGTAATGAATCGATCTTCGAAGTGTTGCGTTTGGACGATCTACTTGACATCGATCAAATACGAGATTTTCCTGAACAATTCGGTATCAATGAAAAGCTCAATGAACTTGCTGATAACGTTCAAATAACATCACAAGTGAGAATATTGAACGATCAAGCAAGAAAAGAAATTCGAGAACTTTCCAAATCAGAATTGAATAATTTTGAAGCTTACAAATATGTCGACAATTTGGCTGAAAATATCACACATTACAACTTAAATTCACTTGCTGATCGCTTGAAGGCAGCAGCTGATCGGATCTCAAGCAGTTCAAATGAAATTAAAACTAAATTGGAAGTTCAACAGCTTCATTTGCGAACATACCAAAAGAATCTTGTTGAGCCATTAATTTCTGGCACAAATCGTCTGCTGATTCTTTCGAAGAAACTCAATGAGAAATTGTTGTTCAAACAGGTGTCCTTTGAAAAAGCAATAAATATGCTAATCAAAGAAATTGATGATGCCGAACGGTTCCTAAACGAAGAAGGAACTTCTTATGTACAACAAGTTGCTCATGAGCTCCTCGATAGTTTTAGTAGAGACATCAAAGGATACTTGGATTTAGTTATAAACGCTACAAAGAGTGATGTTGGCCGATGTGATCCAATCTCGAATGTCTACGATTCGATTGTTGTTGCCGCTTGTAATCGTGTTGTTGATCCATTCGTATGAACTTCTCTTTTATTCATTTTAAATATTTTTCTAATATTTCTTATTTCTTTCTCTCTTTCAGAATGGTTTCTGGGCTGGTGTTGTTTTCTGTGTTCTTCTCTTCTTCCCTACAATTGTTCTGAGCGCCAAATTATCAACACTTTACCAAAAATCGGATCCATATCCAGGACCATTGGTCGAAGCGTAAGTTTCGACAGTTAAAAATTAAGCATGTTAAGCAAAAGAAATAGTTAACATTCATGCTTATTATTAAAACAAAAAATTAATTCTGTCAAAGAGGAAGAAGAAAAAAAGCTTTGTCGTTTAAGTTTCTCATTTATAAAGATTTTAATCATTTTAAATTTTAAACTTACAGTCAAGGACTGTAAAATATTATTGACGTTACATCACAAAAATTGAAACGTTAAAGCTTTTTTTGTTTTTTCATTTAATAACCACAGCATTCAGAATAAATATTTACATGATATTAATTGTTGTTATTCAAATTTTTATTTCTCATTTTCTTTATGTGAAAACCTTAAATGCCGATTTATAACATCGAATGTTTTTTTGTTGTAATGTTGGGGATAAATTATGTAAAAATAACAGGGAATATCTGTATGATGCGTACAACGAACGCGATCATATTCCGTTGGCAAAGTAAGTTTCGTATTGTTAAGGTTTTGAAGATAAATTTAATTAAAATGATCGACGAATTTGTACATATTTATCAGTAATATTTTTGATTTCATTCTCTTAAATTTTTTAAGAAAATGTTCTTAGATTACATAAAAAAGTCTTATATTTGAGTGCTACTCAAATGCAAGTCAAGTGTCACTTGACCGCTACTCAAAATGCAAGAACAACTTGAGTGCTATTGCAAGCACTATTAAAACAACATTAAAAAATCCAATCTTCACTATCGTACTTGATATCCTGCTAGTACGTGATCGATAGTCAATTTCCATATGTGACGTACTTTAGATTGTGCTGCTCAAATTATTATCCATCATTTAGATAAACTAAGAAGTTCTTGCTGATTAACACTTCCAAACTTTTCTTTTATTTCTGTGATTAAAACCCTTTCTCCTTACAATATAAAGCTGTGTTATCTTTTTATAAATAAAAAAAAATTAAGGTTTTTTATCTTTTTCTATGAATGAAGAAAATTATTTGAGATTACATAAAAGAAACATTAAATGTTTTATTTTACTGAAATGAGTATTCGTGTTCTTATTTATCTTATAGTGTGCCAAAGAATAAACGTCGCAGAAAAACTGATCGACGACACGATGGTCGTGATCGCCGTGGTGAATTTTATGAAGAAGCCAGTCCCGCCAATGCTGCTGCTTCGTCAAGTCATCCCATTCGTGATGCTCGTTACGTTGACATGGCACCAAAGTGAGTTCAATCAAACTTCAATCACATAAAGTTAACAAAAATTTATATTTCGATAAATTTTTTGCGAATTATTCAAGAAATTGGGACGGTGCACCACCAAGATATCAGCAAAGCTCATTTGCTGGTCATCCCTCAGCATCGGAATATGAACGCCCACCACCATACAATTTTACCGGCCCCTACCCGGTTGCTCCCAGTGAAACCGATTAAAATACTCAAAAACTAAATAAAAGAAGAAATCTCCAAGGAAATTAATTAAAATTAAAAGAAGTTAAATTTAACACATTGAGATAAGAAGAAAGAAAAAAATGCGGGAAGCAAAACATGACGCGATATAAGAAAACGCATTAAAAATGTATTTTATATAGTAAGAAAAGCGAAATATTTTTCTAAGGAAGTGATTAACCATTTATTGCTGCGAATCTTTCTTTTTACATATTTTTCCTAAGAAAACGCTTCGTTTCTTTTCACTTCTGTTTCTGTCATTCATCACATCGCTTGTAATAATAAAACTTTCGTCTAAATGTAATTGAAAAATTGCTTCATTTGTTTTCATTTTCTTTTAATGATTATGAAACATAAAATTAATATTTGAAAGAAATCTTAAGCAATTTCTTACTTTACCGACACACTCGATAAAGATGCGCAAAGCTTTTATAAGAAAATTGTGTTTAATTTCTTTTAACTATAAATAAACTTCAATTTCTTCTTTAGGTTTTTAAGAGAATCGTACACCAATAGAAATTTCTTTCATAAATATATCAACAAATGAAAACGTTGATTAATGTCATTACATTTTGCATAAATATTTATCATGAAAAATGAACACTTTCAAAGTGAGAAATAAATAAAAAAGTGCATCGCAGAATTTCTACATTTTAATAATGTATTCAAGTTTTAATGTTCTTAAAAATATTCTCAATTTTTGAAGCAACTGAGTTCGACTTTAAATAGGAAACTTTATCTTATCATATTGCGATAATAGTTGCTGATTCTGCTAACATTTTAATTAACAATTTTTAATTTCCTTCTCAATGTGAATGTTTATAGAATCAGTTGGTTGAATTGTCTTACTTTTATTCTCAAACTTATGATAAGGTTTCCATATTTCTTTGCTTTTAATTCATGTCGACTAGTCACGCATTCGTTTTACAAAACTTTATACTTCCATTTACAAACATTATCAAAGAATAATAATTTAAAGCTCAAAAGGAAAAATTCACTGCCTTCTCCATCAAATGCAATCAGATTTTTTTAGAAAATTTATTAAGTTGTAATCCTACGTAGCTTAAAAGCCAGCAATCGGCTAAAAAACTTCCTTTTTTTATTCAAACGTTCTCTCGATTTTATTGGAAAAAAAACAAAATATCATCGTTTTAAGTTTACTTAACTGACTGAAAAATTATCAAAATTTATTTCTTTATTTTTTGTTTATTTTTTATTTGTTTATGAATCATGTGATGCTCTTCTTTTAAATCTGTACGTGAAATGAAACAGTAGATACGTATTCTTGAAAGACGAATAGAAAATGAAGATTGATTGTGTTTGAAAATCTTCAAATCTATGCAGCGGAATAAAATCTCGGAAAATTTAATAATTATAAAATTATGTTTTAGAATTTATAAGGAAAAACAATTAAATGATAATAATGGAAAGTTTTAAATTCTTCTTTCATTAAGAACTCATCCCAAGAAACATCTCGAATCATGAGAATACATTTTTCATAATGATAAAGCTACAAAAATAGCTCAATTACATTTAAATGTGTATACATAAATGTATAAAATAAGGAAGAAAATTCTTTTGAAATCTCTTTTAAAGACATTTATATTATATGCTTATGTAGAAAATAAGTTTTTTGGAACCAATTAAAATTATTCCGACCGAATTATAACGAAGGATTTCTTTCCGAACATAAAATCTTTGAATTTCTTTATCATTCCCCATGACAGAGAAGTAGAAATCCTTCACTGATACCAATTTGAAAAATTTGTACATAGAGAACATAAAGAATTTTTCGAAATTAACTACCTTGTTAAGTGAAGACGTTGTTTTATTATGGAAAAGAAAAAGAAGAAAATTCAAAATGTAAAACTTTCCTTTTATTTCCTCAAATGCTTAAATTTATGTATTTGTAAATCAAATCAATCTAGATAAAAGACTACTTACATATAATTGATAAAAACCATTGAATAAAATCTGCAAATAAGAGCCAAGACCTAGAACGTAATAAAGCTTCTTTAATCAATTTTTAACTTTACAGGAAAACTCTTCAGCAATTTGTTACTGTCATCAAATATCTCAATCTTCTTAAAACATTAATTCAGTAAAGTTTTCTTTGATCAATAATTTATCACAAATCCCTATTGATGATTATGAAACTAATTTCATTTATCACGAATTTAATGCGTTAAGCACAATGCTTTCATTAATAATTTATTACCTACTAGGTAGAATTCAAAATTAGTCAATGGCAAAAGTACGAACCACATGAAGTTTCAGGTAAATGACTGCAACAGTGTTTAATGATTATTGAATGAGGATAAATGCTTCTCTTTAATTTCGTCTTCTTCATTTTTCTTTTATTTAAACCTAAATCTTGTGTGAGTATTTCATTGGAAATTTCCTCGCTCTTTTCATTAATTGTGTTGTCAATTGATGGAGGGAAACGATGATGATTAAGTGGATAATAAATTAAAAGATATCCGCCATCAGGAAATTCAGCATGAGTGACTTTCTTTATAGATGGATAGCGATGATGATAGTGATGATGATAAACACCTGAAGGACGACGTCCTACATAATTTAAAAAATAAGTCAAAAATGGTATTTATTATTTTTTTCTTTTCATTCATTTAAATCTTTTGAATTTGCACTTAAAAAATGAAAAGACTTGTTTTGTGTTTAAGGAAGTTATTCAGTCACGGACATATTCAATTGATTCGATCGAATATTTATTTGCTTTCACACAGTGCCGGTTAATTCCATGGTTAATAATTTGAATATGTTTTATAATTTTATAAAAATAAAAAGAAATTCCTATAAACTTACTTTTTACATTTTCGATATTGTATCCTAAACTCGAGGGTGGAACTTGACGTTTAAGCTTTCGGTCAATAAGACGAGCGCATGCGTCCACGGCGTATTCTCGGATACTGTCAGTGCTACAATGTTCGCTTGTTGCTTCAAAGCACTGAACAAAATTGACGAACATCAAAATAAATACAACTACAGGCAAGCTTTTCTGTAAAATATATTAAAGACTTCATCATTTTATGGCAATTATTGACATAAGCTTTTGCACAGCTTATAAACAGGTACAAAAAGTCAAAGACATTGTAAGTACGGAAGGAAGTAAAATGGAAAAAATTAAGAGTGAATCTTTGTTTGACTAGATTGTTAGCACTAATAATATTTATCAACATTATTAGTGAATATTTCTCAAAAGATATTCATAGAACCATGATAATCACTTCACTTTAAAGTTCTTTGAATTTATCAATTTTTATTAATCTCACCTTAAAATTCATTTTACACAATTTTAACTAGATATTTAACAATATTTTATCCCAAATGTGTTTAACTTTTGTCCTTTCAACTAGATTTTTTTTATTAAAATGTAAGAGCAAAAATCTGATTCAACTTGTTTTGGTTGACTGTTTGAAAACGACTCGAGAAGCTTAAGCTTCAATACTGAACTTTTAAACAAAATTTTTACTTACGTCTGTTAAGTAAAACTCACGTTTTTATTATCATTGAGAAGCTTCAGCTTTTTATTTATTCTCTCATTGTCCCTCTCATTCACGGGGTAATTAATGTATACAAGTTTAATAATATGAAAGGATCTTCACCTCAAGTGTAATGCCGGCATATTAAATGTCTTTTAGGTTTAAAATGATTTAACTTTTAAGAAAATATTTTGTAAACTTAGTTATATGTGATACTGTGATGACAATTTTTGAACATATAAATAAAGAATTGAAATTGTAATAATGTTAACACAAATATATTTATTAAACTAAATCAAATTTTAGTTATTTCAACTACCTAGGTAGGATGGTTTTCGTAATTTTTGTTAACGGTCTATGAAATAAACGGATTTCTAATATTCAAATAGCAAAGACACAATTTCATAGGGAGTCTAATATTTTGTCTAATTTGAATTCGCTTAGTTCGATTATTATATAGAAACCGAGCGAATTCAAATTTATAATCACATTTAATCAACAAAAACATCAGAAGTTTGTTACTAATAAAAATCAGTAGTGGGTTATTTATTGCAGTTTAATTAAATATATAGTAAATCTATACCTTTTAAGTATGAAGATTTTAAAAACACCTGAAGACATTAAGTACAAGTGATTAAAAGAAAGATAAGAGATACAAATCTAAAAAAAAAAAAAAAGATCAAATTGAATGTTATTTTGTTAAAAGTGTTTAATATTTTAATCTGATTCATGGCAACATCAACATCAAAAGTTGGAAAGCTCATATTATCATCTATATCAGCTCTATACTTTTATTACGTGCTTTTCTGTTTCATTCCGTTCTATAAACTTGAAGAAGGTGAGTCATTTAGAAGTCATGACATTGGGCAAGATCAATTTGTTCTTTTGTCAAATATACTTTAAACTCAGAAACCATCTGTTGATGACATAACAACTTGTCAGATTTTAAATAAAAACCTTTCATTTTAGATAATTTGTTTTACTTGTTTTTCCCTTCACTGACCTACGTTTTCGTTGTTCCGGCTGTATTTGGAGTATTTTTTATCGGAAGCTTAATTACTTACACTTTATATCAATTTAAAGAGGATATTGTAAGCTCCAATTGAAGGAAAACTGTTATTCAATATAACTTGTTTATATAAAGTATGTATAACGTAAAACATCACGCGATGCATATTGATAACCTTTTACACTTAAATTGACTCTTATACAGACTCACTTTGCACAAAAGCTAAGCAATTTGTCATTCTAAATACAACCTTCGATCCTAACAAAGCAAATTAATTATGATGGAACAATGGATTGTTATTGGAATTAGTGGAGTAACCTGTTCGGGGAAAACAACACTTGCACAGACACTTTACGACCATTTGAAGTCTTTGACACGACAAGAGCTCAAAGCTGGCTTGGAGCTGAATCGTGTGGAACTCATAAATCAAGATTCGTATTTTCGCGAACTTAACGATCCAAATCATCAAATTATTGAAAAGCTCAATCACTTTAACTGGGAAGTAATTGAATCAATCGATATGGATAAGATGATCAACGACGTAATGCGAATACTTGGGACCAATTTTCATTTGTACAAAACCCGGTCGTGCTCTTTGGCATCAAACTCGTTGAACGAAAACATTTTCTACCATCATTACATGGAATACTCGAATAATCAGCATATGCGAGCGGTCAGTGGAAGTGACGAACTTTTCTTAACACTCGACGATCGCTGCAAATTCAAGAAGCTTGTCAAGCACAATAGTTTGTTAAACATTTTAATAATCGAAGGCTTTCTTATTTTTAATCACCCCGTGACCTACGACTTGTGCAACATTAAATTTCATCTTCATGTTCAATATGAAGTTTGTTATTCTCGTAGGATTAAAAGAACTTACGATCCTCCAGACGTCCCATGCTACTTTGAAATGGTTGTGTGGCCTTTGTATGAGAAACATTTGCAAGAGTTCAAAGATCGAGAAGAAGTTACATTTTTAAATGGAGATGCACCACCAGACAAATGCTTTCATTTTGTTTTAAAATCTCTCATGGATGAGATTTAAATTCGTTCTAATTATTTACATACAATTGTATTATCAACATTATGTATCTAAAAGACAGAGCAGATATTTTTAGAAAAACAATCTGAAGTTTGAAAACGATTTTGTTACATTTTAAATTGTAAATAAAAATAGAATAAGAAAAAAATAAAATCATTTTATAAGAACGAAGTTCAGATGAGTTTCTTGATTATGTTTTTCTTTTCAATCACGCTCAGAATGGCAATTTTTATCTAATTGGAAATCAAGATTTTTTATGTAATAAAGGAATGAAACAGAAAAGAATTTCAATCTTCGTTAGCAACTACATTATCAAACACATACACACACGATTGCAGGTCTTTTACTCTTGCTATATTTTTGTTTTTGTAAAATTTTCCATCCATTCCAGGAATTTAATTGAATTTATAACAACAACCATCAACATAAACTTAAAATGATTAAACGAGCAGAAATCACTCTCGTATATCTAAATTCGCAGTTAAAATTACAAAATAAAAGATTAACATAACAAACTCTTTCGAGAGAGTCTGTGAAAAGAAAGTGTCAAAAAATTAGCCCATGAAAGTTTTTTCTGCAATCATGTGATATTAGTAAAAGCTGAGAAGTGAGTTTAGTTATTTTTTAAAATTTCCTTTGTAGTTAAATTATGAATTGTTGAATGACTTCAGTTGAAATTCTCATTCTTTTTAGCTCAGAAAGGAGTTAAACAAATATCAGAACAATTATCACATGAGATTATCAACTCAGTCAATCGATTGACTTTTCTCAGAAAACAAACCTCACATTTTATTTTTATTAATAATTCTTTATGTATTTTTTATCGTCACAGCTTTTAAGTAACGGTGTCCACTAAATTTGGGTTTTTTTCTTTTATTATTGAAACACGCTGCTGCATGCTGACCAGTTCTGATCAATATTTGCATTTCTACTCTTACTATATTGATTTGATGAACATCTTCTTCTCATAGCATTTGTCGTTGTCATAATGAATCGTCATTAAAAATATAACGTTTGAAATCTTTAAACTGTAAGTGGAAAATTTTTTCCTTGTTAGACTTCAACTTAAAGCGGTTGTTGTCTCATTTACTGACACAATGTCACTTTAGGTCTTATGCTATACATTCTTAAACGCAAATCTCAAATACTAAACATTGTACATATTATGCTACTTCTTTTCCATCCATCTCTCGTTCATTTGGAAGTATAAAAAATTCCATAGGCATCAAACCTGATTTTGATCACTTAAATAAGATTTTTTACTTCTTCATTTAGGTAGTTCAGAAGATATTGAAATAACACAAAACAGATATTTGCGAATTCCAAGAAATTTCATTTCGAGCTTTCACCAGTTCCGCTTCCATCTGTTTATGCAAACCTTAAAGTTGAAATCAATTCCAAAAATTCAATTGATGAGACACCAGCTTGTGGCACCATAGAAACTGTTATTCCTGATAAATGGAAGCTCATTTCAGGTTCTTGAATGGTTTAATATCACACGGGACACGGAATATCATTAGGAAAGTTGGATGTCGTTATTTTTTTTCTTTTTATTCTTGATCGAACCTTCTAAACTTTTCTTGTATTTTATCTCCTAAGAAGCTTTCACGCTCATGAATATATTAATGTCGTTTAGAAACGGTGAATTATAACATTTATTTTGTGATATATTTTCCTTTCCATTGAATATTTATGTTAATCTTATTCACCTTTAAAAAATTTCTATCTTTTGATTCTATTTTCGGATATTTCTATTTATAGAAACTTTTTTATGTTTTCTTTTATCGTCATTTATGATTTAATTTAAATATTAATTCAAGATGCATACAAAAACAACTGCAACAGCGTCAGATTAATTTTCAAGAGAATAATAATGAATTCGTAAAACAATTATCATCATAAATATTGTTGCATTCTACAGAAGACGACATGGTTTAATAAATACAAAGTTTCAGTAAACAAAAAATTTTCCCTTGCTAAAACCGTACCGGTTTCTCGAAATATTTAATATTGATACAATAAATTATCAGAAAAAGTGATTCACAAAATGCTGAAGCAGATATATTTTTCACAGAGATGCTACTGATGAAACATTGCAAAATGTAAAAGAAAACACTTTGAGTCAACGCTTTCAAGTGTACCCTCATGTTCATCTTAAAACCGGTTATCAAATTTCTTCGTGTTTACCTTGTTTCAGCAACAAAAAAAAAACATTAATTTCATCTTTAATGGATCTCAAGTCCAAGGCTTTGCAAAAGGAAACTCCAAAAAACGACCAAAAAATTCATTAAACTTTTACCAATTTCATTGATTTATTTAAGAGTTGAAGACGTTAGTTAGTTAGTTGATTGGTTCGTTTGAAAATAAAATCAAGACATCGTGAGTTATAACAAACTCCATTTATGTAAGAAGAAAATTTTGCGCATGAAAGAAAAATAAAGAATCCTACACTCATACATATTATATTCTTCTTGAAAAGTTTGCTTTTATCTTAATGGGCTGAGCGAACATAAGATGTTTAAAATGTTTATCAAAGAATGAAAAAGAATATTTTACTCGAATGTTGAAGAATTTCTTTCTAATAACGAGTTGAGGAAAGGAGATAAAAAAGAAACTTCAAGAACCCAATAATTTTAGATTTATTGTTGTTGTTTTGGAGCAAGTTGAACGCAGAGGATGTGAAAGAAACAACAATAAGATTGGGTTTTAAAATATGTGCTTAAATAAAGACGAAGAAAACATGGAAGAGAAGAAAACGACTCTAACGGTCACCGACTGGTCGCTGTTTATTTTCTCTATAAAATGAGCTTGTTTTGTCAAGCTCACATTCAGTTTGTGATAAAAAGTGGAAAAGTTAAGAACTGAGAAAAGTTTTTGATAAAAGAAAACGGTGGATTTGATATTTAATTAAAGCATATCAGGAACACATTTTTAATTATTGAATCTATTTTTGACAAAGACATAGAGAGAAAGAAAAATGAAAATTTACATTATAAGTGTTATTTTGTGTCTGATTGGATCAGTTCATAATGCCAACATACAACGAGTTTCACGAAACACCGAAGCAATTATTCCTTCGATCGTTCAAGAGATTTTAAAAGTTGAACTTCAATCAGATTTGAAGAAGAATAGTTTAGTTGAGGTAACAGAAACAGAATTCAATGTTAAAGATGGAACTGTTGAAGAGAAAACAGCCAAAATTGAAGTTCCTTCTGAAGTTGAGAAGGTGATACCAGAAATTATGGAAGCTGTTGCTGAAGAAAAACTAAAGGTAGAACCGATGGAAATTGTCAAAGAAATAGAAGAAAAAATTAAAGAAGTTCCTGTTATGGCTGATGAAGTTAAATCTGAAGTAACTGTTGTTAAGGAAGAATCTGTGGTGCAACCAGAGATGATTAAAGAAACAATTGCTATTGTACCAGCATCTGATCTCCGTCAAGAAACACCAGCAGAAGTTGTCATTACTCAAGAAGAGATCGTTGTACCATTGGTAAGAAATGTTATCAAAGAAGAAATTCCACAAGTCGAGGAGTTGCGTAATGTTTTGGTAGAAGAAAAAAATACCGTTAAGGAAGCTATCGTAGCACCTGTTGCTTCACCAATTGTCGAACCTAAACCTGCTGTTGAAATTGATATGGAAATCAAAACCGTTTCGGCTGTTGATCCAGTCAAAGAAATTATTCTTTCAGAAGAATCAAAACCAGAACAAGAAATTAAAGCTGTGCCTGAGACAATTGTTGTAATGAAGGAAGTTGAAGAAGTTCAGAAGCCACTTGAAGAAATGAAGCCACTTCAAGATGAAGTCAAACAAATTCAAGATGAAATGAAAGCTGAAAAGCCAATCGTTGAAGAAGAATTAAAATTGAAGAAAGAAGAAGTTGAATTGAAAAAGGAAGATGAACCAGTTGAAGTAAAAAAAGTCGAAGTTTTGGAACCAATGGCTTCAGAAACTGCCATGCCAGTCGTTCAAGAAATGGACAAAGAAAAAATCTTAATTGAAACAAAAATCCCAGAGATGAAGATCGTCGAAAATGAGAAGATTGTTGTTGGAACAGACGACATGGAAATCCGCCAAGATCGTCCAACAATTGTTCAACAAGTACAAGAAGCCTTATCTAATGTTCCAGTTATTGGTCAAATTCTCAACCGTAATCCACCAGCAGCAGCCGATGAACCAGCAGTCGCTGATGAATCAGAAACAACACCACGTCCAGGTGTTTTACAAGTTGCACAACAAGCCCTTCAGAACTTTCAAAATGCCATAAATTCCATTAACCCATTGAATCCATTGACTGCTAATAATGGAGCTGGAGAAACAACAACTCGTCAGCCTGGACCTCTTCAGGGTGCCATTAATCTTGCACAAACTGCATTCCAAAACGTTGCCAGTGCAGCTCAAAATCTTGTAAACCCCACAACAACAACAACTACACCAAAAGCAGATGAAGTATCTGAAGAGAAAATCACGGAAGCAGAGGCCCCAGCAGACGTTGTAACTGATGCCACACTCGAAATGAAAAAAGAAGAAGTCGCAGAATCAGAGTCAAAAAAAGAAGAAAGCAATGAGCAACAAAATTTAGTCAAAAATTAAAAATTAAAAATCTCACATCTATTTATGATAAAATTTCCACATTCACACACTAAAGCACAACGATAAACCCACCCTCTTGGAAATTATGGCAAGAAAATTCATCTGTCATTCATTTAATTGCAACAACTTTATATTTTGACAATTCTGTCATTCTTAATTTTTTACTTCTGTTGACTCATTCGAGAATGCATTATTATTTAAGATAAATTATTCGGGTTGATCAAAGAGTAAGAAAAAAATACAAAAAACTAGATATTCTCTTATGTTAAGGTGTGAATTATTTTCTAGTAAAGAGAACTGAAAATAAAAATTATCATTTTTTATTTCTTTAAAATTTAAACATTTTTAATGTTTCTTACTTTTAAATTGTCACTATTAAAGCAGAATAATTAAACTTGTAAAGAAATATTTTTTTTGAGAAATTATTATTGAAAGATTCTTCTGATTCATTAATTTAATTGATCAATATGTTAAGGATAAAAAACATGAAAACCACTTGTTGATTGGTGAGTTTATGCCACGAGTGTGGTGAGATTATTTTTAAATGGTTTGTGTCTCGACTAAATGTGACGACAGATTAAGAAAGATTAGATCAAATGTTTTAATCTAACACCATCTTAACATATGTAATTAGAGTTAGACTAACGTTCGGTTAGAATAGTTTCTTAATCAAGGTAGTACTTTGACACCCTTTTGCCTTGACGTACACAATTTTAAGAAATAATTTCTTAATAAATATTGAAGGAAAAGATTTTAAACCTTTTGTTTAATAAAAAATAATTTTAACAATAATATAGCCAGGAACACACGCATCAAATAATAAACATAACATAATGGTTGAACTTAGTGGTAAATCTGATCCTTTTCAACATTCATTCCCAAACTTAGTGTTTATCTTGCCTACAATCATCACTCTTGGTCTTATGGGTATGTAAAATTCTAAATTAAAATATTGTATAATAATGAATGATCCATTTTAATTTGAGTGATTGAATATTTTGTCAAATATTCGTTTCACATATTCAGATTAGACTTCTTACTATGCATCTGAGTATATTAAAACATATTGAACATTATATTTTATGCAGATTTATGGAATAAATAAAGATCTGTTCCAACTTGAAGACTACTTTCTTTCAGTTTCTTGCAAAAAGAAGAAAAAAGAAATAATTCGGCATTCAGTCTTCTTTTCCAAATGATAATGAATCAAAAAACCGATTTTATACAAAGTTTGGACAGTCTTATTATATTATGCTGATCGTACTCAATAAATAAAATAATAAAAAAACTGCTGATTACTTCTGAGAATGTATTTTTAAATATTTCTGGCCACATTACGTTTAATAAAACAGTTTGACAGTACAATTTTCTGGTTAAACCAAGAAAGATATTTCGAAATGGAAAATATTAAAACAGGCAATGTATTAAAAGAAGAATTTGCGACTACAAATTCAAGATTTAAAGACAACCTTTTGACGAAAGAAGATCTTCAAGCTTTTATTAATCAAATAAAAGATCTAAGTGAGGATGAAAAAAATAAATTGAACGAAGACATTGGACAGCGTAAAATGAATGCTGATTACATTAAAGAAAGATCAATGAATGAACATTCAATTTCCACAATTGATGTGAATTCTTCAGTTTTTGTTTCTATTGTAATGATCTCGATAGTTATCACTATATTCGGTAAACTTTTGTAGTCAACTTTCATTTAGAAGCATGCAGATTTTTATGTTATTTAGAAAATAAAAGGAAATAATTGCGTTCGTGACTTATTTACAAAAGGCACTTGAAAAATGCCGTGCGGCACATTGATTTCAAAAGCTTAATTTATATCTTATCAACCGCATTGAAAGCGATAAATTCGTTAATACGTGTACATAAAAAATTATTGTTTCAGTTTTTGCTAATTTGTCGAGTAATTGCAAGCGATTAGAATAATTTCTCTGAAGTTGAGAACAGTTTTTTCAGCAACAGGTTGTCAAAGCGTTTTTTCTGTTTCATCAATTTGTCTTTATTATTTCATACAAAAACTAAAATTGTTTAATTAAAATGTCTGATGATTCTCCCTTTGAGAACTCTCGTATGAGAGGTGCGATGGATGCATTAATGAAATCAGAAGAAGGTCGAGAAATAGCTGAGAATCTTAAATCAAAACTGAAACAATTAAATGACCAGTTTAAAGACCTAAATCATGGTGAAAAACAGAAATTTCTTAATGAGTTCCGTGATAAGTTTTCAGAGTCCATTGGAAGCTTAAAAGATACACTCGGTGAAAAATATGGGGAAACCTTTGAAGAAGAAGTCCCCAATGCTTATACACAGCAATTACTTAATTATTTACCTTTTATGATTGGTGTTACAATTTTGCTTTTAATTTTCGGTTAGATTTATATTGAAAATTAAAACTGAAAAGTTTGTCATTTTGGAATTCATTGAAAAAATCTTTGTGTTTAATATTTTAGGATTCTTTGGGTACAAACTTTATAAATCAATTATGGAAAAAGAAACAAAGAGAGAAAAAAAGACAAGAAAACAGTTAAAGGATGAGAAGAAGACTCAATCGCCACCTTCATCACCACGATCGAAGAAGGAACAATAATCGAAGCACAAAGAAGAATTTTAATCTGAACCTAACTCATGTTTACACGCTATTGAAAATATATTTTTGAAGAACTTGTTGCCTGCAATCATCAACAGAAACTGAGAATTTATTTTTTGAAGAAGTTATCATTAATTCCTGAATACATCTTTCTAATTTTATACATTCCTAAATAAATGATAAATATTGGGTTTGAGTAGAATAAAATAAAGTCTTGATATCATTGTTTTCTCAGTTTTGTGTTTTGTTGTTTTCAGAATTCCTTGAATCGTGACCACAAAATTTTGATTGTCAAGTAAATATGTAAGGACGTCAGCTAAAGAAGTGACAAGTCAAACATTGCCACTGAATTTCAGTAGAAAATATTTTTATTTATGACAGAAAAGCGAAGAGTACAAGTTAACAAAATCTTCTCTTAACATTTAGTTGAAAATCATGGATCGATTGTTGGAAAGTGTTAAAGATTCAGCTTCATACGAAAGTTTTGTGAATACAGAAGAAGGTAAAAATATCATAAACAGAATTGTTCAAATCGTTGACGAAATTAATGTGCTTCCTGATGATGAAAAGTTGAAATTTGAACATAAAATAGGAAAAAAGATAAATGAAACTTTAATTCAACTGAAGTATCCGGAAAAAAGTGAATTTAGTGAACTTGTAACATATTCTTTAAATCGAACCGTCTGCTATTGTTTTGTTTTTATTGTTGTCGGAGGTAGATTTAATTAAAACATTCATATGTATCTTTTAATATTATTTCAATTTTCAGTCGTTCTTCTCTACAAGATCTTGAGTTACAACAAAAAGAAAATAAATAAAACGCATACAAAATTGAAGAAAATATCTCATCAACGCAAAATTAAGCAATCTTGAAATTTTAACGCCTTTAATAAACCCTCCTTTTGCTCCAAAATTTCATCGATAGTTATTATTCGAAGAGTGAAAGTTTAATTGAAGATGGCAATTACTGCACTATTGTCAGAGAAGAGCAGAATAATTATTATTGGATATGATTTTTCTTTACATTCTAAAATATTTGCAGCATAAATAGGTCTTACTAAATATTTATTCAACTTCAAGCTCTTATTGAAAAATACTTTTATGAATTCATATTTGAATGTTATTTAAGCAATGATAGTTTTTCATATCATGCTTTCATGTATAAATCTTTAATAAATGTTAACATAAAAAAACTAAAAGCAAAGGTCTATGATCCAAATATTTAAAAAGTTTTATGTTCAAGTAAAAATTTATGATCTTGACTGGTTTGTTTTAAGAATATATCTCGAAAATGGTTTGCTGAATTAAAAATTTGTAAATGCCAGTCGAGAAAGGAGGTAAAATTGTATAAATTTACAACATTGTATTTGGAAAGCGTTTCCTTAAGGAGTTATTAATGAAAAACCTTCACAGTACTTGGACAGACACCAGCCTGGTTGTCAAGAAATATAGTGAAGACACATTTGTTTAATCTATTCAATCTTCCGAAGGAAAGGCGGTACCCTGTAAAAAGTGAAGAAGGGGTGTGAAAGGATGTTGGTGGTCATCATTGACACCGACCTGGGGTGTACGATAACGTGAGACTAAATATTGAATTGTTGATAAAAGAATTATCTGTGAAATTCTTAAAGTTACATCAGTATTTAACAAGAATGGCATATTTTAGTTATTTATTTGTTATTATTACTATAGCTTATATTCTGTCATCTGGTATTCACATATTTTCTAGAGGATTTCTACTAACGCGTATTGCTCGACCAGAAAAAAGTTTTTGTGAAAATTTTCTCATCACATTAGATGAAAAACAATGTTTGAGCAGTGATAAAGTAACAAAATTTATCTTATTTAGTCATTAAAAGAATTAAATCTACTTGATACTTTATATTTGTTTAACAGGTTTCTTGCAATGACCAAAACATTCAAAGCCTTTTTAATAGTCAAAATGTTAGCTCAACCGCACATAAATTTTGCCTTGGACGAAAATCTAAGGTGATAATTTTACTCATAGATGCTTTGAAGTATGATTTTGGTGTATTTGATGAAAATATCACACATCCATTACCTTATCAAAATAAACTTCCCATTATCAACGAGCTTATTCATAAACATCCAGAGAAATCAAGATTTTTAAAATTAATTGCTGATCCACCAACTACAACACTTCAACGTCTAAAAGGATTGACAACTGGTAGTCTACCAACATTCATTGATATGGGATCAAATTTTGCAACTCCCGAAATCAATGAAGATAACATAATCGATCAAGTTCATAAAAACAACATGACAGCAGTTTTCTTAGGTGACAGTACATGGATTGAGTTGTTTCCAAATAGATTCAAGAGAAAACATTCGTATCCGAGTTTTAATATACATGATCTTGATTATGTTGACAGTGGTGAGAAAAAATTTAACTTCCTTACGACCAAACATGAAATTAACAGAATTTTTGTTTTAGAAATAAGAAAACATCTGCCAGAAGAGATGAAAAGAAAAGATTGGGATTTACTTATAGCACACTTCTTAGGAGTTGATCATTGTGGACATAAATATGGCCCATTGCATCCAGAAATGGGTAGAAAGTTAAGAGAAATGAATGAAGTTATCACAGAAATCGCACATACAATGGACGACGATACAATTTTATTTGTGATGGGCGATCATGGCATGACTGTAACAGGTGATCATGGAGGTGATTCGAAGGATGAAATTGAATCTCTATTATTTGCATTTTCAAAGGAAAATAATTTTGTACCGAAAGTTTATGATGATGAAGTGACAATCATGCAACAAATCGATCTTTCGTCAACACTCGCGACAATTTTAGGCGTTCCTGTACCGTTTTCAAATCTCGGTTCAATAGTCTTTCAACTTCTTCCTGACGTAATGTCAGATGATATTAAAAGTCGTCATCAATTATTAGCACAACATTTATGGCATAATGCTGAACAAATCAAACATTACATTAACACATATTCGGAAGAAAATGAGAAAACATTTTCCGTTGAAGATCTTCACGACTTTGAATCAAAGTTTAAAGTTTTCGAAAAACGAATTCTTTTAATTGAAGACGATGAGTCGTTTAAAATGTATGCGAACGATCTGAAATCATATTTAAGAGAAATTCTTGAACATTGTCGAAATGCTTGGATCAAATTCAATCCGCAACTGATGTCACAAGGTGTGTTAACAGTTTTTCTTGTCATTTTCATGTTCTTCTTTCTCTTTATTAATCTTCCATTGGAAGACTTCTCAAAAGTCTTCAACTCAAGCGTTGTTTCGTTTTCACTTTTTTCGAGTTTTATTTTAGGAAGTTTTGGCTTTTTTTTTCATCGAAAGTTCGGATTCGATGACAACATTCTTAGCGCACTTTTCATTTCCTCATTATGGAATATTTTAATTTTCATATATTTGCTCATATGCAATTGGCCAATAATTGTTGATCAAATGTATTCGATGAAGAGATTTTTAAATGTAGTTCCACGTCTTACGTTCATGTTATCGTGTCTCGTATTCTTTTCAAATAGTTTCGTTGTTCAAGAACAAAAAGTTCTCAGTTACATGCTGTCGACACAAATTATTTACACAGTTTATGAATTGAAGAAATCTACTAAAATGGTTGATTTAAAAGGCAAATTTAAGCTCAATATTTTAATGAAATCAACAATTTTTAAAGTTTTGATAGCGTCTTTATTTTCAATTCTTTTTATTCGAATGTGTCATAATTATTTCAAATGTAGAGAAGAACAAAGCGACTGTTGGGATTACTTTTCTGCAACTGAAACTCCAACAAATTCTTCCGAACGAGTGGAGGAATTATGGCCTATTATTATTCTAGCATTGTTTGTAACAATTTGTCGAATATTTCTTAAAACGATGGGAAATTTGACGGGATTTTCATTACATGTTCTATTAATAAGATTCGGACCAATGTTAGCAGTCATTTCTGCATGTGGTCATTTAATTTTATCACAAAGACAAGCGAAAAGAGTGATAATTCCTCAAGTCTATCTCGATATGTTAGCTTGGATTGTTTATGGAATATTCATTATTGAAATTATTGTGATAATGTCGAAACCTTTATTAATTTATATTGTTCCACGAAAGGAGAATGAGCAAGTATTGCGAATGGGTAATTATAATGATATTATACCAGAACTCTTCAGACACGTCAAAAAAGTTTTTAATGTTGATAATACAAAACGTCAACTTTATGATAAAGTTCCGATAATTTATGGTTTTGCGACGGTCTATTCGTCAGTGTTCTTTGCCTTCGGATCGATCCTTGGTATACTTTTAGCTTTATTATTAGGCGTTGATGTCTCAAACGGTATAATATTAATCATTGCAATGGCCCTCTTAATTTTGTTTATTTTTTCTGTCTTACGCTTTGAAACTGCCGCGAATGGAAAAACTTGCCTTGAACCGCAATTTTCTTTGATTGTAACGTGGTTTTTGTTAGTTAATTTCGGATTTTATGCGACTTCACATCAATCAACAATTTCACAGATTGATTGGAAGCCGGCTTTTATCGGAAGAACAGCTTATTTTGATCACTCGAATTTCTTTTCGGCACTTCTTGTGCTTACAAGCACATTCGGGTCAAATATTCTTCTCATGATTTCTTATCCTTTGTTAATCATTTTTCCTTTCACTTTATACTCGTTGTTTCCCCAATTATCGAAAAAAGTTTTAACGACAGCAGATAAGTTGTCAAAAGAAGAGAAAAATTCGGAATATCGACGAATAACATTAGGCGGTGATGATGTCGAGGGTGCAATTACAGATTTTGATGTAACTCGAGGTGAAATTAATCTTTATGAAAATGAAAAACTTTTCTTGTCATCAACATTTAAAGTCGGTTGTCAACTTATGATTTTACAAGGAATTAAAATTCTTTGTTCAATGTTAGCGTGCACAATTCTTTGTCGACATTTAATGGTGTGGAAAATCTTCGCTCCACGCTTCATTTATGAAGTTATTGCTAGTTACATCAATTTCATTTCAATTATTGTTGGATTTATTTTCATGTTTAGAATTCATAAATCGGTGAAAACACTAGTTGATAAAATTAACAAAAAATATTAGAAAAAAGTCAAAGAAAATGTTAAAATCTCCCTCGCTCTCCCACCGAGAATTGAAAAGATTGTATTACTGACTAGTCTGAATTATAAATAAAATAAATAGAAAGAAATATTTGTGAATTTTATTTAAATTTATTATCAAAACAAGTATTTTCAGCATTTTTTATAAACATGAAAAAAAGTCCTTTTTATGCAACATGTTTGCAAATAAATAAAGCGCATGTCACAAGTGAATTTCCTTCCGACGATTTCTCCATTTCTCATTTCTTGGAGCTTAATTGAACGAAAAAAAAAACTCATTCTCACACTTGCTCGTGTTGTATTTTTTGAGCATCAAGAGTTGATGCAAGTGTAGTCATTTCTTTCTTTCAGCGAAGTGATGACAATCTCTCACAGTTGATCAGTCAATTTACTACTGTTTGTGTGCTGTCGATAATAATGTTAATATCATACAAAGATAAGTTTTAATATCAAATTTTGATAAAAAAAAATCAATCCAAAAAAGAAAAGAAATTTTTGGATTCTTTTGCAAAATATTTCTTAAGTCTGTGAATGTTTGTGATTACGAAATAAAAACAAAAAAGATGATTGAAAAGTTAAAATTGTTTTAAAATATTCTCCTGCTTCGATAAATTGACGCACTCCATAAAAATTACTTTGTTTTTATGATTATTGAGATTTTTCATTACATTAAAGTTAAAAAGAAAAAAATTTGCGAGAAATACGATTATGAGAGTGAAAAGAAAAGTGAATTGAGTAGCAGTTATCTAAATATTTAGGTATGTATACCAAAATTTTGTTTTTCTGTTTATTTTTTAACACATCTACATAAACTGTGACAATAACTACCCAGGTCAAATGTGCGAATATATTTTCGGTATATTTATGCTTCAAAGGCGAGCTTTAATGTTTAATGGAGCCCTAAAGGTAACACACAAACCTAAATAACACTTACATATTTTGGTGGAAATGGTTTAAAGCGACGATTTATTGAAAGATTTTATTTTGTGTGGTTCTGATAACAAAAAATTGGTGCTAAGAAAATAGCCTTAAACGAATAGTTTAGTTCTACATGTCGCTTTTTATAATTTATTCAAGATTTTTCTGTTGGCCTACGTAGTGAAAGGCGACAACATAAGATTTAGGTAGAAACATTCTTAAATTTTCCGGACGTAATTGTTGCCAAGATATTCATTCACTTAAAAATAGCTGTTTTGATCAAGATATCCAACTTTTGCTAAATAATATTGATGCCAAATAAAATATCTAAGTAAATATGTTTATGGCATTTAAATGTACTTGAATCTCTGAATAAATTCTTTTCATTTATTTTATCCTATTTCATTTTATTACAGAAGTTCAACACTCAAGGTGAATCATCAGGAAAAGCTTCTTTAAAATCAAAACAGCGTGAATAATAAAAAAATCAAGGAAACTGAACTACAAAATTTATTCAAACATTTAATTCAAAATCAAGAAGATGAACAACTCATTTACTTAAATTAAAATGACTTAAAATAATTGACAAGAAAATTCAACTGAAAGCAATCGGTGCACGAACAACTTCCGAATAATTTTATGGAATTCTCATCCAACAATAAAAACCTCAATCGATGATAGCAATCAAACTTACAATATTTTCATGTGATATGTTATTTTAAAATAAATGCCCACATCCCAAATGATTTGGTATTAAATGTTGACCACTAATTACAAATTTTATCTAATGAATTACATCACTAAATGAAAGAATTTAAAAGTTCTACAATCAGTATAAAAAGCGTGAACCTCCGGCATCAACAACAAACATAAAACTCTTAGGAAATTTAGGACATAATCAAATATTTAAAGGAACAAGAATCTCTCCATAAAATGTAATATCAATTCAATTGCAAGTCATTAAAACAAACTCATTACTGTCAACAACACAAGTCAATTGTTTATTATTGTAGTCTACGAAGAAGAGAAAATTTTATGTTAAACAAGAGAAAAAAAGGAAATATTTAAACCAAAATCTGACTAAAACTACGATTTTTATTACAAAAAAAGATCGTAGATAAGATTACACTATAATTTCTACAATACCTAAGCCAGGAGATAATAGATAAGAAGGAAACGAAGAAGAAATTAAATTTTGATTTGTGATATTTTACTGACGAAAGAAATTTGTAACTGCAGTTTGTTTTGGAATCAAAGTTTCCGATGTTTACGATTATCGTGACATGTTATATATAGATAGAAGTTATTTGACTGGAATTTAGTACTGAAAGCGACTTGTTTTAATTATGGTGATCGACTTACAAATAACATCAACGAATAATTGTGCACCTTCGTTGACAAACAATATTAAAGCAAATCTTTTATCGACAAATGAAGTAACATTTTTGAATGTTGATGATGGAAGTGAATATGAAATAAGAAGAAAGCGTTTGACAACCATTTCAACTGAAACTTCTGACGTCTTATCAGTTGATTCTTCAATAATTCAATGTTCAAAGAAGAAAATTCCTGATGGTGGCTATGGATGGGTGATTGTGTTTGCATCTTTAATGGTGTCACTCATTGCTGATGGAATTTCATTCTCATTTGGATTGCTTTACACAGAATTATTGGATTATTTCGATGAAGGTGTTACAAAGACTGCATGGGTTGGAAGTTTATTCATGGCAGTTCCATTGCTAGCTGGTCCCATCATGTCAAACTTAGTAGACAAATATGGATGCCAAAAGATGACAATGATTGGTGGCGTTCTTGGCTGCACTGGTTTCGTATTGTCAGCTGTATCGAATTCAGTTGAAATATTATTCTTTACTTTCGGAATAGTTTCGGGACTTGGCCTTGGTGTTATTTATGTCACTGCTGTCGTTTCCATCGCCTTTTGGTTCGAAAGTAAAAGGACTTTTGCTACTGGAATTGGTGCAAGTGGAACTGGCTTGGGGACGTTCCTTTATGCACCTTTCACACATTGGTTGATTGAAACTTATGGATGGCGTGGAGCTACATTGATTCTTGGCGGAACTTTACTTAATTTTTGTGTGTTTGGTGCACTAATGATCGATCCTGATTGGTTGATCGAAGAAAATAAACTTCAAGGTTGCAGTCAAAGCATTCAAACTTTTTCAAATTCATCGACGACAATGTGCCTTGATGAGATTAAGAAACTTCTTGAAACTGGAGCTGACAAAGAAGACGTTCTTGACACACTTGTCACGAATGTTAACACAGAGGCTAATCTAGTTGTTGAAGATCCTGACATTTTGATACTAAAGAAATATAAAAGTGAACTTTTACTTCCCACATTTATCTCATCTGAATGTGATCATCTTGGTGGAATTAAGTCTAGTAGTATACGATCTTTATATCATCATAAGTTTAAAAGTCCTGAAACAATATCTCGTGATGAGCTTTTATCACCTTTATTAATCAAATTAAAGTCAATGCATAATGATGGAGAACATAAATGTAATCTAGCGAGTTTTGAGACTTTGAATTCATCTGAAAAAGTTTCGTCAAATGAAGATCTTGACACAGTGTCTCTGAATGTTTCACTTAAAGACATGAGTTTAGAAGATTTCAGTGAAATGCCATCATTTAAAAGAAGTGGAAAACATGGAAGTCGATTTTCCCTCGACGAAAAAATGATTAGAAAACCATCGACAAGTGGAAATATGTTTAAAGGAGATTTATTAAGAAACTTTCGTGGATATTCGTTAGATGTTGTTTATGAAAATGAAACATTTCAATTAAGTCATCAGTCATGTAATGAGAATAAAAGTGATCTTCTCATTCCTGCACATAATAATCTCATCCATTTAAGAAGCAGCAGTACAAAACATAGAAAGCAATTGAGAACTATTCCAGTTAGTAATTTAAAAAGAAATCCATCACTTCGATACAGTAATTACTTGAAAAATATGAGAGTTCATCGTAACTCGATACATTATCGAGGTGCAATGTTGAACACTCATCGTTATCGGTTAAAAGCTTCTTCGTGTCCCAACATTTATCGGAATTCGATGACGACAATTGCACGAGAAGATGACGTAAATTTGAAATTTTTTCATAAGTCGCGAGAAAAATTAATTTTTGATATGAAAATTTCAGGATGTTTGGTATGATGACTTCGTTGACATTATTAAGTCAATTTTTGACTTTTCATTGTTCTTACAATATAAATTTGGGATGATGTCGCTGTCAACACTCTTCTTATTTGTGTGGTGAGTTTTTCTTCATAATTAAATTAAAAATTTAAAATGTTTTAAAGCTTTTATGCATGCTGATCAATTAACAACATTCATCAAATTAAAATATTTAGTAGTTTTAACTCTGTTAGCACGTGAAAGCTTTTAACAAAGTTATCACTTGCGAATTTCTATATTGATACTTTCAATTACATTTTTATTAATATTTTTACAGGTACATCATTCCATACTTTTACATCACCGAGCTTCTATTAAATTTCGATTATTCCGAAGAATCGAGTGCGTATTTAATCTCAGCTATTGGTATTTTTAATACATTGGGGGTGGTTGGACTTGGATGGGTGGGTGATCAAAAATGGTGTAACGTTACAAAAACTTACGCTTTCTGTTTGGTTTGTAAGTGTCAAAGAAGTTCATTTTTGTAGATAAGAATTCTGAGAAGTTTCATTGTTTCATTTAGTATGTGGATTGAGTATGTATGCAATACCCTTGGCAACTTCAAGTTACACAGCTCTCGTAATTCTTTGTTCTATATTTGGAGTGACATTCGGAAGTTCATTCTCATTTACACCAATCATCACCAGTCGTCTTGTAGAGATAGAGGATTTTACATTAGCATATGGTTTAATTCTTTTAGTTCAAGGTATTGGATCTTTAGTTGGTCCACCATTAGCAGGTTTTATTTTCACTATCAATGAAAGGTAAATAAATAAAACAATAAAGTAGCATAATAAATGTTTGTTAACTTTTTCTTTTATCTATTTAAAATTATGTAGATGGGACGACTCGTTTTATGTTGGAGGAGTATTTGTTGCTTTAAGTGGAGTTTTAGCTTATATAATTGGTGAACTTAAAGTCGAAGTGTCTGGAGATGACGAAGATGTCAACAATAACGACGATCGAACAATTAATACAAAATAGGTAGTTTAACATTCTTTAGTGATTTTTTTTATTAATTTGCTAATAATTCATACTTCTTGTGTAATAAATATTATTAAATATTTATTAGAAATGATTTTTTTAAATAAATAATTTTTTATTTTTTGTTTCATAGGAAAAATGAGTTTGAAGTTGATAAATTGCGTAAATTTTTCAGGCTGACTATCTACTTAATTATTATTAAGTTACTTTCTGAATGTTTAGAAATGCAGGGAAGAAAAAAAAATAATGAGCTTTGAATTCTTAAATTGATTTTTGTACAAATCATGACATATCTAAATATTTCAATGGTGTAATAAAAAAGAAGCATCTGAAAAAGAAACAAAACTAAGAGAATTGTTGGGGATAAGACTTATTTATTTATTGTAAAACAGTTAAGATTTCACAAATTGTAATTTAGTTAATTAAGATTTTATAACTAACTGTTATCTATTCATCTTAAAATTATTCATAAAATTTAAAATACCATATTTGAAAAAAATATTAGACAAAAATGTTAACTTCAGTTAGAGAAACAGAAACTTAGATAGATAATTGATTCAGACAAAAAAATAATATGCTGTTGAACTCTTTGATCATGAAAATAAAATATCATAAAATGAAGATTTTCTATATCAATAAACTATGCAACTAAAGAGGCTTCCAATCTTTTTAATGCAGTTTTATGTATCAAATATAAAATAACTTTTCTTCTCATACCTGAACTCAAGGAAATTACATCAAAAACTTAAAAATATCATTTTCGTGACTGCATTGAAGTTATTGATAAAAGATAGAGTGAATCACTCCTTTATCGATATCTCCCAAGCAAAACATTCTCTTGTCATCCTTAAATCTCTTCGTTTATTTGGCGAAAGCCAAGCATCTCTTCGAATATAATTATTTTCCACATTCTTGAAAAACTTTAGATAAAATCTTGAATACGAATACATACAGTACAGTCAGAATCTTGATCCATGTTTGTGTTATTTTCATTTACTTATCGCATAATAAAAACATGTCGCGAATCAAGAGTCTGAATAAAATTTTTGCGGTTCTTATATTTCCTTTAATTGTTCACCAAAGCCCCAAACATTACGAATTATTTTTTATTTACACAACTCTCTCAATATATGTCTAAGAATTTAAATGAAATGCAAAATATTTAAATAACGCCAGATTCAGTTATGATCATAGTTTTTTTTGTGCTAATTACAACGACGTGTGTAGGAAAAAAAGCTTTTAAGTCTTATGATTTTCACATCATCTTCTCATGACTCTCTACTCATACATTATTCATTGGATTCGACAACATCTAATTGAACATTAAACTTTTTATCCATTTCTTAACGCACAAGATTAACAAAAGGAAAGAAATGTAAAAATAAAATGAAAGAAACGTTTTTTTGTGTTACTCTTATAAGCACAGAACTGTAATTTTCTTCCTTAAAATGATGTTATAAAGTTTGGAATAAGACGATTGATTATGAAACGATTTTTTTAACTTAAACCTAAATTGATGAGAAAACAACGAAGCGCATTGTGATGAGAAGATGCTTGTTACCTTAAATTTTCTTCTTTTTTAACTTATTACTGCGCTTTTCATTGATAATTTGTGTAGTACCATAAATGATGCTGTCATGTCCCCCCAATCAGTGTGGATGTGCTTCTTTGTAATCGCTTTGGTCCATGGTAAAGAAGTCTTCTAATTTCCACTGAAGGGTCTCAAAAGTCGGTCGACGCATTGGATCTTTGTGCCAACATTCAAGCATAATTTCATAAAGTGCTGGATTACAATTTGGTGGCATTGGCATGCGATAACCGTGCTCCACTTGGCTTAAAACTTCAGCGTTAGTCATACCTATAGAAAAATATTCAATTATAGCAAATATTGGAATGTGTTTAACGTGAAATAATTAATTACCTGGATAAGGTAGTCTTCCATATGTCACTAATTCTGTTAAGAGAATACCAAAACTCCATACGTCACTCTTTATTGAAAAGCGACTGTAATTGGCAGCTTCTGGTGCTGTCCATTTAATAGGGAAGCGAGCACCAACTCTCGCTTCATATTCATCTTCTTTAATTAATCTTAAAGAAAAATTTACAGAAAGTAATTAAATATCAAGATTAGATTGAATAAGGTTGATGAACCTACGGGAATTACAAAATTATTAATTTATTTACTTACCTAGCTAAACCGAAATCAGCTATTTTAACTATATTATTGTCACCAACAAGAACATTTCTTGCAGCTAAATCTCTGTGAATGTAATTCTGCGATTCCAAGTAAGCCATACCGGCTGCAATTTGTGCCGCCATGTCAATGAGTTGGGGAAGTTTTAAGTTCCGTCCTTTTCCTGAAATTTATTTAACAATTCAGTGGTCAAATGGAATTTATAAAACAAAAAATCACCACAAACTTACCTTGTAAATATTCCAGAAGTGATCCATGCTTCATTAACTCAGTAATGATATAAATAGGTTCTTCAAGTGTGCACACAGCATACAATTGAATTAATTTACTGTGTCTTAGTTTCTTCATTATTTGAGCTTCAGCAAGAAAGTCTTTTGGATCCATTGTGCCAGATTTAAGTGTTTTAATTGCAACTGGTGTAGTGTTATTCCAAAGGCCTTCCCAGACATCACCGAATTGCCCTGATCCAAGCTTTTTAACAAATCGGAGAGAGTTTCTATCAATTTCCCATTGGTCACGTGTACGATGAGACAATCCATCTGTTACTGGTTTCTCAATCTAAACAAAAAATTCGAGAATGAAGCAAAGTTAACGTTATTTATTTGACATGAGTGTTATACTTAAATAAACACATATAGATACTCATTTGAATTAAAATATTTATCATGAAAATGAGGAATTTGAATAAATATATTTATGTGGAAATATATGAATCAAAACGGCTACCAGCCTTGTAATTAATTTCGCATATTTTCTTCAACTTTTTTGTGACGATGATTCGCGATGCCTCAAACAAAAAAAACACAAGACGAACATAGTTTTCAATTCATATAAATACATTTTCACAACCAGTTTCCATTAAACTCATTATTGAAAAATTAAAACAAAACTGACAGAGGCATGGATAGACGACATCCATCAATTGATATTTTTCTAGTAATTATCCAATGAGTATTTGAGTAAAAAAAACGAAAAAAAAAAGAAGATTCACTATGAAGCATAAAA